TTCCAAAGCCTTTTCTGCCATTTCTGTACGAAGCAGTAAGTGAGTCAGAAATAATTCAGCTTTTCCCCGCTTCTGGTTCCTGGCCTCGGCTCAAGCCAGAGAAGATGTTTTAAACCAAAGTGGATTAATTTCCTTCCTTTCCTTTTCCCCCCGCTTCTGTCTCAAGCCTGGGAAGCCATTTTAAACCAGAGTGGATGAATTTCCTCCCTTTGCTCCCCCCCCCGCCCCCCCTCCTGGAGTAAAACAACTACTTTCAAAGTAAAGACCACCCAATGAAACAGGAAATAACACTTTCAAACCATTAAGGAAGAATTCAGAACTCTCTGAAGTTTTGAAAAGTTTTGAACATTTTTTTCTTAGAATCAAACCACCATTGCTCCCTATATCTGAAACAAATTTGAACCATTTTTTTTATCAAACAAGCCTGATAGATAGATAGATAGATAGATAGATAGATAGATCAATAGATAGAAAGATAGATAGATATGGCTGGAGTTACAATTAAAAATGTACTTGTTCCAACTTATATACACATTCAGCTTAAGAACAAACCTACAGAACCTGTCCTAATCATAACTTGGGGGCTGCTTGTACTTGCTTTTGCTGTGTAAAGAGCAAAAACAATTGTCGGATGTAATGACAGACACCCCCATTTGGAAGTAATTGCAAGTCGTTCAACTCATCGTATGTAAGCGTTCCCATTAAAATTGCTCAGAGAGTCAACCTACAGAAATACAGCAATTGAAAAATTGCATTTTGTTAGGGTGTGTGCAAGGTGGGAGAGGTTGGTTGGAAAGCATCAAATATCAGCTGCCAATCATTGTGAGATGTTTCTGTAAATGAAGAACAAACAAACAACCAGTGGTAGCCTATTTCCAGGTACTTATGATTCAAAGGGAGTAGCACCTGGATCCTGTCAGCACAACAGCTAGCTCCAGTGAGTAATTTTTAATTTTCTTAGTGCAGTTGGCAACTTGCCACTGCCTGCCCAGTGAGATGGGTTGGATGTGTTTTGTTGGCGTGATAATAATGCCACTCCCCCTCACCTTTGTTTTCATTTCTGCACAGGATAATTTTGCTTGAAACAAAGGGATAACTCCAAGATACAAACATCTTAACATTGACGCAAGAGGGCAGCTGGTTTCCCCCTTTGCCTTCCCTGCTGTTTCAGACACTAAATTGGCTACATAACATATACTGTTGCCAAGTTCTGCATGGCAGCAATTAAAATCCAGCAGTCAATGACTGATAGCACAAGCGAGTACTAGCAGAAAATTGGGATTACAGTGTTTTAATTATAGTATGGATGTTGCTCCCTCCTCTGTCTGACTGGACTTCCCTTCCCTGTGCCACATGAGTACCTTCCCTCCCTTTAAATTCCCTTCCCTTTAATTCCATAAATTGTGTTGGGTTTTAATCTAATCCTGTATATGATTTTTATCTTAGCTTAAATTCTTAAGTTAATTATCTTAATGTCCTAACAATGATACACTTGTTTTAAAGCTTTAAATCTCTTAATCTATAACTCTGATATGCTTGTACGGCCCTATGTCCCTCTTCTCTCAAACTGTTCTGGTACAGCTGCACCGGGAGCTCCAGCTTATCTTGCTATTTGTTGATTACTGCATGTATTTTAAAGTTCTATGCCTTTGCAATTAGATGGCTTTCCTTACTTTGCAGTTATTGGGTCAATTGCTTGTCAATTATCATTAGGCCCCCTGGTCCCCCCCCCCCTTTGGGCTTTGGAGGGAAGGGAGCCATTTTTCAGTTAGTCTCAGCTAGGAAGTCAATGTACAGGACGTGTGCAGACTTTCTCCTGTACAAAGGCTTCAACCCTTAAGACATCCCGGGGGAGAACAGTCTTAAGAGCAAAAGGATTCCCAAAGATTCCCAGGGAAACAGCCCTAAAGCTCTGAGGAATTTTGGAGGGGAAAACAGTTTTGAATATCTAAGAACTCCAGCTGAAGTGACTACAGGCCTACTGGTAGGTCCACTCGGTGCTTTGAGATGCAGTTCAACCCGGTAGTGAAGCCCACATTTGTTAGGTTTAGGTTCACAGTTAGCCTGGGAGAAGTTTGGAAAGGGATTTTCCTTTAGAGTAAAAGTAACAGTTAGAAGCCACCAGTTGCACAAAAGCCTGGAAGCATTTGTTTAACCTTTTGAAGATAAAAGAAGTTTCTGTTGATTGTTCACCAATAAAATACTTTGTTATATTTCACAAGCCATCTAAAGACTGTTTATGGTAAAAATCCTTAAGAATTTCTCTTCGGGCCCCCTGGCTCCTGCTGGGCTAAAGTTGCACGTCCTGTTTTAAAAGCAATTAGTTTCAAGCCCAGCGTGTGACAGAACACGAACTGTTCATTGATCATAATAAAGTGAACTTGAACTAGAATAGAAAAGTAATGAGTAGTATAAAAGTAACATTATGTGTTACCAGCTTTGATCATTGTGATGATAAGTGAATGAGCAGCTGGTTTCTGTTTAAAGATAGTAGTGATATTGCATTTTATTACTTCTGAAAAGCAGTTTGTCCATTTCTGTTCCTAACTATAGGAGAAAATTTACATTGTTGTCTTCATTGAATAACGCCAACTTTCCCCATTGAACCTGTTGTTTAATTTCTACTAAGCCTTTGTTTGAGGCCCCATCTATACCGCCATATAAAATCTGTAGCATAATGTAAAATAAACCACGTGTCATTCACATTTGACCAGCCCACACACTGCCTTGCCAGAGAAAGAAAATATGCCATGCAGGTGAACAGTAAAGAACGTTTACTCTTCGTAGTTCAGAACAACATATGTACAATCAGTTGCATCAACTCACACAATGTCCATCAATGAGAGATTTAAAATGGTCTGTCTTTAGCACACTCCAAACTCTGTCTCTGTGTGCTTCCCTCTTCTAAACTGTCTCTGTCTGCTTGAGCTTTGCACCTGCAAAGCTCAAGCCTGAAAAAAAATGTAGCAATATCCAGAAGTCCCAGGCTCAGCCTCCTCCCCGGACATTGCCTGACCAATCAGCTTCATGCATCTTATTTTACAGTTCACACACACACACACATACTGATTCCGTGCATGCTCCAACAAAATCCAGATGATCTACTGGCAGTGTAGACTCATATAATCCAGTTCAAAGCAGATAATCTGGATTATCTGGATTATATGGCAGTATAGTAGGTGCCATAGGTAGGCTTCAAAACAATGAAGCCAAAAATCAGCTGAAGAAGCCGCTTCAAATGGTGGATTTTGGGTAGTAGAATGAGATTGAGGCCAGCATCTGGAAAAAGTGTTGGTTTTCTTTTTAATTGTTATAGCCCTCATGAGTATCCAGCAAACAAGATTGAGGATTGTTCTGGTTGGGGAATTCTGCAAGTTAAAGCTCTAAAATGTAACTTTCCCTGGCATTGAATGAGGCATAGTCCACTAGAATGATCTACTGCACTAGTACCGTGGTCGTGAATAGAGAGTATCCATTCATTTCAATGAAGTAGAGAACCTCCCAGTGGTTTGTGCCCTCTAATTAATTAGTGGGTGGGTGGGATGCCTCTTGGATTTTATACCTCGGAGACCAAAATGCCTTAAAACAAACCATTACATTATCTTTTAAAATATATATACCAACAGCCTTTTAGACGTATTTAGTTTTGCAGTTTTCCCAGTGTCTCCAAATGTCTGACCAACCATTTATTCCCTGTTTGGCTTGTTAAGAAAGTTTATTTTCGTACCATACCATACATACATCTGTTTTACTAAAAGCGGGTTGTTTTACTTTTTTTGTTTTTTAACTTCCTTTCCAGCACATTTCCTGTTGATGCATTTTAACAGCCTTGTTCTCATGAATAAAATCCTTTCGTTCTTACAATCTGTTTTAGTTTTAAGGCCGAGTAAACTATTTTGTACCCATTATACCGTTTAAGGATTTCTTTATTTATTAACTAAGCTAAAAAAAGAATTTCGGGGGCTGCAATCTTGTGCACAACGACTCAGAGTTATAACCAGACCTTTGGAAAAGTTATTTTTGTGATTATAATTTCCAGAATCCAGAAGTCACTATGATCATTCCCTAATTTCATTTAGACTTTGTTGTGTTGTTCTGTGATTACGGATTGGAAAAACACTCCTTCTTAGGCCCCTTCCACACAGCTGAATAAAATCCCACATTATCTACTTTGAATTGGAACTCATGGGATTTTTTATCTAGATTTATTCCCAGGTTTTAGATATTTGTTCCTGATCGGTCGGTTTTTAAAAAGAAGGTGCCACTTAAGTAGAAGGTTAAAAAATTTTTGTGTGTGCTAGAAACTTCATGAAACATGTGGAGGGCACAGTTTTTCTGACCAAGAAAAAAAAATCAAACTTTTGCAATGATCTGCATATCCAGACCTCTGCGTATCTGCATTTTGGGGCTTAAAAAAAAAACCTGCCAAGGTTTCCTGTGGAAGTCATCTTGGGAGATTCTAAATCCCGGAGCAAAGCATCAAGTCTGGATGACAGAGGCAGAATTCCCAGGACCAACAGGTCTGTATGTGGACCTACTCTGAACTCCCAGGATTTTTTGCCCCTATTTAAAACCCGTGATTTAGAGCTGTCTGAAAGCACCCCCAGTTCAAAGCAGATATTGTGGGATTTTCTGTCAAGATATTCTGGGTTATATGTCTGTGTGTGCGGAACGGCCCACAGTCAATATATCCAAGGGCACTTCCAGACAGGTCCTGTATACCAGGATCTGATCCAAGGCTTTTTGTTTATCCCAGATTTTCTAGCAGTGTGGACTCATATAATCCAGTTTAAAGCAGAAAACCTGGGATCAGATCCTGGGATATAGGGCCTATCTGGAAGGGCCCCTAGAGATTAAATATCTGCTATTCTAGGAACAGGGGTGTGGAAAGAAAGCAAGAGGAATCAATTATAAGCCAAAAACATTTGTTCTAAGTCTCCATTGTTTTTGTTTGTGTTGTTTCAACACTGTATACATAAACATTTCTTTTCCACTTAAAGGTAGAGACCTGTGGGTTCTTGCTCTGGGAAGGTTCCCAACCCAACATAGGATTGGCATACCAGAGTTCAAGTATGTTGCTAATATGCATGGGAATGAGGTACGTGTACAACTTCAACTGTTGCCGTTTCTTTAACCTTATTATTTACCAGGTGCCTTGGAAGTAGCCCAACTCATATACACAGAGGAGACTTCAAAGGATTAAAGAAAAAGAGTAGTGGTGGGGTTGAGGTCAATCTGACTCCAATAAATCATTAGAGGTTAATTAGCCATTTGTGAATTTTGATAATATGGAAGCATTAAACTGTCATGAAGAGAGGTGTGTGATCAATTAAATTATGATCAAAGTACACATTTAACATCTAGAGGAGATGTTTTTAATAAGGATTTCTACTCAGTTGTTGAGGGAGGTGCCACATTGAAACATCCGAGGCCCCATCTAGACTGCCATATAATATCCACATACCTGCTTTGAACTGGATTATATTGTGGTGTAGACTCATATAATCCAGTTAAAAGCAGATAATGTGGATTATCTGCTTTGATAATCTGGATTATATGGAAGTGTAGATCCAGCCTGATTATTTGACAGCGCAGATTCATATAATCCAGTTCAAGGCAGGTAATCTGGGATTAGATACTGGATTGCATGAGTATAGATCCAGCCTGAGTAGAGATATATAGGGTTGTTCAATAAATGTTTGGATGGAAAATGTGTACTTTGTTTCTCCTATCATGTTGATTTAGGGCCCTTCCACACAGTCCTATATTTCAGAATCTCAAGGCAGAAAATCCCACAAAATCTGCTTTGAACTGGGTTTTCCGAGTCCACATTCAGATAATGTGGGATTTTCTGCCTTGATATTCTGGGATGTAGGGCTGTGTGGAAGGGTCCTAAGGGCCCTTCCAGACAGGCCCTATGTTCCAAGATCTGACCCCAGGTTTTCTGCTTTAACCTGGATATTCTGGGATAAACAGAAAACCTGGGACCAGATCCTGGGAGATATGGCCTGTCTGGAAGGGCCTTCATACAATCCAGTTTAAAGCAGAAAACCTGGGATCACATCTTGGGATATAGGGACTGTCTGGAAGAGCCCTAGATAACATGTACAGATGTTGCAGTTCTTAATGAGCAAGAATAGCAAAATCCTATTGTTTTATAAGATTAGAATGGAATCATAAAATGATTTTTGTTCTAAAGAGAAAGTGGCTATATTGGTTTTCAGCTTCTTGAAGTAGGACTATTGGGAAACTTGGAAATATTTTCATTCTGCTGAGAGACTCCTGGTGTTTGGTACCTGGACCCCCTATGGATACCAAAATCCATGGTGCTCAAGTGCCATTATATACAATGGCATAATTATTATGGTGTTCCCTAGATAAAATGGAAAAATTAAGATTTGCTTTTGGAATTAAAAAAGAATGCAAACCATGGATAGTTGAATCTGTCAACACAGAATCCATAGATACCAAATTTGTTGATATTATAGACTTCATCACATAGAAGCAGGGAAGTGTTTGGTAGAGTAAAGCTCAGTTTTGAAATGAAACGATGATTTCCCTAATTTTATCACACTGTTAAATGTATCCGTGTTACTCAGTTGTACTCAGCATTCTTTCAGTAGATTTGTCATCAAACTGTAATCACTAAGCACTCCCCCCCTCCCCCATTCTTTGTGGGGGGAAACATCCTCTCTTTGAAATATCAACTGTGTCTTCAGTTCCGGAAGCAAAGAAGCCGGGAGGGAGGGAAAGCAGTGATGCTCTCTCTCTCTCTCTCTCTCTCTCTCTCTCTCTCTCTCGGCTGCCCCACAGAGAAGGGTGTGGACCTTTGGAAACCATAACTCCCAGGACCACAGAGTATGGAGCTATGGTATTTAAAGTGGGGTGCAAGGGCATTCATTCCATATTGTAAATGCACCAAGAGAAGGTTATGGTCCTTGGCAAACTATGACTCCCAGGACTGCACAGCATTGAGACATGGCATAATAATAACAGTAACAATAATAACAACAACAACAACAACAATGGCATTTTAAATGGGTCCCAACTGCATTTATTCTCCAGTGCAGATGCACCCAGAGAAGGATATGGACCTTGGAAAACTATAACTCCCAGAACCGCATATTATGGAACTATGGTATTTAAAGTGGGTCCAAGAGCATTCGATCCAAAGTGTAAATGCACCCAGAGGAGGGCATGGACCTTTGAAAAGTATGACTCCCAGGACCGAAACAAGAAGATAGATTTACAATCTCATTTTGAAGTTTCTCTTGTATTGTGTATCATTTGTACACAGATGTGTTATATCTAAAGAGTATTTGCAGTTCCCTTATTCATCATTTTAAAAAAGTATATGTAACAAATGTGTTATGAAGATAAATAAGATAACAAATATAACATTAGTTGCAGTGATATAGTTCATAAAGATGAATATACAGATTATTATTTTAAAAAGACTTTTATCATTGGTATCCTTTAAAATGTGTGTATGTCATAATTTCTCATATATTAGGTTCAAACACCATTGCTCAAATTGCATGAACATACACAGATTTTAAAGGTTTTTGGTAGAAAGAGATACCTCTAAACATTCACTGATGAGAACAGGAGTTTCAGAACTAGCTATATGTTCTCAACCCATAAGTAATGCTAAGGGAATGCCACAATAATCATACGTATTAGTTTTAATACAGTATGACCTTCAATGTCCACAAGGGCTAAGTTGCAAGACCACCTCTGTGGATAGCTGAAGCTGTGGATGATATTGAACCATGTATTTTGACTATACTTGGGATAGAAGCATACCATAGAATACCACTGGAGGACTTAGAGAAGCCCACAAATATTTCAGGGGAAATATTTTGAAGTGTGGGTGAGTGAAACCTTGGATACTGAGTCCATTAATAAGTGTGTTATACTGAACAAGCATAACAACAATTGTATGTAGTAATGATAACAATGCTACTAGTAGTAATCTGAGATATTTTTCAAAGGGTAATGCTTGAGTGTTTACAGCTACCAGTAATCTACTGTGTCTGAGGCTAGATTTACACTGCCATATAATGCACTGAACTGGATTATATGGCAGTGTAGATTTATATAATCCAGTTCAATGTAGTTAATCTGCATTCTGAAACTGCATTATATGGCAGTGTTGATGGGGCCTGACATGACTTGGGATGAACAACACAAAGTCCTACTCATCCACCACTACCCCCATCTACATTGGTGCACCTCAATAAGAGGGCCCTGGGTACATGATGTTAGTGTGAGTCCACCTGTGAAAGATCTTGATAAATGAAATATGCCTTGTGGAATTACTCTGCTATTTTTCTCAAGGGGGTGCTGATCAATTTCCTTCTTGTTGTTATGTGCCTCCATGTTAAGGCTGACTTGAAGGCATACAACAACTAATGTCCTCTGGCTTGTTGTGTGATCTCAAATGGGGGCTGAAAGTTTGACTTGCCTAAGGCCACCTGGTGGGTTTCATGGTTTCCTGGTCTTCAAAGTCATAGTACAATGCTCAAACCACTACACCATACTGGGCCATGGGTCTACTCTGGTTGAGAGCTAAAATAGGAACTAAAACGGTTCCATGACAGGGCTTTCTTGGGACCCTTCCACATAGCCATATAACCCAGAATATCAAGACAGAAAATCTCACAATATCTGCTTTGAATTGGGTTATCTGAGTCCACCCTGCCATATATTCCAGTTCAAAGCAGATAGTGTGGGATTTTATTTAGCTGTGTGGAAGGGGCCTTGGCAAGATTTATTCAGAAGGGCTTTGCCTTTGTATTCCTCAGAGACTGAGAGATCAGTCAGTGGGTTTCTATGACTGAGTGGATATTTGGATCCTGATCTCCATAATCATAGTCCAACCATGACTCCATGCTGGCTCTCTGTACTTTCTCACTGCTATTTCTGTCTTTTTAGCTCACCATTAAAATATTATTAAGAAGAGAAGACAGAATAATGGCATGAAACCTTTATATTGGTAATACTAAGAGTCTCCTGGAAGTACTAGAAGATACAAATGTTATGTACAATAAGAAGTGAATTGTGAATCATCTTTTCTCTTTTATTCAGTTCTGAAAAAGAACGACCCAATATATCAATGGTGGTGAACCTATGGCACGTGTGCTGAAAGGGACATGCAGTGCCCTCTCTCCTGGCTCTCATGCCATGCCCCCCCCCCGCGCTCATTCACCCCCATTTGCTGCTCTCTCCCTCTCTTTCTCTCTCTCTCTCACACACACACCAGCTCACCCCCCTTTTCACCTTACAGCTGGTTTTGGATTGCAGTTAGGGCACTCCAACTCTCAAAGGTTTGCCACCTGCGATATATCAACTGGGTGCTCTGTTACACAGCTTAGAAAAACGACCTTTGGGTATAATACTTCTAGAAATGCTCAACATGTTCCATACTACAAAAATAACCCTTCCAAGCTCTGCTTAGTTATCTACACAAAACAGCAAATTTGGGACAGCAGCACTTATTCGTATCCCAATGGATTCAGTAGATGTACTCTATTTGAGGACCAACTCATTGTTTCCTGTTTTCTCCACATATCTAAGCTATGATGACACTATCACTGGGGTTTTTTTTGGGGGGGGGCAAGATTCAGAAGTGGTTTGCTATTGCTTTCCTCTGGGGCTGAGTATGACTTGGGACATCTTCAGATAGTTCCGTTTTGCGGCTTTTAGCTGGGGATTGAACACGGCCTACCAAGTGCCATCAGACTACGCACAGCAGGTCTTGTCCACATTCCTCCCAAAGTGGAAGGGAAATGTCAAAATGTGCTTCCTCCTCTACCACAGGGAGGAAAGTATTTTTTGCGTAGGTTCAACAGAGCTACCCGCACTTTCCTCCCCTTTTCCTCATATGATGACGGCGAGGCAACACGCATTGCTGCCCTTTCTTCCATCTGATAGGGACAAGGTGCCAACATGCCCTGTCCCATCGCCACCATGTGATGTGGGAAGGAGAGCGTACAGAGCACCATGAGGCACTCTGTGTGCCCTCCCATTCGCCAGCAACTGCTAGTGCTATGGCAGAGCCCCTGTGGACTGAGTGAAGAGGTCCTTGCTCAAGATCACCCAGTGGACTTAATGGCAAAGCTGGAATTCAAACGCGGTCATAGTCTAACTCTCAGGCCACTAACTCATCTATTTATGTCTCAGCATTGTATGCAAGGCCCCTTTACACTGCCTTATAATCCAGATTATCAAATCAGATAATCCTTGATGGGTTGTAGGAAGCCACGCTGCCATATAATTCATTTCAAAGCAGATAATCTGGATTTTATATGGCAGTATGGAAGGGGCCTAAGAATTATTTTCCTCTGATAGAATAAGCTTCCACCACCAAAGATCCTTCTATTAGAACATTTGATCCTATTGTCTGCTCACCTCTCATTTGTTCTTTGATCACCTTACGCTTGTCTCTTTGTCTCGGCATCCTTTTTACATGTTGCTACAGCTATCCTGTATTAAGTGTAAACAACCCATGATTTTAAAGTCCCTTTTATGATTTTTGTTCCATCTTACTTTGCTGTCTTCTCCATTTTTTCTTGAACCCCCTCTTTTGCCACTAACCAAATGCTCATCATATTGGCTCCTTTTATGTAGCTCCTCCTTTTGGTGCTTTCTCTTCTCTTTGCTGTCCTCTTATGGGTGAGGCTCATCCCATCTTACCTGCCCAGGCATTTCAGCATGTCAAATAACTATTTTATAATTACTGTTCTATGTTTAATTGTTGGTTACTGTTGCCCTTGTTATGGGTTGTTTTTATTATACTGTTTTAATCGTATTGACTCCTGGGAGCTTATCCTGCCTTGAGGGATAGTTTATAAATAAATGTTTTAGTCCATTTATTCTTTGGTTTTTCCTTCTTGATGAAGTTTTTCTTCTTTTTTTATGCAGTTCTTCAGTCTTGATTAGCAAGTTTAAAGTTTCTCCGCACCTTCAAAATCCCTTCTCCTTTGACCACATGCTTTTTTTTTAGATTGTGACGTCTTCAGGCGTTTATTATGTTTTTGGTGCTAGTGTATTTTTTTTAAATATTTCCCATCTCTGACTTGATTTATTGGATTGTATCTAAAGTCTGGCATTTGTCAGCAAGCCTGTAAAAATAGATGACAGCCCAACCATACTCTCCAACTGTCCTAATTTGGCAGTGACTATCTGGATTAATCTTCTGTTGTCCCACTTTTCAAGCAGCTTTTAAAATATCCTGGTTTCTCTCTCCTCCTTCCCTTTCCCACTTTATCCTAAGGTTATTTCCATGCAGCAAACTGTGTTCAAAGTGCAAAAGTAGGGCCCCTTCCACACAGCTGAATACAATCCCACATTATCTGCTTTGAACTGGGATATATGGCAGTGTGGATTCAGATATCCCAGTTCGAAGCAGATATTGTGGATTATTCTGCCTTGATATTCTGGGCTTTATGGCAGTGTGGAAGGGCCCTAAGTTGCATTCAACTCTGGGAGGTGAATTAAGAAAAATTATTTTGTCCTTCCCTGTAGACTTAGGCAAAAGCAACCTACTGCAGTTTCTTCTAGCTTTTGTCTTCTTCCTCATCAATGATTTTTGCCATGTTGACCACACTTTGATATTATGTAGCCACACAAGGCTTAGTTTGGTTTCCATCTGTAAAAAAATGTATTTTCTGTACTTAGGTTGGGGGGAGGGGAGGATAGCAATAAAGCAAGCAAAGTAAAGCACTTCTACCTAATTTTGGTGAAAAACCACCACAGCCCTTCACATTCAGCAGACCCCTACAGCTTTCTATGTGTAGTAGTTATGTATAGCTGGCTGTGTGGAATAAGGGGTGAGGAAGTCTGCTTCTGCCAGATCAGCAGCACAATTTAATCTCAATCCCTACCTGCTATAGTCATCATAATTGACTTTGTGTTTTAGAAGTGACTAGGATTAATATAGGAATGAAATCCTCTACCATTTGCATTTGCTTGGAACTGTTACCTGTTCATTATTGGGATTTGAGATCATGGCAAGCCTACCAGTAGAGGAACTTTTGATGTCTAGTAAATGTTGTTGTGAAAAGAGTAATAATCTACCAGCAACTGATATTTGAGGGTCAAAGGACAAGTACAGAATTAAAACTCTACTTAAGTTATTAAATATTAACTATGACACATGCCATCGGCTAGGGAAAGCATTAAAAGCTCCATCATACCAAAAATAGAAATAGAAAATTACAATATACCCAGGCTGTAAAACCTCTGGAATCCTGGATATTGGTTGGATTTGCATTCCCCAACTTTCCCTAACCACCAGTTGCCCTTTAAAATATCTGAAGATAATCAGATTTGGAAGAAGCTGCGGTGGCGCAATGAGTTAAACCCTTGTGTATGCTGAACTATTGACCTGAAGGTCAGTGGTTTGAATCCGTGAGACAGGGTAAGCTCCCATCTGTCAGCTGCAGCTTCCCATGCAGGGAAGGGAAATGAGAGAAAACTCCCACAGGATGGTACCCATCTGGGCATTTCCAGGCAACGTCTGCAGACTGCCAATTCTCTCACACCAAATGTGACTTGCAAGTCGCTTCTGACACAATAAAAAAATCAGATTTGGAAAGTCTAATGCAGGACAGTGATAACCTCGCAGAGTAAAAAGGAATAGTGTGATATAAATTTCCATCTCAAGGAACCGTTTTCACAAAATCACATTATGGCGTGACTAATCCTATTGAAAAATGAAAACACAAATATACATTGATCTATATTCAGTCCTGTTGTACTATTGACCACCTGCTTTCCTGGAGTTATTGGTCTTTATTTACTTCTATGCCATAGTTCAGGCAACTGATGAAAAAAGAGAAAACGTAGCATCTTAAATGGGCATAGGCAAACTTTGGCCCTCTGGGTGTTTTGGACTTCAACTCCCATCATTCCTTACAGCCTCAGGCCCCTTCCTTTTCCCCCTCAGCTGCTTAAGCGGCTGAGGGGGGAAAGGAAAGGGCCTGAGGTTGTAAGGAATGGTGGGAGTTGAAGTCCAAAACACCCAGAGGGACAAAGTTTGCCCATACCTGCTCTAGAGATTTTTTTCCCCTTAAGTAAGATGAATGAGACATTCACCGATTTATCACTAAAATGCTGGTCTTTGGCTCTTCTTTCTGTCTAACTTTAGTTTTGTATGTACACATTTTGGTAAAATACAGATAGCCATTTGCTAACTTTCAGCTTCCTCACAGCATGTATCTATCCAGTTGGCGAGCTGGGCGTCTTACTATCCTGCCTTGCATAAAGAGAATTTTACCACATACGAGCTACAGATGAGTGTCTGTAGTGTCAGTGAGTGTCTCTGATACATTTCATTGTATCAGAGACACTCGTTCGCACAATAGTGTTGAAACCAACATTCCCTTCTGCTTTTCAGTTACAGAAAAAGCCCTGTGAACTTTGTATCAGATACACACAGTTTAAAAAAGTGGCAAAATTAATCGCTGGGTGAAACCTACCACTGCTATATCACCCGATTAGCCCCCTTTGAGTGTCTACAGGCGCTTCATTATATTATTATATCACAATACATGCAGAGTTGAGGTTGATTTGAATCCCTCTTTCTCTTTCCTAGTCCGTTTTTTATTTATTAACTAACGTATTTACCCGGCTTTGCCCAAGTTTCAGAAGACCTGCTGTCCGCCTGGTTTCCCTTCTTTCTGATTCCCTACCCTCATACCTTTTCTTCTTTCCTTCCTCATCTTTTCTTCCTTTCTTTTTCTTTCTTGCCCTTCCCTTCCTTCATTTTCTCTTTCTTTATTTCCTGCACTTCTCCTTTCTCCATTCCCCAGCTCTCCATTCTACCTCACAATGCCTTGGTGGCAACATGGCTCTCTTTACGGCACCTTCCTTCCTTCCTTCCTTCCTTCCTTCCTTCCTTCCTTCCTTCTCCTCATACACATACCACTTTTATTTCCCAGTGACAGCACAGAGGGCCACTTCACCTAGCAACAGCCTTTGTGGTAGAAACATACATATATGCTTTGAGTTTTATACATGTATAGATTTAACCCACTGTGCTTCCGATGGCACAGTGGGTTAAACCGCTGAGCTGCTAAACTTGTTGACCGAAAGGTCGCAGGTTCACATCCGGGGAGCAGCATGAGCTCCTGCTGTTAGTCCCAGCTTCTGCCAACCTAGCAGTTTGAAAACATGCAAATGTGAGTAGAGCAATAGGTACCGCTCCAGCGGGAAGGTAACAGCACTCAATGCAGTCATGTTGGCCACATGACCTTGGTGGTGTCTATGGACAATGCCGGCTCTTCAGCGTAGAAATGGAGATGAACACCAACCCCCAGAGTCAGATACAACTGGATTTAATGTCATTGGAAAGCCTTTACCTTTACCTATTTACATTTTACTCAATGAAGAGAACTGAAGAACTCAAATCTTAGCATATGTTTTGCACTGTTGTATTTCCTCCCCTGTCTTTTAAAAGTCTGGAAAAATAAAACACATACCGCATTTCAGTTGAGTGTTTAGTCATATGTATTAAGTCTGTGTTTTATATTAACTTGTCTTTTCAGATCAGCTTAGATTTGTGCTACTTCTTATCGCTAGCTGCACTTAAAACAACTTCTCTCATACTTCTTAACACAGGCAGTCGGACGTGAGTTGCTGCTGCATTTGATAGACCTTTTGGTGACAAGTGACCAGCATGATCCAGTCATTACAAGGCTTATCGACAGCACCCGGATACACATCCTACCTTCAATGAACCCTGATGGATTTGAAGCAACAGCAGAGTTTGCCTGTTTCCCCCCATATGGCAGGTAAGAAGGATATGGGCAAGGACATCCATTCTGTTGGAAAGAGCAACCTTCTTCAAGACTCCACTAGTTATTTGTTATGGATATAATTCAAATTGCTTACTGTATTGTATATGTGTGTATTGATTTGCAGTTTTTGTTTCATTCTTTGTTGTGGTAGGGGCTGCAGAACATATGGTCAGGTCTGGGCTTGTTCAGGATTCAGACTCCATTTTAGAAACAGTATGTTTGCAGATGTCAGCAGAACAGTATGCTTAGAGACTTCAATTCAGAAACTGTATGCATTGGACTTCAGTAGGAACAGTATGCTTAGACTCCACTGCACTTTCAGACTAGACAGAGACTCTGTTAGACTCTCAGAACAGAGAAATGCTTTAGATTATGCACTGTTGATTATCAGGAAAAAGCCCTATGTTACCTACACAGAGAAACTGTTTCAAATGTACTTGTAACTGGATTCATATGCAAAGTACCTGAATGCTAAATACATGAAGTTTGTGAGTAAACCAACTATGTTACTTTTAAAGAATTCTGCTTATTTTCATCTCTTAAGAGCATGATTTAAAGGCAAATAAATTTTAAGGGAGCATAGGTGTTTTTGGGTAACTAAAAGAACACTTCTGAATCTCTGCTATCTATATGTGTGTGTGTGTTTTGTGCATTGGCATATCTCTGCCCCTAACAGTTCAAAGACATATCTAAGCACTTTAATTTAACAACTGAGAAACCTGACTGCCTTGCATGAGTGCCATTTCCCCAAAAGGTCATGCTTTTTACCAAGAGGTTATGGCATCATTTTTCAAAAGGTTTTGACTTCTAACAAGGTCATGCCTTTCCAAACATCATAAAATCTCCAAAAGGTTATGGAGATTTCTATTTTCCAAAACATTCTGGGGCACTACTTTCTGTTACTTTGACAGGTTTTCAGCTTCTCTGTTTGCTTGCCAGAAGTTTAACCATAGAGAACATTAAATTAGGAACCTTCAAACTAAGATTGTATGAGATCAATAGAAAGTGGAAATAGCTTCTAAAGGAGACAGATCCTAAAAATAGCAAGATTATGGCATGGAGAGACTGCACAAATTATGAGCACAAACAATGGAGGGAGGTTGCTCTATGAGAGAAACATCTAGGGGAAATCTTGCGGCCCAGAGAAAGGTTGCCTATGATGTGGTAGCAGGTTCAAATCCGGGGAGCTGGTTAAGCTCCCGCTGTTAGCCCCAACTTCTGCCAACCTAGTCATTCAAAAACATGCAAATGTGAGTACATCAATCAGGACTGCTCTGTCTGGAAGGTAACAGTGCTCCATGCAGTCATGCTGGCCACATGACCTTGGAGGTGTCTATGGATAATGCCGGCTCTTCAGCTTAGAAATGGAGATGAGCACCACCCCTCAGAGTCAGACATGACTGGACTTAATGTCAGGGGACAACCTTTACCTTTACCTACCACACATGGGTAACTACCTCACATTTCCCATCCATCATTTCCAACGTCTACCTTTTGTCTTCCATGGCACCTCTCCATTTCCTGAAAGGTGGAGATCAGGGGGAACAGCAAATAAATGTTCTGGTATTTTCTAGTGACTGGATGGAGGAAAATCAATTTTTGTGTAACTGGATGCACACCATGAAATAATGTTTAGGAGAAAGAGCTCTGGGAGATCCCAGAGAATGTCTCTCACTGTGCGTCTAGCTATAAGAAAATAACTGAACTGTTCACTGCTCTCCCTTGATTCTCCATCAGCAAAGAAATGGATATATATATATATATATATATATATATAGAGAGAGAGAGAGAGAGAGAGAGAGAGAGAGAGAGAGATAATTAATTAATTAATTAATTAATATATGGGATGGCATATATTAATGCAGTGGGTTTGAGCAGAATTTTGGTTGGTATAGAATTGTGACATCCACATTAACACGAAAAGTGTGTGAGAACTGCATAAGCTGGATGTCAAACAGTAAGTTGGGACTTTTGCACTTACAAATTATGATTTGATGTGTTCTATGTCTGGAAACACATTCATTCTGCTTTGTATATCAGCTCTGCTTTTTCTTCCTCATAGACAGGACACAATTACAAACAGCTATTGTACTTGGAGTACAAAAAACACCACAGAAAGCTCAGACTTCTTTAGAAGAGGCAATAATATGCTGCGATGGTCCTAGAAGATGGACAGTCCTTAGATGGTCACATTACAATCTAGTATTTGAAGTTATGTTTCAGACTGGAGTCTAAATAATATTCATTATATCCTGCTAAGGTACAATGCTAATTTTGAAGACCTGAACAGGAACTTTCCGGATGCCTTTGACAAGAATAATGCCACAATCCAGCCAGAGACTCGAGCAGTGATGGACTGGTTAAAAAATGAGATGTTTGTACTCTCTGCTAACTTGCATGGTGGAGCATTGGTAGCAAGCTACCCTTTTGATAATGGTGATTCAGGTAAGTTTACACCTGTCTTTTATTTTGGAGAACTAAATACCTTGGTGACCCCTAGGTAAACGGTAAAGGTTTTCCCCTGACACTAAGTCCAGTTGTGTCCAACCCTGAGGGTTGGTGCTCATCTCCATTTCTAAGCTGAAGAGTCAGCATTATCCATAGACACCTCCAAGGTCATATGGTTGGCATGACTGTATGGAGTGCCATTACCTTCCCGCCAGAGCGGTACCTATTGATCTACTCACATTTTCTTGTTTTCAAACTGCTAGGATGGCAGGAGCTGGGGCTAACAGCGGGAGCTTACGCTGCTCCCTGGATTTGAACCTGTGATCTTTTGGTCAACAAGTTCAGCATTTCAGCGCTGTAACCCACTACGCCACCAGGGGCTCCAGTGGTTTACATATTATATGTAATACGTGACAAATCCTATTTTATAGCATGAAGTATCTCCCCACAGCCATCAGGTATTTTCACTAGAAAATCCCAGTAGCATCTCCAATATCAGTTATGATCAAGATTGTGGCCTAAATTGTTTGTAGGTCATTAAGTTGGGAAATATGAAGATACTGAACAAATAAGAGGCAGACAGACACATGAAAAAGCTCTTACATAGTTGTGCCTTAAACATCTATTCAATTAAAGCCATAGGCATCCACACTGATAAAATACTTCCAGAATGAATGGAGAATTGACATTTTACACCTACACGCAACTTTGTTCTGATTACCAAAGGAACCTGCACATGGGACACTTTATCTTATCCAAAATTCATAACAGGATACTTCATTATATTAGCTTATATGGCCCATATTGCAAAGCAGGCCATATGTTTAATAGAATTGAAGTAGTTTTCCCTTCACACATTTACCTTAGGCGATCCCTTGTTGTCAGAGTATGATGGCCGTCTTGGCAGTGGATATGTAGATGACTGTGGAACCCTATGCTTGACCTGCATGTTCTTCCACAGTGAGGGCATCAGTTTCCAGGTGGAAGGCGGTCCCGGTCAGGGTTGGCTTCCTCTTGGCCCGTTTCTCCCTTTTGCCCTCAATTCATGATTTGATTATGTTGTTTTGCACTGTTTATTTTATTTTGTTACTTTATGTATTTTGTTGTGATGTAATTTTTTCTGTTGTTTTGTGTCTAACTTTGCTGTATTATTTTTGGACTTGGCCTCATGTTAGCCGCCCCAAGTCCCCTTTGGGAGATGGTGGCGGGGTATAAATAAAGATTATTATTATTATTATTATTATTATTATTATTATTATTATTGCCTTATTCCGCAGCACTGCTGGTCACAACTGTCCTCCAGTTAAAGCACTCAAGGGCCAGGGCTTCCCAGTTCTCAGTGTCAATGCCACAGTTTTCAAGGTTGGCTTTAAGCCCATCTTTAAATCCCTTTTCCTGTCCACCAACATTCTGTTTCCCGTTCTTGAGTTGGGAGTATAGTAACTGCTTTGGCAGACGGTGATCGGGCATTTGGACAACATGGCCAGTCCAGCGGAATGTACCTGTATATTACCACAATATACAGGTACAGTCAGTCCTTCACATTCACTGAGGCTAGGAGCACAGGACAATGTAACTTTGTGACCAGCTTCTTCCTGTAGCTTTACAGATAGGAAGGAAGCTTATAGGAGTCTCTTGGTCCTTTCAGATGCACCACCAGGACTACAGAACAACAATCTCACTCTTATTTTACACTGGGAGGAACCTCTAGAGCAGTGGTTCTCTACCTGGGATCCCCAGATGTTTTTGACCTACAACTCCCAGAAATCCCAGCCAGTTTACCAGCTGTTAGGATTTCTGGGAACTGAAGGCCAAAAACATCTGGGGACCCCAGGTTGAGAACCACTGCTCTAGAGCACCTCCCTCAGAGTCAGAGCTGAGTACCACCTCCCAAACTGGAGATAAAAGGGAAAGCCTTTGCCTTTGTCTGTCTGTATATTTGTGTTTCATAGTGTTTCAGAGGCATTAAATGTTTGCCTGCGTCTATATATATGCTGGGATCCGCTCTGAGTCCCCTCAGGGAGATAGGGCAGAATACAAATAAAGATTGTTGTTGTTGTTGTTGCTGCTGCTGCTGTTGTTGTTACCTAGGAACTGTAATCATCAATTGTAATGTGTATGTAAGACCCCTCACCCCATACTAATTCAATTTTACTGTGATCACTTTCCCCCCTGTAGTTACAATTACTTTACAAGGCAGTAGCAAAACACTGGATAATGATGTTTTTGTGCACCTTGCAAAAACATATGCAAACAATCACGCCAGAATGTTTCAAGGAGCTGCATGTCACAATGGAGATGACTTTCCAGGTGGCATTACAAATGGATATTCTTGGTACAGGCTGCTAGGTAAGACTTTCTTTTTCTCTCTCTCACTCTACAACTCCTATCTATAGGCAATTGCTCCTAAATCTGATTATTAGACTAAGTTCTGTGTACTGTTCTAGCTGACTGCAACTTTTAAGAATTGTATAACAACATCTCAAGATTCAGGTTCATGATTTACTGTTCTAATGTTTGGGTAGCCGAAAGGTAGTTTGGAATCTACTCAAAGATCTGATTAATGGTAGTTCTGAGTTATTTAATATTAAGAACCATATTTGTCAACAACAACAACTCTCCTCCCCACACATCAGACTGCTTAAATGAAAAAAAACCTTGGGGTTGCCCACAATGAGAAAAGATTAGGAGTGCCACTCAACTCTGGCACTTGAAAGTAATCCGTGTTATTACTCAGCCATTGTTCAGGTGGTGTTTCAAGTCTAAATTTATCCACTTGGCTCTTTTTGATGAATCTCAAACACAGACTCCGCAGCCCTGAGGTGCATTCAAATGGAAGGAGCCTGCTGCTACAATTATGTAAAATTGCGTTGTGCAACTGTTCTGGCTTTCCATTTTTAATAGAGATAACATGACAGAGGAAAGCAGTGGGAAACTGTGGAAGGCAAAGTTTCAAGGACCCTATAAATTTGAGTGAATCAGGACGGAAAGCTGTATACTATATGCCATGTCATGAAGTGCCCTGAAATGTTCTCCTTATATACATAGAATCATAGAATCATAGAGTTGGAAGAGACCTCATGGGCCATCCAGTCCAACCCCCTGCCAAGAAGCAGGAAAACTGCCAAGTGGGGTGTTCAAACTTGGGCGTATCGGGTATTTGTGCCAAATTTTGTCCAGTGAATGAGAGTACATACTGCATATCAGATATTTACATTATGATTCACCACAGTGGCAAAATTACAGTTATGAAGTAGCAACGAAAATAATTTTATGGTTGGTGGTCACCACAACATAGGTTCACGGCATTAGGAAGGTTGAGAACACTGCCCTAGAGCATTAAAGCAATCCCAACATGGTAGAGTTATTTAACAGTCCTCTGTTTATAGGGAAAGTTTTCCTTATTTTTTTAGTTCACATAAACTTTCTACATCCTAGGGTGGATTGTGAGGTAGGGGGAGCATAAGAGGTAGAAGGAGGTGAGTTATGAATGCTGAGTGACACGTTCATTTCCATTCCAAAGCTCGAGCCAGCCCATGGTCCCCCGGGCAAACAATGTCTGTGGCTTTGAAAAGAGAGTGAACATACATACTAAAATTTGGCAAACAAGGATTAACTCAGCAATACAGCAGAGCACTTCAGGGGATTGTGTCTTATGGGTATTTTTGCACACCAGCTTAAGTTAGTTTCTATGTGTTTCAGTTCATACTAGGTGAAATGAAAACCTGCTTTGGCTAGACTGCACACTCATTCTGTACCAAGTTGTATCAAAATTGTGTTCTAATGTGCTGGTTTATTATAGAAGAGTAAGATGGCTTTTGTACTGGTGTGATGCCCATCAGGATAAGATCAGGTAGAAATGGGTTGAGGAACAAGAACGTTACTGGCTATATAGTCACGCATAAACCACCACTTCATGGCATGGACTGAGGCTACATCTCCTGTCATCTGACTAGTTCATCCTTGCAAGGCAGTGTCTGCATGTGTTCCTGATGCGTCTTCCACATCCCCTTTCTTCTCTGTTGCTCCACATCTCACTTAAATTCCTCCTATTCCAGCTTCCTCATGCAATTGACTCATCTTTTCTGACATTTGCTGCCAGGCAATAGAAATATGATTCTTTATTGACAAACACATTTCCATAACCATAGCTCTTAACTTTGTTTCAACTATTTTTTAAAAAAAATCCATTTAAGCTAGGAATGGGCAACTTCTGGGGGCCAGAAGGCTGTATTAAATCCTCCAGAACTCACTAGGAACTATCCCCATGTTTCCTCCTCCTCCTGAATGCAGTCCTGTCCCCATAGAAGCAACACAATTGCTTTTTGTCACTAGATATGCGTAAAACAATTTGCATATTACAATTTCTGGAGGCACATTTTTTTAAAAAAAACAAACAGATTCTCCATAACATTTTCACTGCCATTTGAAAATCATAAGCTTTTGTAAAAGTATGATCTTTCAGAGAAGAGCCAAAAAAAAAGAGAGTAAAATCTTCTCTTCAGTGGTATATAACCACATGTACTCATGCAAGGCGATTTGGTTTTCAGTTGTTAGACTGATAACTTAGTTGTCTCTGATCTGTTGGAACAGAGATTATGCCAAAGCACAAAATATAGCAGTTCTTCAGTGAGTTTTTTTTCAGTGCCCAAAAACATCTACTCTCCCATAAAATATCTTGTTTCTATATCATGCTCTCAAGAGACAAACATAAAGTAGACTTCATTAAAAGTAACATATCTGGTTTACTTACAACCTTCATGTATTCAGCATACAGGTACATAACTTGTCAATCCAGTTACAGATGGATTTGAAGTGGTTTCGCTGTGCAGATAATACAGGGCATAATGAACAGCAACACGAGTTCGCTTTTAACAGTCAAAGTCCCATTTGCCTAGTTTCCTCACAACCTCTGAGGATGCCTACCATAGATGTGGATGAAATGTCAGGTGCTTCTGGAACATGGCCATACAGCCCAGAAAACTCACAGCAACCCAGTGATTTCGGTCATGAAAGCAACAGTCCAAAGTCTAATGACGCCTGTCCTCTAAAATGGAGTCTGAGCTCTGAGCAGTCTCAGATCTGATCATATGATCTGCAGCCCCTCCCACAACCTCAAGAAACATAGAGTAAAGGGAAAGCGGCATACCAAAAACATACGTAAATATACAATACAGTAAGCAAACAGAATCATAGACAAAACAAATTACTAGTGGGGGTTTGAAGAAGGTTGCTATTTCCAATAATTTTGCACTACAACTCTTAGAATCCAGCATATTAAAAACAATATTGGTGTGCATATTTCTTTCTTCATGGTGTTTCAACTATGCATTTAAATGTTTTCTTTAGGTGGGATGCAAGATTATAACTATATCTGGGCTCAGTGCTTTGAAATTACACTAGAAGTATCATGCTGTCAGTATCCACCCGAAGATGAACTTCCATCATTTTGGAATGACAATAAAATTGCTTTGATTGAGTATATTAAGCAAGTGCATCTGGGTAAGTTGCATCACCTGAAGGTATCTTTAGTATTCATCATACTCTCATATAAATCATGTGGTTAAAAATCCTAAGTGGTCATTTAAGAGAATGTTATTTCTGATAACATTGCTTCTACATGACATTTCCTTTTACTACATATAGGCATAAAGCCTATAGTTAGTCCTAACTAGAATAGCTCAGTTGGTTGTACCTGTATGTGGACTTCCCATTGAATGATGAATTCAGGGTGGAACTAACCAACAAGATTCCAACTGTGTTGAGTGTTTTAATGCTTTGTAATAAACATAATGACAATGGATCTAAATGAAATTAGATTAACATCCTTTTCACATTATATAATTATAGCAATTTGATTCCACTTAAAACAATCAAGGCTGCAATCTACCTCTCCTTAAATTAAATTCATAGAAGTTAGGATCCTCATTGGCTATTCGTTAGAATGTCTATATATCACCTCCAGTATCAGAATGCCTCTGTCTATATATTTCTGGGAAAATGCCACTGCACTCCTACCCTGCTGATGGTCATCTGAAAAAACAGGTTGACTACAATGTGGGAACAATATGAGACAGAAATGGTCCATTGCCTACTCCAACATGGTTCTTATGTTCTTAAGGTGGAAGAATTATCTTTAAAATGGCTTTTATTTATTTATTTATTTATTAATGCGCTTGTATACCGCTAATATCTCAGCCTAAATCGGCGACTCATTGCGGTTTACAACAGTTAAAAAACAATATTCAATTTAAAAGCATAAAACACATATACAATACAAGTTATTGGGCCACCAATAACAATCCCATGCATCTCGTAACTGAAATCGCAATCCAAAATTCGTCGTCCATGATTACCCATCCTTTAGTCATCAAAATTCGTTGCAACGGATTAACCGAATGCTTGTTTAAACATCCATGTCTTCAATCTTTTCCGAAACACCATCAGCGAAGGGGCTGATCATACCTCTATGGGGAGGGTGTTCCAAAGCCGAGGGGCCACCACAGAAAAGGCCCTGTCTCTCGTTCCCACCAGCCGCACTTGTGAAGCCGGCGGGATAGAGAGCAGGGACTCCCCAGAAGATCTTAGGGTCCTGGTGGGCTGATAGGCTGAGATACGTTCGGATAGATAAGTTGGGCCAGAACCGTTTAGGGCTTTAAAGGCCAACGCCAGCACTTTGAATTGAGCCCGGTAGCAAATCGGCAGCCAGGGGAGCTGGCGCAACAGAGGAGTAGTATGTACCCCGCTCCTGTTAGTTATCTGGCTGCCGCTTGTTGGACTAATTGGAGCTTCCGAGCCGTCTTCAAAGGCAACCCCACGTAGAGAGCGTTGCAGTAGTCTAAACGGGATGTAACCAGAGCGTGGACAACCGTGGCCAAGTCAGACTTCCCAAGGTACGGGCGCAGTTGGCGCACGAGTTTTAACTGTGCGAATGCTCCCCTGGTCACCGCCGAAACCTGGGGTTCCAGGCTCAGCGATGAGTCAAGGATCACACCCAAACTGCGAACCTGCGTCTTCAGGGGGAGTGCGACCCCATCCAACACAGGCTGTAACCCTATACCCTGTTCGGCCTTACGACTAACCAGGAGTACCTCTGTCTTGTCTGGATTTAGTTTCAATCTGTTGTCCCTCATCCAGTCCGAGACAGAGGCCAAGCACCGGTTCATGCCTCGACTGCCTCCTTAGTAGCAGGTGGAAAGAGTGACAGAGTTGGACATCATCCGCGTACAGATGACATCGCACTCCGAAACTCCGGATGATCTCCCAGCGGCTTCATGTAGATGTTAAACAACATGGGAGACAGTATTGAACCCTGAGGAACCCCACAAGACAAAGGTTGTGGGGTTGAACAGGAGTCTCCCAGTAACACCTTCTGAGACCGGCCCTCGAGGAATGAGCGGAGCCACTGTAAAACAGTCCCTCCAAGACCCATTCCCGCGAGACGTCCCAGAAGGATACCGTGGTCGACGGTATCGAAGGCCGCTGAGAGGTCCAGCAGCACCAACAGGGACACACTCCCCCTGTCGAGCTCCCGGCGCAGATCATCCACTAAGGCGACCAAGCTGTCTCGGTACCATGCCCCGGCCTAAAGCCAGACTGTGCCGGATCCAGATAATCCGTGTCTACCAAGAATGCCTGGAGTTGTGAGGCCACCACACGTTCCATGACTTTGCCCAAAAAGTGGAGATTGGAAACAGGCCGATAGTTGACGAATTGAGTGGGGTCCAGTGATGGTTTCTTCAACAGCGGTTTTATCACAGCTTGTTTAAGCTGGCTGGAATTTTGCCCTCCCGAAGGGAGGCATTAACCACCCCCTTCACCCACTCGGCCAATCCCCCTCTGGCCTCCTTCAGAAGCCAGGATGGGCAGGGGTCTAGGATGCATGTGGTAGCTCTCATTCCTCCAAGCACCTTGTCCACATCCTCGGATTGAACCAATTGAAATGAATCCATCAAAACGGGACAAGCAGATGCTCGTGTTACATCCTCAGAGACTGCCGTTAATATGGTGTCCAGTCCAGAGCGGATCAAAGCGACTTTGTCTGCAAAGAACTGAGCAAAGGCTTCGCAGCGAGCTGCCGAGTCATCAGGGCACCCATCCTGAGTGGTGGGTTTTAATAGGCCTCTGACAACTCGGAACAGTTCGGCCGGACGGTTCTTTGCAGATGCAATAGTGGCCGCGAAGAAAGTCTTCTTTGCGGCTTTTATTGCCGCGGCATATGTCCTTAAAAAGGACACAAACCGTGTTCGGTTTGACTCGCTCGGATCCGAACGCCACACGCTCTCTAGTTCCCTCTTCTTTCGCTTCAACGCTGCCAGCTCCTCGGTGAACCAAGGAGCTGGTTTAGCTCGGCTACTTGAGAGGGGACGTTCTGGAGCGATCGTGTCTATTGCCCTAGTCATCTCCCCATTCCAGAGAGCGACCAGAGCATCAACAGGATCACCAACCGAGGTGGCGGGAAATTCCCCAAGAGCCATCAGGAATCCATCCGGATCCATAAGCCTCCTGGGGCGGACCAACTTAATGGGTCCTCCACCTCTGCGGAGGTTGGGGGGTGCAGTGAGTCTAAAGCTGACCAGATGGTGGTCGGTCCATGGCAACGGAGAGATGGACACCTTCCTCCCATCCCTGACAGAAAACCAAGTTCAATGTATGTCCAGCACTGTGGGTGGGGCCAGATACCTGTTGGGACAGCCCCATGGTTGCCATGGTAGACATGAAGTCCTGAGCCGCTCCCGATAGGGCGGCCTCGGCATGGACATTGAAGTCCCCCAGCACAAGCAGCCGTTGGGACTCCAATGCCAGGTCCGAGACCACCCCCGCTAGCTCAGGCAGGGAGACTGTAGTGCAGCGAGGTGGACGGTACACTAACAGAATCCCTAATCTGTCCCGGTCACCCACCCTCAGGTGGACGCATTCAAAATTTGTTGACTGCGGGATGGGGGCCCTGGTCAGAAGAATGGAATCTCTATAGACCACTGCAACTCCGCCTCCCCGCCCTCCGGATCTCGGTTGGTGCTGCACAGAGAAACCTGGTGGGCAAAGCTGGGTTAAATTTACACCTCCCGCTTCGTCCAACCAGGTCTCTGTGATGCACGCCAGATCTGCCCGTTCATCCAGGATTAAATCCTGGATGAAAGTTGTTTTACCGTTGACAGGCTTTGTTAAATGTCACTTGTGAAATATCATTAGATTGCAACATGTAAACATATACTGTGGAGTACCTTTTCATTGTGTTTTTAAAGAAAAAAATGATATGCAGTGTCTAGAACAGTGTTTCCCAACTTTCCTAATGCCACAACCACTTAGCACAGTTCCTCATGTTGTGGTAACCCCCGACCATAAAAATTATTTTCATTGCTACTTCATAACTGTATTTTTGCTACTTTTATGAATCATAATGTAAACATCTGATATGCAGATATTCAGTTATTCACATTACCCAATACACCCAAATTTGAATAATGGTGGGATGGGATGGGGGTGGGGATATTGATTTTTTCATTTGGAAATTGTAGTTGCTGGGATTTATAGTTAATCTAATATCAAAGATCATTCTGAACTCCACCAATGATGGAATTCAACCAAACTTGGCACGCAGAACTCCCATGACCAGCAGAAAATACTGGAGAGGTTTGGTGGGCATTAACCTTGAGTTTTGAAGTTGTAATTCACCTAAATTCAGAGAGCAGTGATAGATCTGGACCAAACTTGGCACAAATACTCAATAATTTCCAAATGTGAATACTGGTGGAATTTGGGAAAAATAGACCTTGACATTTGGAAGTTGTAGTTGTTGGGATTTATAGTTCACCTACAATCAAAGAGCATTCTGAACCACACCAATCATAGAATTGGGCCAAACTTCCCACACTGGCCAATCACAGCAGAGGAGGGCTTTTGGTGGGAGGATTCACTGTTTCCAAAAAGGTTCCTAAGGCCACCAGAAATATGTTTTCTGATAGTCTTTGCTGACCCTCTGAAACCCCCTCATGACCCCCTTCCCAGGGGTCCTGACCAGCAGGTTGAGAAACACTGGTCTAGAACAAAGGAGCAAAGGAAGAGTGGAAAACTGGTCGTTTTGACTCTTTCTGAGAACTTGGAAAATTCCATTCTGTGTGGAAGAGAGTCAAAGTCCCAGAATCCTGCTGCAAAGGTGGCCAGTGGCCATGCAAGGAGGGAGATACCCAGGGTTGTATTTGCAAAAAGGGTTTTTCCAGCTCCTTCCCTTTCCCCACTAGCTGAGAAAACATTTCTCTCCCTTATCTAGTTTGGCTCTTGTTGAGTCCTCTTTAGCTCTGCCTCAGCCTTAATCAACAGGATTACAATACACCCAATTGTTCTGTGATGCTCAGTTTCTGTCAGAGTAGCCTCCCTATCTTAAGGTAAGATTACGACTCCATTGTACCTCTTTTGTTGTCCACTAGCAACATTTCTTGTATGGGCCCCATTGAAATGCGCAGTGTATTGCTCTAAAACAATACTGCCCTCCTGTGGCTTGCAAAAGGCTGAACATGAAAACATTCCCAAATGGTTCCTATTCGGAAGCCATGTGTATTTGATAGAGTAGGTAACACATAGTTACCCAGAGCCCCCAATGGCGCAATGGGTTAAACCCTTGTGCTGGTTGGTCAGCAGTTCGAATGTGAGAAGAGTAGGTTGAGCTTCCTCTGTCAGCTCCAGCTCCCCATGTGAGGACACGAGAGAAACCTCCCACAAGGATGGCAAAGCATCAAACATCCTAGGCTGTTAGGAATTTTGGGAGTTGAAGTCCAAAACACCTGGAGGGCCAACATTTGCTCGTGCCTCCTCTACCAGCTTCAAAAACCTCGTGTTTTGGCTTAGTCCCATATGATATGTTCCCTACACTACAACTGTGGTCTAGGATGCAATTGCCTTAAGTTGTGCATCCTTCTCTACATCCTTAAGAATTGAAGACAAAGGTCATCACTAGATTGTGCTCAGTGATGCCCTCCGATGTCACTGCCCTTCTTTAGGAAAAAGCAATGATGCTGTAGTCACAAAATGAAATGCATGTAAGATCACTTTCCTCTTAACCTCTTTCTTGCCCTATAGGAGTAAAAGGTCGTGTTTTGGATATGAATGGAAAACCTATTCCAGGTGCCATAGTGGAAGCTTCAGGAAGACAACATGTGTGTCCTTACAGAACCAGAGAAAATGGAGAATATTATCTTCTGTTACTGCCTGGGACTTATAAACTTAATGTAAGTCTTCCTGTCCAGGTACATGAACTACTATGCCAGTGGTTCTCAACCTGTGGATCCCCAGGTGTTTTGACCTACAACTCCCAGAATCCCAGCCAGTTTACCAGCTGTTAGGATTTCTGGGAGTTGAAAGCCAAAACATCTGGGCACCCACAGATAGAGAACCACTGTCTATGCCTGTAATTGTGGCCAAGGTGTACTCATATTGATTAAGGCCTTTTGGGCACACACAGGAGGGGATTCATTGCTCCTTTCTGTGCAAGTCATTTGTTTCTCCAGCTAAGCATTTTGAGGTTGAGGGAGCTGCCTGAAGCCCCCACTACTGCACTATGCCCTATTGATACTCTATTTATTATCCCCATAGATTTCTGTGCAAAGTTTTAGTTTGCGTTGAAATTGCTTCCCACTAGGGTCTACCTGAGTAGAGAGTAGAGACATCAGACTGGCAACAAAGATCCGCCTAGTCAAAGCCATGGTATTCCCTGTAGTAACCTACGGATGTGAGAGCTGGACCTTAGGGAAGGCTGAGCGAAGGAAGATTGATTCTTTTGAGCTGTGGTGTTGGAGGAAAGTTCTGAGAGTGCCTTGGACTGCGAGAAGATCCAACCAGTCCATCCTCCAGGAAATAAAGCCCGACTGCTCACTGGAGGGAAAGATACTAGAGACAAAGTTGAAGTACTTTGGCCACATCATGAGGAGACAGGAAAGCCTAGAGAAGACAATTATGCTGGGGAAAGTGGAAGGCAAAAGGAAGAGGGGCCGACCAAGGGCAAGATGGATGGATGGCATCCTTGAAGTGACTGGACTGACCTTGAGGGAGCTGGGGGTGGTAACGGCCGACAGGGAGCTCTGGCGTGGGCTGGTCCATGAGGTCACGAAGAGTCGGAGACGACTGAACGAATGAACAACAACAAGGGTCTACCTGAACCATAGCTGAAAAACCCTTGCTTTTCACAGACCCAACTCCAAAGATCAGATTCTGATTAAAAGCGTTCTGTCATCCTTCCAAAATGTACCCTGTTATTTGAAGGAATCTCTCATTTAATTCTTTTACTCATTATAGTAGTGTGGGAGGTCTGTATTTACTGGGCAGGCCATCTGTTACAGATTTAGTTGTTTGTTATGGTTGCAAAATAGAAGTTAATTTCGTTGGTGTACGAAATAAGTTATATAAATACAACATAAGCTTGGAAGAGATTTAGTTTAGCTGTTACAAAATGAAGCCGAAATGTGTCTTTGCTAAAGAGGTTGCAAAACATCTTGTCATGTGTGGCATACCTAGTTGTTGTGTGCCTTCAAATAATTTCTGACTTACTGAGATCCTAAAGTGACATTATCACAGGGCTTTTTGGGGATGAGAGTGTGACTTCTCCAGGCTCACTCGGTGGTTTTGCATGGCAGAATAAGGATTGAACCCCTTGACAACAGTTATAGTTCACCCCACAAATTAGTCTATCTAGTTTATGTTATGGTAAGAACCAAGCACATTGTATAGGCAGGTTTGCATATGCAAGGTTCTAGATCCCACAAGCACAAATCTAACCATACAATAGAATTAGGAGCCCCTGGTGACACAGCGGGTTAAAGTGCTGAGCTGCTGAACTTACTGGCTGAAAGGTTGGCAGCTCAAATCCAGGGAGTGGGGTGAGCTCCCACTGTTAGCCCCAGCTTCTGCCAAGCTAGTATTTTGAAAACATGCAAATGTGAGTGGATCAATAGATACTGCTCCAGCGGGAAGGCTATGGCACTCCATGCAGTCATACTGGCCACATGACCTAGGAGGCGTCTACAGACAATGCCGGCTCTTTGGTTTAGAAATGGATATTAGCACCACCCCCCTATGTCAGACACAATTAGACTTAATGTCAAGGGGAAACCTTTACTTAACAACAGGATTGGGAGTTTCTTATATCCAAGTACTAACCAGAGATGCCCCTGTTTAGCTTCCAAGATCAGACAGGATCAGGTTCCTTTAGATATTTAAATAGGTACATAGTGCCATTCACTTGCCCTCGTAACTCATCCAGAAACCTCCCACTGCTCAAAAGCTGTCAAGTATGGGAGGATTTACTCCTGCTGTTTCTTCCCAGTGGTGATGGGAAGGCAGGGTTAGGTGATTCAGACCATGATGATCCAGCTCTTTTGAGCTTCTGAAGCAAGAGAAAATGGGTACTCCATTTGGGAGTGTACCCTTGTTTTTTTCCTCCATGCTCTGAATCTCCTCCTCTTCTCCACGGTAAACAACTGCATCAAGGGCTTTAATAGTTTCCATGTGCTGAAAAATGCAGAATAGCTATATGTTGATGTTAGGATATCAGCTTCTGACTGATTTGATGTAAACCAAGATCTAATTCTGTAGTACAGTAGTGTCTTGCTTATACGACATAAATGGGCCGACAGAACTTCAGATAAACAAAAATGTCAGCTAACATGGAGTCTCCTACTGTTACCCATCTGACATGATGCTAGACACCTAGAATACTAACAGCAGGCACTCAAAGGGTTAAGGCAAGGCAAGGTCTCGGGGCTAGAGCGGCCCAGCTGGAAGTGCCCAGATGTGGAAGAGTAACATGAAAATCACAAAGTGCAGGAGGGAGGACCCTTCTGCTTCCAGTTCTGCAACTTTTCCCACTTCCCTCCCTCCCTCCCTCCTCCCTCCTCCTCCTCGCCTTGCCTTGCTTTTTTCACTTACTGGGAATGGAGAAACAGTTGGGGAGCACTCCTTTAATTTAAGAGGAAATACTGGAGGAAAAGTGGGGTGTCGGATAAGAGTATCGGATAAGACAGAATGTTGGATAAGCAAATGTCAGATAAGCAAGACTCTACTGTATTGTGGTATTAATGTTTGACTAGGATTCTGGGAGACCAAGGTTCAAATATCCATTCACCATCCATAATAGTCAACACGGATTTATCAAAAACAAGTCATGCCAGACTAATCTGATCTCTTTTTTCGATACAGTTACAAACTGGGTCGATGCGGGGAATGCTACAGATGTAGCGTATCTGGACTTCAGTAAGGCCTTCAACAAGGTCCCCCATGATCCTCTGGCAAGCAAACTAGTCAAATGTGGGCTAGGCAAAACGATGGTTAAGTGGATCTGTAATTGGTTAAGCGAACAAACTCAGAGGGTGCTCACCAATGGTTAGACCACACCTGGAACACTTTGTCCAATTCTGGGCACCACAATTGAAGGGAGATGTTGACAAGCTGGAATGTGTCCAGAGGAGGGCGACTAGAATGATCAAGGGTCTGGAGAACAAGCCCTACGAGGAGCAGCTTAAAGAGCTGGGCATGTTTAGCCTAAAGAGGAGAAGGCTGAGAGGAGACATGATGAGAGGATATCATAGGGAGGAGGGAGCAAGCTTGTTTTCTGCTGCTCTGGAGACTAGGACGCAGAATAATGGCTTCAAACTACAAGAAAGGAGATTCCACCTGAACATTAGGAAGAACTTCCTGACTGTGAGAGCTGTTCAGCAGTGGAACTCTCAGCCTCGGAGTGTGGTGGAGGTCCCTTTTTTGGAGGCTTTTAAACAGAGGCTGGATGGCCATCTGTCGGGAGTGCTTTGAATGCGATTTTCCTGCTCTTGGCAGGGGGTTGGACTGGATGACTCACGAGATCTTTTCCAACTCTATGATTCTAACCTACCTTGGGCAAATTACACACACTCTTAGGTTCATAGGAAAGCAATGGCAAACCTCCTTTGAGTAAATCTTGCCCAGTAACTCCCATAATTGATTGAAAACAATTTGAAGGTAAGCAAGAAGTTTCACATGTTCACTGGAAAAGTGGGAGTTTCCTCATGGTTTCCTAAATGGTAAGCATGTTTCTCACTCTGTTTGTTTTTAGGCAACAATACCTGGATCCGTGTCATTGCTGCATGAAGTACATATACCCAACACAGTAGCAAACTTCAGTGCCCTGAAACTTGACTTCATTTTCTCTGATGTAAAGCCTGGCAGACTGGAACCTCCTTCGTGCCCTACAGTGCCACTTTATTCTCCTGATTACTATAAAAACACATCAACCGCGCTGGAACCTTGTATTAACTTTTTGATTTTAATTTATAGTTTATATGTAGCATTTAGATAAACTGTATTTATGTGTGTGGTTTCAAAAATACTTGAACAAAAATGTTTTATATTTTGAATTTACAAGATTTTAAAACAGGGTGCAAAACATTTGTGACAATCAATAAATAGTATCTATTTCAATACGAAGTCACATACTCTTATTAAAATATTTATATCTGCTTCATATCCGGGGATCTGCAGATGAGACAATTTAAACTTACCGTATATACTCGAGTATAAGCTGACCCAAATATAAGCCGCGGCACCCAGTTTTATCACAAAAACTGGGAAAATGTATTGATTCGAGTATAAGCCAAGGATGGGAAATGCAGCAGCTACTAGTAAATTTCAAAATAAAAATACATACTAATAAAATTACATTAATTGAGGCATCAGTAGGTTAAATGTTTTTGAATATTTACATAAAACTGTAATTTAAGATAAGACTATCCAACTCTGATTAAATCATTATTCTAACTTCAGTGTAAATGTGCTTACGTATCCCTCCAATAATCACCATAATTTATTTTAACTATACATTTTGCGGGAAATGCTGTGTGTATATGAATAAGGAAGAGTGGGAACGACTGGTTTAGGAAGGGGGTGGGAAAGAAAGACAGGAAACATAAAAAGGTTGGAATGGGAAGGGGTGTTGAAAAAGTAGGAAAATGAGGTGGAAAGGGGGTAGCTGGAAAAGTAGGACTGATTGAGGTGGGAAGGGGGCAACTGGGGAAGGGGGGGTGGCTGAGGAGTGAAAGGGAGGCTGGAAACTAGGAAAGTTGGGGTGGAAAGGTGGGTGAAAAATGGGAAAGACCCTAGTGTCAGGACTCGGTTTCCTGGCCTTGGAAGGTGGRGCAAAAAACCGGATTCCTGACATGGAGAACCGATAAGGAATTGCAGCTGGTGGCCTTGGGAAGGGCAGTTGGMGGTTTGGCGGGGAATATTGAGCGGGWTCKRMAGTTGGCGGYAAGYGGGGATTCGAATSTGMGYAGMGTATAWAAAGGGRTYACYTGCGRCTGTARGCCAATCRTGGCTTTCATTCTGTATGCGTATCCAGTAGTAAAAGGTTTCCTGATTGATTACGGACTGGCGTCTTGTGTCTTTTCGGGGAGCGGCTGCTGTGAGCTTACACCCTAGTCTAGAGTGTGGGGGGATTGGGAGAAGCTGGGGAGATTGGGGTGGGAAAGAGGGGCAGCTGGAAAAGATCGGGATGGGGGAAGGAAGATTGCAAACTGAATAAGACTGGGGTGCAAAAAGAAAGGGGGGCTGAAAAGATTGGAGTGGAAAGGGGGCAAGTGGAGAAATGGGAAAGATTATGGTGGGAAAGGGAGCTGTGAAAGGGGGAAACTGCAGTGGGAAAAGGGGCAAGACTGAAATAGGAAAGAGCATGGYCACTGGGAAAGGCTGGGATGGAAAGGGAGCTGGAAAAGTGGGAGAAAGGGGCTGGGGATAGTAAAGACTGGGGAAGGAAGGGGGGAACTAGAAAAAGAAAAGTGGGGTGGGAAAGGGGTGCTGGAAAAGTAGGGAAAAACCGAGGTGGGAAGGACTGAGGAGAGCAATGTGAATGGCCTCTCCACTCTTTTTGACACACTGAGAGGAGAGGACAGAAGGTGCACAGCCTCTCCTCTCTTGGCACAGCGACCTAGCTGGGTTGCTGCGCAGAGAGGTGAGGGTCCTGGCAGGAAGGCGTGGGGTTGAAAGAAGGGCTTTTTTCAGCCCCACACCTTCTCGTCAGGACCCTCATTCAAGTGTAAGCCGAGAGGGGGCTTTTTAGCCTAAAAAAAGGGCTGAAAAACTAGGCTTATACTCAAGTATTATACAATAAGAGTTTTGAACACTGCAGCATAAAAAACACATTAAACTAACAAAATGCCATGTAATGCATACAACACACTGCCACATAATGTAGTTCAGTCATCACATCATTCTTCCAGGGACATGTAGAGGTTAAAAGTTCCTTAGCTGCCCTCAGCTGAGGTGGAAGGTGCTATCATCAACAATTAAGAGTTTTGTCTACTTCTGTGGATGGAGCAGCAATGTCTTTTATTGACCCCTCCTCCTCCAGCACAAAAATGTCCAAAGCTGGCTCTTGCTCAAAGAAGTCCATTGTAAATACTCTTAAGTTCTTGCTAACAGATTTGTGTAAATAGCATTCAGAAACCTTTTACTGTTGCCAAATATTTTGGGATCCAACATTGAGCCAAGGAGATCCCATCTGGGGTTGGAAACCAGTTTAAGAAGCCCTGATATAGCTCAAGATACTATGTCCCATAGCAAAATGTAGATCGACACCATCTTCCATGACCTTAGTGGAGTCTTCAAATTGTGCTACAGTAAGAAAAAAGCCGTTTACACAGGATTATCTTTAAGAACCTGCTGGCTTGATTGAATGAACTTTCAAAACCCCCAGCTACTAGTAGGGTCTACAAAGCAGATTAGCAGGGTCTACAAAGCAGATTTTCTTTGCTACCCCATCAATTGCATCATTCCTGTGCTAAGACTACAACACCCTTCGCTGTCCTCAGGTGAAGTAGCTGCAATGCTATGAAGGGCTATCAGACTCAGCCGGACATTTCTGTGTCTCCTCCCTTCCTACCAGGCTTCTCAGCTGAAGTTTCTGCCTAGGAAACCCAACACATAAGTGAAGACTTCTTGGCCCTTCCATATTTTCTGAAATTAAACATAGGTTGCAGAAAGATGGTAAAGAATATTCACAACTTCTAGAAGAGTTGTATAGGAAGGAACTGAAGAAACAGAAAACACGCTGCCACTTCCAAAAGTAATCTGGGCTTTCAACAATCTAATGCCAGTGGGTTGCTGTGAGTTTTCCAGGCTGTATGGCCATGTTCCAGAAGCATTCTCTCCTGACATTTCACCCACATCTATGACAGGCATCCTCGGAGGCTGTGAGGTTTGTTGGAAACAAGACAAGTGGGGTTTACAGATCTATGGAGTGCCCAGGTTGGGAGAAAGAACTGTTTGGGGCATGAATGCAGCATATGATTAGCATTGAATAGCCTTGTGGCTTCAAGGCTTGGTTGCTTCCTGCCTGGGGGAATCCTTTGTTGGGAGGCAATTAGCTGGCCCTGATTGTATCTTGTCTGGATTCCCCCCATTTTTGAGTATTGTAATTTTTTACTGTCCTGATTTTTAAGAGTTTTAAATACCAGTAGCCAGATTTTGTTCGTTTTCTTGGTTTTCTTTCTGTTGAAATAGTTTATATGCTTGTGGTTTTCAATGGCTTCTCTGTATAATCTGACAGGGTAGTTGTTAGAGTGGCCCAGCATTTCTGTGTTCTCAAATAATATGCTGTGTCCAGGTTGGTTCATCAAGTGCTCTACTATGGCTGTTTCAGGCTGAATTAGTCTGCAGTGCCTTTCATGTTCCTTGATTCGTGTTTGGGTGCTGTGTTGAAGCATTCATACCGGCCTCCAGCAGACAAGAGTTCTTTCTCCCAACTAGACATTCCACAGATATATTATCCCCACTGCCTTGTTTCCAACAGACCTCACAATCTCTGAGGGTGCCTGCCATAGATGCAGGCGAAACATCAAGAGAGAATGCTTCTGCAACATGGCCATACAGCCCGGAAAACTCATAGCAACCCAGTGATTCCAGTCATGAAAGCTTTTGACAACACAAATCTGATGCCACTCCATTCCAACTGTAGAGAGGCCTTTAAGAAAACATATGTTGTACCCTCATTACTAGTCACTTGTTTTTGATTAAAACAAGCAAAAGGTAAAGCCAAAGAATGTGAAACACCAGTAAATAGACATTTATTGAGGATATGATCATGTATTTGGCAAAATATTTACAAATAAAATATACAAATTTGCATGTGTGCATATGCTCCCCCCAAATATATATATATATATATATATATATATATATATATATATATATATATTTTTCTCATTCTGGTCATGTTAAGTAACAACATGCAGCACATTGTGGTGTTTTTTATCCTAACAAGACTAGAATGCTAGATCCCACTTAACAGTGCAGGTTAAAAACAAAACTGGAAGCTTATTGGATGCACTTTATTTCACCCTATAGTGCAATTAAACTCCATTGTTTTGTGCCGTCTGAACCTCCTTCCAGATACACTACATTACTTATCTCACCCAGTGTTTTTAAACGTTTTAATCTTAGCAACTGGCCCTGCCCATTGTGTCCAATTATTGTGGTTTTATATTGCATTGTGTGTTTACTTGTTTTTTATATTATTATTTTCATTATATTTTATTGCTGTATTTTTTATGTTGTATTTTTGCTTTGTTGTAATTGTTGGGCTTGGCCCCGAGTCCCCTTGGGAAGATGGTGGCGGGGTATAAATAAAGTTTTATTATTATCATCAAAGTTGATAAATATGAATCAAGAAATCTATTTCAACTACACAGTCTCTGTAATTCACCATAAAACTGCAGATATGGTGCATCTTTAAATAAAAACCAAGAGGCTTTGCGTGTCTGCCTTTGTTCTCCTGGTGACCAGAGCAGTTCCTGCCTCAGTATCATAGCTCATATAGATTAGTATCCCCTAAATTTTATGGATGACAAAGAGATGTATTCTTCTTGAACAGTCAGCACAGATTTAAAACATGTAAGACGCCAATTAAGTCTCTACATCATTGGTTTACTGTGAGTTTTCCGGGCTGTATGACCATATTCCAGAAGCATTCCCTCCTAACATTTCGCCCACATCTATGGCATGCATCCTCAGAGGTCGTGAGGTTTGTTAGAAACAAGGCAAGTGGGGTTACATATCTGTGGAATGTCCAAAGTGGGAACAAGAAGTCTGTTTGAGGCAGGTGTGAATGAGGCAATTGATCACCTTGATTAGCACTGAATAGCCTTGCAGCTTCAAGGCTTGGCTGCTTCCTGCCTGGGGGAATCCTTTATTGGGTGGTGTTAGCTGGCCCTGATTGTTTGTCTGGAATTCCCCTGTATTTGAGTGTTGTTATTTCTTTACTGTCCTGAGTTTTTAAATACTAGCAGCCAGATTTTGTTCATATTAATGGTTTCCTCCTTTGTATTGAATTGTCCTCCTCTGAGGATGCCTGCCATAGATGTGGGAACAGCCCGGGAAACTCACAGCAACCCAGTGATTCTTACTATGAAAGCTTTCGACAACATATCTACATCAACTTCTGAAACTTTTTAACACTCTACTCTGTGTTTATCCAGTAACAGCTAAAAGTCAATGAGGAAAATTAATTCCAGAGAGGGGAAGAAGATGAACACAGGGTATGAATTCCAATCTCTTAATCACCATTAAAAGAGCACCGATATAATAGGCATTGTGTAAAAAGATAACTGAAAGTCACACTGCACACACAATTAATCCCACATCAGATTGAGATCAGAGTAGTTTTTGCTAAATGGATCCAAGTTCTAAGATTACAAAGGTAAATGAAGGACTGATGGCATTTCTTGAATGCTCTAATCCCAATTTTTTGGGATAGACAAGACCTGAATTGCCATTTTACTCTATTGTGCTAAGGAGTGGGAAGTGTTAAACAAGGTAATAGTACCAAAAGAACCAAGATGAAATAGCTTTTAACATGTAATCACATATAATTAGGTCTAGCATGAAATAAATAAGTTTTTATTGTTGGAATTCTCTACTACCCTTAAGCAATGACTCCCACCCCTTCAGAAGTAGATATTTGGACTGCCAGTACATATTCAACCAAAATGTACTTTGAAAACAGTATTGCCTAAATGATCAATTCCTGTACAAAGGTTGCATTAAGACTCTGGAATTTTTTTAAAACACTTTTATAATATTTCAAAATATTTTGTATTAATCTATAGAGATTCTTTAAGTAGTTAGCAAAAATAAGTTAATACAATCATTTCTATTGGCTGCCGGCAGACCGGACAGGGCTTGTTCCGCTTCTTCAGTTTCTTGGCACAGGTGAAACATGACATAAGATGTCCTGTCCTTCCATGTACTATGCAGCCATTTTTGGGGCGCGTTTGGCATATCACACACGGTTCGACACTGGAGAGAGGCAGACTGGATTCTGGGCTTTTGTCTACAGGGTCATCCTTCTCAGGTTCTTTAGAGTCTTCCTGACTGCTGCACAGCATACTGCTGGATGTTGATGGCTGCGAATATGCCTCGCTTTCCTGAGACTCTGAGCTTTGTTCGGTATCCTCCGTTTCCTTATTATCGTCGTTTATTTTCCCTTTCTTGCAATCCGGAACATCAAAGCCATCCTCTTGATCGAGCTCTGTGGCCTTTTCAGGGGGCAGTGATGTGGAGTTTTCATGTTTGCTCATTTGAGACTTCTCAGATTTCTCTGGGAGCCAACCCTCTCGCAGGGTCCAGCATCTGGGACAATGGGACGGCAGGGGTGGATTCATCTCATTGCAGTGTGAGCATTTCCAGTAATCCTTTAGTGAATCAGATATAAAACAGCTTATATGTAAGAACCATATTAAAAGAAAAAGCACACAGCAACAATTCTGTATTTTCAAAAGGCAGGCACTCAAGTGTTTAAGAGGAAAGACTAATGTAGCCATCCAGTTTTATAGACAACCCGTACTGCCCTCCCTACCACTGACATTTTCATGCATGCATATACTGGCTTAGGAATTTTGTTTGTCAGCTCAGAAGTTCTTGATCCTTCAGTCTACTTACTAAGTTTTCTGGGATGTCCAAATTCAAGGGAGCCTGTTGTATCATGCAACTCTCAAAGAGGAGCTAAAAACTCCGTCATAGCATAACACCGTGAATCTAACCAGATCCCTGTTGGGTTTCATCCCTGGAATGCACAAGTTTTTTTGTGTTGTCAAGTTTCTAGTCCTCAATGAGTAGCTAGACTAGAGTCAGGTCTAAAGTTCAGGGATTTCATTCCACTACATTCCTATGTATGTTTCTTAAAGGCTTTGTTTTTGTCTTTACTGCTAGCCAGTAACAGAATTCTGTGAGGGAACTTCTGCCCTGGGAAGGCCATGCAGTCTCCACCATACTTCTCCTGCTTTTCTTTCTTCCTATGAGGAAGCATTTTGCCTCTCTGTCAGCAAAGTGTAGCTGCATTGACTTTTTTGCCTTCTTTAGAAGATGAGATTTAGTAAAATAGTTAGCTCCAAAACTTATCAAGGATATATTTTTTACGTTAATAAATATTTTTGAACCCAAAGTTTTGACTCTGCAATACTGTGCCATCTTAAAGATTAGAAGGTGATCCCGTCTCTCCATACGTAAGTTTCTGCTTGTTATGGAGTTTACTCCTGGTACTCTGCTATATTTTGGTGGAATTACCCTGAAGGTTATTTTTGAGCCTAAGAGCTTCGATTCCCCAACTATGCCCTAAACAGAAATTTAAGGTCTTCTGAGTTCTCAAATGTGGTTTCTGTAGAATCATAGAGTTGAACGAGAGCACATGAGCCATTCAGTCCACCCCCCTGCAAGAAAAGCAGCCCTGATGAATGGCCATCCAGTCTCTGTTTAGCAAGAGAAAGAGCCTCCGCCACATTCCAAGTCAGAGAGTTCCACTGTTGAATAGCTCTTATGGCCAGGAAGTTCCTTCTAAAGTTGATGTAATCTGAAACCATTTCTCTATTGAGTGCTAGTCTCCAGTGCAGCAGAAAACAAGTCGGCTTCCTCTTCCTTATGGCACCCTTTCAAATATTTAAACATGACTATCATGTCTCCTCTCAACCTTCTTTTCTGTAGGCGAAACATACCCAGCTCTTACTGTTCTTCACTGGGACAGCAGAATAGTGTAAAGTAGCTTTGGCAGCTGGGAGTGTTATGTAGGGAAAGTGAAAAGGGATTGGATGTTGTCACATCTATGAATTTAATCAAGAGAGTAAAAGTGATACCAAACCCACTAGAAATCAGGATATCGGAACCACGGGTAGATGGTAAGGGTATGAAGCTAGTTCGCATAATGCAAGGTAAGCAAATTTTGACAATGCTGACTTGATGGTACACTCTCTTATAATTCAGACAGCTTTTCTAGACATGGGACAGTAAGAATTATTCACTGCTTTTTCACTATTCCACTTTTTATTACATATTTATCAAATAAACTTATTAGATCATTTTGTATTTTTTCCACTTTAGTTCAAAAATGAAGTAATTGTGTTAGATTGATGATTGTGGGGTGGGTGTGTGTGTATGTGACATCACTGAGTGGCTCCAGAATTTGGTCCACTAACTCAATGGAGTCATAAAGAGAAACAAACACACTTATCACCCAATTGTTATACTAAGTCAATCTATGTTATCCTAAAACTTTTTTTTAAGTGTATATGTTTTACATTACCAGAGCAGGAATGTCAACTTGGTGGGTTTTTTGGACAGTTTTGACTTCTGGAGGACCCTTGGGTTATGCCTTCATCCAAAAGATATTTCTAGTGGTCGCATGAACCAGTGACTGCAAATTTTCATTGGTTTTGAAACCCCATTGAACCACCAAATTAAGTAAGGTCCCACAAATTTCAGAGAAAATTGTCTTCCTTCTCAAAGGGAAATATATATTTAGGTGCAAGCCAGGGTGTGGGTGTGTGGCTTGGAGGCAATGATATCTGGCTCATGGATTGCCCATACTTGCACTAGAGTCTCTGATTTGGCTTTAAAAAAATCAAACAATGCAATGTGTACAAAGCTAAGACTTTACTTACAGCCAGGGAAATTTCAGGATCTTCATCAAATGAATCCATATCACTGTCTTCAGTCTGATATATAGTTACTTGATATATCTGATGAAAATATGTAATACCCAATTGATATTAAAATTCATCCCAAATCCAAGTTGTTAAAAATCATGTGTTCACAGGACACAGATGGCTTTCTCATTTTGCAAGGAAACACTATAGACCCTGTTACTGCATGTAACCACTTGACTCATCAGTAGTCTTAAAATAAAATTCATATAATAACAATAACTTCATTTTTGTATCATGCCTCCATCTCCCCGAGAGACTCGGGGCGGCTTACATGGGGACAAGCTTCTCAACATAGTCATACTGAATCAAATTCTCAGCCTAAAATGTAGGGTGACTTATAGAAAAAACAAATATTGTTGGGTATCTGTCAAAATACCAGCAGCTGTAATTCTCATTCAGTCTGCTTCCAAATTATACAAGTGCTTCTATCAAAGACAACAGTAAAGGCTAGATGACATGGAAAGACAACTAGGTAAAAACAGCTGTGGAAGATAAATTTGAAATGAGAATCCAAATCAACCTCTACTATCTTTCAAATCATGCTAAGGGTTACAAAACATTCTGAGAAAAGGCACAGGGCACTGCAGGAAAATATACCCTGAAGTTAATAAGTCAGAAGGTTAGCCACTGGTTTCTCCAGCTAAAAGCCTGTCAGTATCTAGTATCAGTGAGACTGATACTAAACACCCTGATTCAATTATAGGTTGATTTGTTTTCTGTAGTCTATGGCATTCTCAACACATATATTAGGCTTCCTGTTGTCAATGGGTCAGAAAATTCAGAACTTTTTCACCTTAATTCCATTGGATCTATTCTAGCCATGTCTAATCCTGGATCCAATCCAGTGTTTACAGAGAGTACTTTCTGCAGTAACATGCCAACTAACTGTATATCTCAAACATCATGTATTGAACATACCTCATCATCCTCATCTGTAAGTTCAACACCTTCTTCATTAGGGCTGTATTCTTCTGAACAGATAGATTCAACTTCAAACTCAACACTAAATTGATCTGAAACAGAATCATCATCTAGCCAATCACTTAAACTGGCATTGTTATCCTAAAAGAGACAAAAAAATTTAATCAGTTTGTGACCAGAACAAACATAATGCAATAAACAGCTTTCTAGTCCATAATGTGCAAGCTGTACATCTGTGTAGAATACACTAATAAAGCAAACACAAAAATGACAAAAGTGTCACTTGTAGGAACAAAAATTGGCCTGCAACCATACAAGGACCAGCTTCTTGCAAAAAAGAACAAAAAACTAATCTAGAATTAATGCATATTCTCTTTAACCAAACTAGCAAAAATTTTATATGCTAGGATAAATATTTTTATTTGAGCAGCTGTTCAAATATTAACATATAGTAAAGAAAACATACCCTCTATCATATGTATGAACGTCTGCTGTAGTCCCAATTAGGAGAAATTACTGACTTAACAGATTGTAAATGGATTGATTTACTAAGTTTCATAGCTTTAATGAGACTAGAAATGGAACTGAGGCCAGTATTTTATAGCAAGAGAGAAACTAAATATGTATATGACCGTGCCAAAGATGAGCACGTTTCACTGCGTACACCTGCACTAAAAAGCTGGAATGAACTCTGAAAGAAGTGAAGCAGATCAGTAGCAGTCCTTTAAAAAATATTCAAGGAGCTGCTTTGGGGAAGGTTTTTAATTCCCCACCATCTTTTTTATCAAGGCTAGTTATACAGTAAATTAAAAAGACCAGGGCAGATTGGACAGATAAGAGACAATAGAATATTGGGAATAGTGCTATTTTCTAGGAGTTGAACAGACCCTCAGATCCCTTGCAAAAACATTTTATTTATTACAATATTTCCATCCCACTCTAAATCTAGAGATCTTGTAGCAGAATACAGTAAAACTAATCTAACACATTTAAAATAAATAATAGTAATTGTATTAAAAGGCTAAACATATGAAATTTTTTAACAAGTTAAAATGATTAAAACTGGTTAACATACTTAAAACAATTTCAAACCATGTGCATTCAAGGATTTTGTGTGAAACCAAAAATCACACATGTAAATATTACTTTTAATATTTTCCAGCAAGATCTAGCCAATATAGCAGCAAATTTAAGTGCTAGAGCGTAATGGAATTATAGCATCTCACAGTTGGAAGGGACACGTAAGTTTTTGTTCACAAAGTCTCTTAAGACTTGTGAGAGAGTCATAAAGCATTATTTCCCAAACAAAAACCCATCTCTACTTACTGGACTTGATGGAGATCCTGCAGAGCTGCTGCTGTTATTTTGATCACAATATAATCCGCTGACAACACACCATGAAAGGCTTTCATCAAACGTAAGAGAAATGCTGTCTGATTTATGCCGTTTGCTCTGTCTTTCATCATTCACATCTTCTGAACCATGTTCTTCTGCATGATTAGACATAAATAGGTAATTTATAGGCATGTGTAATCAATAAAAAATATTTCAAAGGTCATTACAAAACTGGGGGGTGTTGGTATTTTGTTTCTAAAGTGTTTCTAAAATATAGTTAGTAAAAATGAGGTTAATAAAACTTGTTACTTTTTTCATTAAGTAACTGAACAAGTGGGGAAACTTCAGGGCTCATTTCTCCCTAATTTTTAGAGCTATCGTGGTGAAACTTGCTATAATTGTACCACACATTTTCCCCTGTTAGCCCATCAAATTTCAGAATGTTACACTCATCAACTAATTTTTGGGGATTTTTTTAATTTTTTACACACTTTAAAAAAAACTACTTGATTTTTATATACAATACACAAGATAAGCAGGGTGTCAATCCCCGGAAGTTTCAGAAAGATTCACACATCTACAGATTTTAGGGGATTTTTGAAAGTTTCGACAAAAACATTTATCCCCCCAAAAAAGCCACAACAGAAATCCCCTTGAATGTCTATATGACACACAAGCACATAACTTCAACTTAGCATAGATTTATACTATTACTTATTTACTTGAATTATCTATGCAGATTAAATAATTTCCTTATTATTAGACTCACTCTAAACAGTTGGCTGCTGCAGCCTTCATTGGGCTTTTTGATGCTGAGCACTGCATTCTGAGAAATGCAGTTTAGGGCAAGGCTTTCTGCATTCTCTGCCACAGGGGGCCTCGCCTTACCAAACTACATTTCCCAGAATGCTGTGTTTTCAGTTTCCCGCCCAATTCTGCCCCACACTGCCCTCCCTTATGGCAACCAGCCAAAAATTTAACAAATTAGATATGACTTACACGAGGAGTAACTATAATTTTGCACACCTTTACTAATTGACTGTATATTGTATATGTATGTATTTTGCAAACCCTTATTTTGTTCTGGGTTGTCTTGATCAGGGCCTATTTCTGTCATGAGATTCCCAAGTTCTAAAAAGCAAACGTTGGTCTTCAACACTGTAACCAGTTAACATTTATTATTCCTATAAGGGGTTTCTAACATTTAAGCCTACAGAAGTCACTAAAAAACCAAAATTTCACAGATCTTGAAGGATAATTCCATACAAGTAGTAAGCTCCAGTGGGTTCAATGGTTTCATTCTTAGGCTGCTAGTTATAAATCTTAAAGGTTTCTAGAGTTAGAAACGTTAATGTTTTAAGATTTTAAGATAAAAAAACTAAGTTACCAATCAAGCTTCTACTAAGCAAGAAATAATATGAGCAGATGGGAGAGGATTTTTGTATGGCAATTGGAGCAACATTGTTGCGACAAAGGTAGATGTAATAAGGATGCTCAGAGTAGCAAATAATAGGTAGCACATGTATAAAACATGTAAACTAGAGTACCGAAGACGTAGACATAAGTCAAGTATGGAAGGGCTGTTCTATTGTCTTTTTAGGTTATTGTCTCCATCTGGAGAAAAGATCAAAGGCGGCTTGGAGAGACCTTAATAAATGTAATCAAGGTAACATGACCATACGGCTAAGAAAATGTGGAAGAACCAAGGAAGATAAGCCTCACACTGGAAGTAGCATTTTTTTCTATGACATTTTGATTATCTGACAATTTCTTGAGCTTCAAATATGTGAATTATTATAAGTAATGAAACATATGCAAATTCATATTCTTACCTGCACCACTGTATGCCCTCCTCCTAGAAGTAGTTGCTTCACTTGAGTCTTGCACAAATTCCTATTTTGAAAAAAAAATATAATCAACACTCCACAAAAAAACTGCTTTGCTAATCCAAACATCATACTTGAAAGACAGAAAGATAGGAATATACCGCATAATAAAATTACCTTTAGAGCACTTCCATTTTCTAGTTGGCACCTGGACTGATTCACAGATGTGTTAACATTATTAGAGTCTTTAAAAAGAAATATACATTGGAAGTCACTAAAGTTGTTCAGATATACATTTCAGAACAAGAAGATTCTAAACTGCAGCTCGAGCAATATGCATTACTCCAAATCCAAATAAAGCAAATAATGGGGAAATTCCAACATTTAAAAAACAAAACAAAAAAAGATGCAATAGTATTTACAAGAGTCAGCTTACATTGCTATTGTGGCTGAGCTTATCTTAAATTTTCAAGACCTATGTTACCATTATAATTTTAAAATATACCTTTAGGAAATCACTAGTGATGCAGACATAAATAAGGGTAGGATAGTAATATAGCTATCAAACAATGTTTGTATGTGTGACAGGATTTGCACTTGGGGCCAACCGCCAGCTGGGTCTTCCTTTGGTCTTTATTGTTATTATTTTAACAAAGACAATCCTAGGGTGCATCTACACTGTAAAATTAATAGTTTGACACTACTTCAATAGTCATGGCTCAATGCTATGAAGTACTGGGAGCTTTAGCTTGGTGAGGCAGCAGAACTCTTTGACAGAGTAAAGGCCTTGGAAACTACAACTCCTTATGATTCCATACCATGGAGTCATAACAGTTAAAGTGCAGTCAAATTACATTAATTCTACAGTGTAGATGCACCCCAAGTTCTTTCACTAATACATGAATAAATCATGTTTTCGGTAAGCACATACCAATTACCTAACTTTCTTATCCAGAATTATTTGCAATAATACCTCAAGCAGACTGGTATCCCAGCTCTATTTGCTTTAAGTAAAATGGTACGATCAATGGTTTGCCTACCACATACCTAAATCTAGCTATAAGTACCAACAGAATAAACCTAGTGGTTACTTGGTATTTGCATTAAGATTACTTGAAGTCCAGCAACTGAGTCTACTTTAGCTAGAATTAAATCTGGATTCAGGCTTTTATGTTACAAATTTAATTGCTTTATCATTATGGTACTTAAAATGAAACAGCAATTCACAATAGTTAAAACTGATATTAGAAAAAATAGATTCTCTCATTTACAGACCACATCTGCACTTTAATTAGGATGATGTATACAAGCTTGAGCAAATCTCCTGCCCTTCTGTACCCAGGGAGAGTTCAGAAATCTTTGCACTTTTCCACAGACTAATAAGTCATTAAAATTAGCAAACTTTCAGCAATATTAATTACAATGAGAACAAACTAATTTCCAAACAGCTAATATTGGCCAAATTGTGGCAAGTTCTTAGTGGGATGGGCATCCCAAGCCACCTTGTCTCTCTCCTGAGGAATCTGTACAAGGACAAAGTAGCAACAGTCAGAACTGACCACGGAACAACAGACTGGTTCAAGATTGGGAAAGGCGTACGGCAAGGCTGCATCCTCTCACCCAACCTTTTTAACTTGTATGCAGAACACATCATGCGATGTGCGGGGCTGGATGAATGCAAAGCTGGGGTGAAAATTGCTGGAAGAAACATTAACAACCTCAGATATGCAGATGACACCACTCTGATGGCCGAAAGCGAGGAGGAGCTGAGGAGCCTTCTAATCAAGGTGAAAGAAGAAAGAACAAAAGCTGGGTTGCAGCTAAACGTAAAAAAAAACCAAGATTATGGCAACAAGAATGATTGACAACTGGAAAATAGAGGGAGAAAACGTGGAAGCAGTGACAGACTTTGTATTTCTAGGTGCAAAGATTACTGCAGATGCAGACTGCAGCCAGGAAATCAGAAGGCTTCCTTCTTGGGAGGAGAGCAATGACCAATCTTGATAAAAGAGTGAAGAGTAGAGACATCACACTGGCAACGAAGATCCACATAGTTAAAGCAATGGTATTCCCCGTAGTAACCTACGGATGTGAGAGCTGGACCATAAGGAAGGCTGAGCGAAGGAAGATAGATGCTTTTGAACTGTGTTGTTGGAGGAAAATTCTGAGTGCCTTGGGCTACAACCAGCCCAAACTTCAGTCCATACTCCATGAAATAATGCCAGGCTGCTCTCTGGAAGGAAGGATATTAGAGGCGAAGATGAAGAACTTTTGCCACATAATGAGAAGTCAGGAAAGCTTGGAGAACATAATGATGCTGGGGAAAATGGAAGGAAAAAGGAAGAGGGGCCGACCAAGGACAAGATGGATGGATGGTATCCTTGAAGTGACTGGACTGACCTTGAAGGAGCTGGGGGTGGTGACGGCCGACAGGGAGATCTGGCGTGGGCTGGTCCATGAGGTCACGAAGAGTCGGAGACGACTGAACGAATGAACAACAACAATACTGGCCAAACATCTCTTCTGGGAAGATGACAGAAGTGAAGAAGATCAAGCTTTGCTCAAGTAAAAGAATACTTTTCTGTGACATCTAAACTAGCTCCTAGTTTTACAACCTAAGTGTTACATATCTCAAAAACTTCTTGAGAACAACTGACAAGACAAGTCTACAATTAGTTTTCATCTAAGTTACTTCCTGCTTTCCCTAAAATGTTTGCTAACAGATCAAATAAATTCTTATTGTGCAATTTAACTTAATAAAAATATATAACAACTGTTTTCCCTAATTAACTTATTAATAATATCACAATAGCCATGTAACTTACCTTGTCGACTGACAGTTACCAGGTTTTTGGAAATCATCAAATATAATTGCCTTTAAAAAGATAGGACATGATCTTAGTTTTCAAGGATAACATTTAGGTATTTTATTTTTAATGAACCTGCACTAAAAAGCACATTATTCTCAAAGCTCTCATAGTATCTGTAATTTTCACGATTCCAGAACTGTAGTTCCTGAAAATTACTGCAACCTTTAAAAAAGTACTATTAGCCCTATTTCTGTGACTTTCAGATAGCACTCACATACAAGTTATAACGTTAAAACATTTCCAGTAAAGAACAAAACAGTTCTGGTCAATGATAAAAAATATGGTGCCAGTCCTGGCACACATGGAACAAAAGTCCATGCCATCAGGTAACTTGAGATGTAATTGATCTAGACCAGTGGTTCTCAACCTGTGGGTCCCCAGGTGTTTTGGTCTACAACTCCTAGAAATTCCTGCCAGTTTACCAGCTGTTACGATTTCTGGGAGTTGAAGGCCAAAACATCTAAGGATCACAGGTTGAGAACTACTGATCTAGACCAAAATTACTACTTATACCATTTGTTAAAGAGCTTTTAGGGCTGCACTATATTGGATTTATTACCAGTAGTAAAGCTGATGTAATTAAGCATCCAGTTTTTCTAAGACATCAGAATGTTGATAAAAGTTCACAAAAAAACTTCACAAAAAATAAGAGGGCTGATCGATTTGCTGTAAGACTGTGGCATAATTATGGAAATCTTCACATGGATCTCACTTTATACACAGTGAAGCGCCTAAACAAACTCACAGCCATTTTGTCTGGAATATCAAATACACAAGGGGATTTTATAGTGCTTCAGAAGCAAACAGAGAAGTTGGTAGAATGTTAGGTAAACTTTGGATGCAGCTACACTGTAGAATTAATGCAGTTGGATACAAATTTAGATGTCATGGTTCAATGCTTCTTCTCTCTGGTGGCTCACCAAAACGACAACCCCTATGTTTCCATAGTATTCACCCACTGCATTTAAAGTGATATCAAACTGTATTTATTTTACTGTAGTTGCACCCTAGGTCAACTTCTTCAGATGCAGCTGGGCAGCTTTAGGAAATACACAGCTGTATCTTGCAGTTACTGGAATTTTTAAAAACAGAAAATACATCTTATATCTTGTTGTTTGTTCTTAGTATAAACTCCTGTATTGAATAATATTGTTTCCAAAAGTTAAAAAAAGTTATCTTTCATGGCACCTGTAGCACTTAAAACTATTACAGAGCAACGCTACTGAAGAAACCATCGTTTTATATTTAACCTTAACATAAATAATCAAACTGAGTAAAATTAGTCACGCTTCCCACCCACCACAACCACTGTATATGTAAGAGCATCACCAAAGCCACAAGCTTACACGTGCTTACCACCATGTTAAAATTAAAAATTTACCTCTGTTCTTTTACAGAAAAACTTTGCACTCCAAAAAGTTCTCCCAAGAGATCATTTGCACAGTGGACAATATGCTGCTGTTCTTCATCATACAGATGCTTAGACATAATATATTGACCAATATACAGGAGTATCTGTAACAAAAGCATTTTAAATGTTTTATTGTACAAAATAAGAATAAAATTATTATACAGAACTACAATATCATTTATATATGCATGTTTCTCATTAGGGTTTCCATCACATCCTGGCAACAAATGAATTCTAGGATAATATTGACTATATGAAGAGTAGAATTGGGTTTAACATAAAGAAAGGCACCAACGGTTTCTAGTAATTTATATATGCCACTCTTCCCTGCCTCCTTCAATTCTGCATACTTATCCCATAATGACAGTTCTGCTAATGTAAAATATTGCAGGAAACAATTATTAACATTTATGCAGGCTTCAATTTTCATTGTGTAATTGTCTATTCAGAAGTTATGAAACATTACTGAAAATTGAGAAGAGGGGGAATAATAGGATGTTTTCACCTTGGCCTATGTCCTTATATATAAAAGAAATGATAAAAGTACAATATGTTCTCCAAAGTTTACTATATTCTTTATTTTTAATTAGTATTATACTTTTCCATAAGTTCAATTCAGTAACTGAAGAGTTGCAAGTAGTACAACCTTACTGCAATGAATATGACTTACTTCCTTCATAGTAAAAGTATCCTTCTGTGCACCAGCAAACTTTAAAAGTTTCAGCAGCAATGGTTTCGGTTTGACCTGAAAACAGAGATAAAACAGGGGATTTCTAAACAGGTGTCCTCGCTATCTGGAGAGCTAGTCCTATCACAGAATCATAGAATCAAAGAGTTGGAAGAGACCTCATGGGCCATCCAGTCCAACCCCCTGCCAGGAAGCAGGAATGTTGCATGTCCAGAATGTTCCTGTCCAGAAAGTATAAACATTTCAGAAAATAAGTATCTAAGATCCATAAGTTTTTTATAACCATGATTGGGACAAGTTCTCTTAGATCAACAAGAAATGTAAACCTAACAGATGTTTCACATCAATCATTGACAAAATATGTGTGTGTTCTCAGGTATCATAGCTACACACTGAGGAAGAGGGTTTGCAGAACTATATATCTAAGACATAACTCCAATTCCCTTCCATATTGGAATACACAACCAAAGCACTCTTGAAAGATGGCCATCCACTCTGTTTAAAAACCTCCAAAGGAGACTCCATCACACTCTGAGATATATTCCACTGGCAAACAGTTTTTACTGTCAGGACATCCTTCCGAACATTTAAGAGGACTCTCTTTCCCTGTAATTTGAAATCACTGCTTAATGTCCTAGTCTCTGGAGCAACAGAAAACAAGCTTGTCCCCCCCACCCCTCAATATGACACCCTGTCAAATATGTAAACATGCCTCTCATGTTTCCATTAACCTTCTCTTTTTTGAGCTAAACATGTCCAGCTCCTCAAGTCACTTCCCATAGGGCTTGCTTTCTAGACCTATTACCATTTTGGTTATTTGTCTCTGGACATGTTCTAACTTGTCAATATCCTCTTGAATCATAGTGTCCAGAACTGGACACAGTAGTCAAGGTGATGAATAGAGTGGTATTATTGTTTCCTTGATCCTATTCATGCAGCAAAAAATTACATTGGCTTTTTCAACCGCCACATCACATTGTTGGCTCATATATGGACCACGACTCATTCTATGTGTGGTCCATATGTGAGTCAACAGTGTCGAGATCGAGGTGAGCAATTCTGAGAGGAGAGACTGAACTGGCCCCATGGTTCCCAGCACATTTCATAGCTTACAACAAATTTGAATGTGATCTTCTATTCCACATTAAGCGTGTAACCAACTTGGAAATAAACTCAACTGATTTCATTTCCAGTTAAAAGAGACTGCAAGTTTTTGTGGGAGGACATTGAAAAAGAAATGGCTCTCCTCTTTTTTTTTTTAAAAAAAACCAATATTGCACAGAAATCAAAACTGTCCACATCAGTAGCTTAGAGAGTGATACCATTGCCTTTTGTTGGTTCAATGTACATAAACTTTGTCTTGTGCACAAAAGTATTAATTAAATTAAAAATATTGTATGTGTGTGTATATATAATGACCTACAACGTATGTGTATAAAGTATCTATGAAGTGTGAATTAATGTTGTGTTTTGACTTGAATGCCATCTACAAAACATCTCACAATGCATGTATTATTAAACATTTCAGTGTTGACAAGAGGCCCCTTCCATACAGACATACAATGCAGAATATCAAGGCTGAAAATTCCACAATGTCTGCTTTTATTTAGCTATGTGGAAGGGGCCCCAGATAATACAGTTCAAAGCAGATGTTGAGGCATTTTCTGTCTTGATATTCTGGATTATATGGCTGTGTGGAAGGTTTCTAAGATAATCAAGCTGAAATCAGATAATGTGGATTTTCTGCTTCGATAACGTGGATAATCTGGCAATGTAGAAAGGGCCAAAGTGGTTCCAAACTGCATTAATTCTACAGCAGGCAGGGGCAAGCTTTGGCCCTCAGCTTGAGTGGTGGAGAGGGAAAAGGAAGGGGCATGAGGCTGTTAGGAATTGTGGGATTTGAAGTCAAAAACACCTGGATTTAAGTCGCTGAGAGGGAAAAGGATAGGGCCTGAGTCTGTTAGGAATTGTGGGAGTTGAAGTCCAAAACACTTGGAGGGCATAAGTTTTCCCATGCATGTTCTATAGTGTGTGCTGGCAGGACTGAAGACTGGCAGGTCGCAGGTTCTCCCTCTATCAGTTCCTCATGTGGGGACATGAGAGAAGCCTCCCACAAGGATGGTAACATATCAAGAAATATCTGGGTGTCCCCTGAGCAATGTCCTTGCAGACGGCCAATTCTCTCACACCAGAAGCAACTTGGCAGTTTCTCAAGTCGCTCCTGACACACGAAAAACAGTGTTGATGTAGTGCTGCAGTCACCTTTAAGAGTGAAATCAGTTGGATTGATTTTCACAGATGTATTTGCAATGCCGAAAAAAGCAAGCAACCTTTCCATGAGATTGTGGGTACTCACCAATGTTTCCTGAGAGGTGCCATTGCTGCCCGAAGTGCCCGCTGCTGCCGGCTCCAGAGCAGAAGCCATCTTCGTCTTGCACACTGGCCTGTGGAGAGGAGAGGAGAGAAGGACGTCAGGAATGCTTCAAAAGCGGAGGCCGGGAAATCATTCCTCAGGGAAAGCCCCAAGCTGTGGCCATTACACGCAAGGCAACGCGGGCCGAGTATAAATACTGCCGCCTCTAGAGGCAAGCCTGGACTTCGCTCCTTTCCCAACCGCGGCCCCGACATGCCCGAGCATGACCCGCGGGAGGGGCCAAACCGGAGCTGAGTCAACCAGGAGGAGGAGGAGGGCGAATAAAGGCCGCTGACCAGCTCCCAAGTGGGGCCCGGCCCTTGACCCTCTTCTCCTTCTTCCTACGGAGGGTCCACAATAAACCCCCGTCATTTTATATTCCCAAACCACGAAGAAGGAGTAGGGAGGTCGGGGAAGCCTTTCACTGCTCTTCTCTTCTCTCCCACAAAATACTCACGGACTCCGTCCTAGAGAGCCACGGAAGGGTCTCCGGGCCTTTTGGGGCAGCCAAAGCGCCCCTCTTGCGCCGCCATTTTGGGGCCGCTCTCTCTCGCGCGCGCGCTCTCGCTTTCCCTCTCGCGCATGCGCGCGCTAAATGGTCGCCTCGCGAGCGCCTCCCTACCGGCGTTCTTCCCTCCCCAACCGTTTCCTTTTTTGAATTTCGGGCCTTGTTGGGAGTCTACCACGCAGTTGTGGACAAGCCTACATAGGGACCACCCCACGCAGCATTGCCCAGACACGAATCAAGGAACATGAAAAGCCCTGCAGACTGATTCAAACAGAGAAGTCAGCCATAGCAGAGCACCCGATGAGCCAACCTGGACACAGCCTATTATTTGAGAACACAGAAATGCTGGGCCACTCTCACAACCACCATGTCAGACTACACAGAGAAGCCACTGAAATCCACAAGCATGTGGACAATTTCAACACAAAGGAAGAAATCATTAAAATGAACAAAATCAACGAAAACACAAAGGAGGAAACCATAAAAATGAACAAAATAACACTTTATTTGTACCCCGCTACCATCTCCCCAAGGGACTTGGTGCGGCTTACATGAGGCCGAGCCCGAATACAACAATACAAGCAAAACCACAACAGTACACGCAATTAAAATAAAACATAGATAATAAAATATACAACATTATCAATAAGACAACAATTAAAAACAGTGGGAAGGCCAAATGTAAAGTTAAAATGGAAATAATACTGGGACATGGACGGAAGGTGATAGTGGCGTTTGTGGAAGGGCATACGAGCAGATCTAAAAAATGTAAAGTGCTTTGGAGGACAAAGTGCTATGGGATCATTATTCCGGGAAGGCACACTGGAACAACCACACGTCTTCAAGTTCCTCCTGAAGACTGCCAAGGTTGGGGCCTGTCTGATGTCTTTAGGGAGTGAGTTCCAGAGTCGAGGGGCCACCACCGAAAAGCCCCTCTCTCTCGTCCCCACCAACCGCGCCTGCGATGCTGGTGGGATCGAGAGCAGGGCCTCCCCGGATGATCGAAGGGATCACGTGGGTTTGTATACAGAGATGCGATTACGCATTTCTGTTGTGTCCAGGCATTGAATATTTGCCTTTTATGTTTGAAATCTGTCCTGAGTCCCTCCGGGGAGATAGGGCAGAATATAAATAAATAAATAAATAAAACTCCAAAGGGTTCCCCCAGGCAGCAACCAGCCCAGCTTTGAAGCTACAAGGCCATTCAGTGCTGATCAAGATGGCCGACTGCAACATTCACGCTTGCCTCAAGCAGACAAGAGTTCTTTCTCCCACCCTGGACATTCCACAGATATATAAACCTCACTTGCCTAGTTTCCAACAGACCTCACAGCCTCTGAGGATGACTGCCATAGATGTGGGTGAAACGTCAGGAGAGAATGCTTCAGAAACATGCCCTACACCCTGGAAAAGTCACCGCAACCCAGTGATTTTGGCCATGAAAGCCTTTGAAAACACAGTTCCCTTTTCCCTTGGGAACACACAAGAGAGTTCTTCCATCCATGCGTATCCTTTCATGCAGAGAATAAACACTCCTCATGCGCATGGGTCCCAATAGGCCTCATTCTCAACTTGTTTCCCAAATGTTTCCAGCTCCTTTGGACTTTAATTCCCAGAATCCCTGGCCATTGACTGGGTGCTGTAAGTCCAAAGTAACTGGAGTTTGGCACCACTTTTACAGGCCCTGGCTCAGTGATATGGAATCATGGGATTTGCAGTTTGGTCCTCACCAGCACTCTTTGGCAGACAGATATAAACATGACTGAGGTTGCATCTAGAATTAATGCTTTTTTGACACCACGTTAACTGCTCTGGAACCAAACCCAATGGACATCAATAGACCCATGCAAAATGGTGCCATCCCTATACTCTTAAGATGCATCTACATCAGGCATGGGCAAACTTTGGCCCATGCCTGATGTTTTGGACTTCAACTCCCACAATTCCTAACAGCCTCAGGCCCTTTCCTTTTCCCCCTCAGCCGCTTAAGTGAGAAAAAGAAGAGACCTGGGGCTGTTAGGAATTGTGGGAGTTGAAGTCCAAAACACCTGGAGGGCCAAAGTTGGCCCATGTCTGCTTTAAATCATTCATATTAATTGGTTGGGATAATAGTTTAGGGTCAAAGTTTGCCCACGCCTGACACTGTAGCATAATTGCAGTTTGACAGCAGTTTAGCTGCCGTGGCTCAGTGCTATGGGGTCATGGGAGCTGGAGTTTTACAAGGCATTTCTCTGCCAAATAGTTCTGATGCCTCAGCAAACTCCCATGATTTCACAGCAATAAGCCATGGTAGTTAAAGGGGTGTCAAACTGCATTGATTCTTCAGCAGGCATGGGCAAACTTTGGCCTTCTAGGTGTTTTGACCCACAATTCCTAACAGCTTTAGAGCCCTTCTTTTCCCCCCTCCTTTCTGACCTTGGAAGCTAAGCAGGGTCAGGCCTGGTCAGTCCTTGGATGGGAAACCACCAATGAATATCAAGGCGCCAGAGGGATCTGGCTCTGCATAGTACTCCTTGTCTTTAATGCTTATATTTGTATTTCAATGCATTTGTGGGTTTTTTATTGTATTGTGTCATATTTGTCGTTAGCTATCTTGAATGTAGACATCAGGAGAAAGGCAGGATAAAAATACGGTAAGTAAACAAGAATCAGACAAATTCATAGTAGTCTGCTTTTTTCGGAAATATTTTGGTTCCTTTGCCCTTACAATAGAAGAAATGGCCAGCTGTGACTACTTATCACGATGGTTTCATAGGCCAGTTCTGTATCTGAATATCTCTGTGTATGTCAGTTGCTGGGGAACCAAGACAATTGTGGTTACTTTCATCCTGTTTCTGGGTTTCACATAGGCTAATGTCATTTCTTGATTTGGCTCATGTAGGAATAAAATACTCAATTAGATACACTGTTTGTTTGAATGTTCTTAATGGGGCTTACTGACAGCTAGCATGGTGTAGTGCACATAGCAACAACTAGTTAGTAAGTGCTCTTATGACTGCAACTTAGAAAAAAAGAGGAATACAGCTAAATTTGCTTTTTGGGGATTCCCCTGAAAATAGGAATATGTGTTAATGCAGAGACAGGGCCTTAACGAGAGACAGGGCCTTCTTTGTGATTGCTCCCCGGCTATGGAACTCCCTTCCTGGTGAGATCAGGTCGGTCCCCTCTCTCCTGTCCTTTAGAAGAATGGTAAAAACTTGGCTGTGAGACCAAGCTTTCGGGACAGGGCAATAAAGCAGCAATAGGAAAGATTACCTCGCCAATTAGATTTGACGTGGATGCCTAAGACGGTTTTAAATGGTGTATTTTAAATGATGTATTAAATGATGTATTTTAAACATTTTGATAAATGTTTTAAATGTGTATGTATGTATATAAGAATTTGTGTCCCGGCCGTATATATGCTGTGCTCTGCCCTGAGTCCCTTTCGGGGTGAGAAAGGCAGAATATAAATGTTTTAAATTAATTAATTAATTAATTCCGTTCCCCATGTTGTGGTGACTCCCAACCATAAAATTATTTTTTGTTGCTACTTCATAAATGTCATTTTGCTATTATTATAGCAAAATGACAGTTATGCTAATCTATTTTCTTTCACTGGTCCAGCGAATGTATTTTCATTCACTGCTCCAGCAAATGTATTTTCATTCACTGGACCAGATTTGGCACAAATACCTGATACGCCCAAATTTGTATACTGGTGGGGTTGGGGATTGATTTTGTTATTTTGAAATTGTAGCTACTGGGATTTATAGCTAACCTACAATCAAAGAGCATTCTGAACTCCACCAATGATGGAATTGAACCAAACTTGGCACACAGAACTCCCATGACCAACAGAAAATACTGGGTTTGGTGCGTATAGACCTTGAGTTTTGGAATTGTAGTCCACATATATCTAGAGAGCACTGTGGACTCAAATGATGGATCTAGACCAGACTTAGCATAAATACTCAATATGCCCAAATGTGAACACTGATGGAGTTTGGGGCAAATAGACTTGACATTTGGGAGTTGTAGTTGCTGGGATTTATAGTTCATCTACAATCAAAGAGCATTTTGAACCCCACCAATTATAGGGAGAATGGGTCTCTCACATTTTTGCTTGTTTATTGCTTCCATCAAAATAATACTTTCACATTTCCCCTTATATTACTGATTTTTGCTCAATAATTAGAAGAAATGTGAGTGGGTTTTTGTATGTTCCAAGCCAGGCTATTGAGCACAGTACAAGTAAGCATCCAAATCTGTTCTTTATATCTTTCCCCAATCACACTGTTTACATGCACTCACATTCTGATCCTCTATGTATGTATTTGGAAGCAAGTCCTGCAGAAGGAAGCACAACTTATTCCAAGTATATGTAGCATTAACACTTAAGTATCTATTGACATGCATAGTACACATGGTTTCTCATAACACTAATGTGTATTCTCACCAGCAGCTTGGGTTTCTTCCACCAGCAATAGCAGCCACTGCCAGCAACCTCATGGGTGGAGTTGTTGTGTCTAGGGTGGATAGAATGAGTACAACTTTCCATGGCATTTTACAATGGATCGGAGGAAACAGAGAAAGGGAGAAAAAAATGTTATAACTACCAACTGTAGGATTTCAGTATAGAGTTAAGCTCATACAAATGACTACTAATTGCTGGTGAACAATATGTTTCTGTTCTCATATTTTGTGTGTGAATTTCCATGTCATCAGGCAACATGAAAGTAGGCAACAGAGTGCTGAACTAGACAGGCTTTTCCTCTGATCCAGCAAGTCTCCAAGGGACCGATCTTTGTCCAGGCTTGTCCTCTGCTAAACAACAACATGACCAAGGAAACATGAGGAGAATTTCTGTGAGGAATTTATATAGTCACTTGTGAAAGAATGGCTTATCCGGACAATCCTGTTAAACTTAAAACTCAAGGTCCAAGAGTACACAAGATAGGTGACATTTAAGCAATTGCTGGAATGTGTGTGTCTGCCATTTATCACCAGAATTTCAAAGGGCTGGAATATTCCTTGACCCACATGTGACAGAACATGATATTTCACTTCTTGTTCCACTCTTAGACATTTTCCCTAGATAATACAAGTTAAACATACTGTTCAAGAAATTTATTGACTTTTTATATTCTGAATATAAGGAACAAAACATACATTGGGTAATCAGTTTTTGCAGACAACAGTCTGCTTTAGCAGATACATGATGTGGAATGCTTAGCTTACTACAACCAGCATCCAATTGTTATTCCTGAGTAAATCAGTGGAACTTAAATAGGGCTAAATTGATCAAGTTCCCACTGATTTATGGTAATTAATCTTCTATAGGTGGAACCAACAATTTAACCCCACGGAGAGCTGTTACTTGTAATTAAATTTAACATACTGTATGTATATGGAATCATGGAGTTGGAAGAGACCACAAGGGCCATCCAGTCCAACCCCTTGCCATGCAGGAACACACAATCAAAACATTCTTGACAGATGACCATCCAGCCTCTGGTTATAAATGTGTATGTGATAATCTTTTCAAAATACCATCAGATATTGAAGAACTAGAGAACTGGCAATTCAAGAAAGATAAAATACTATTTGTTGTTAAAAAGGTACACTATTTTATTTAATTATGTTATGACAGCATTTTAGACCCAAACAGCCACAGAAAACAAAATAAATTGGCCTTTAACTTTCATTTAAAATGTGTCTTTAACATGACCAAAAACATTATTTAATTCAGCCAGTTTAACTTGTAAATTTATGAAGGCTTGATCATTTATTATCAGTTTAATAAAATATGTGAGCCAGTTTCCTTGGAATATGATCACTGCACTCAGCGAGACATAGCTTTTACTATAAATGTACAAGTCTATTTAATTAAATTGTGATATATTTTTAAAGAGGGGAAAAGTAATAAAACCCAGCCTGCAGACACTGATATTATTGCATAAAAGCCAATACCAAAAATTGTAACAGTTCTTCAGGCAGTATTTACATTGATTTCCATATTCACATCTGTGTGAGCAATGCATTAGCCATTATATACAAATGAAGATGCGTAAGAAAAATAAAAAATTATTTAAAACCTCTTTATAATTTTCTTCTCATGACTTGAAATCAGGTGGTTATGACTTGCATACTTCTGCTTTTCATTTCCCAGTTAGCAAATCCCATGCTGTCAGCATGTTGTGGTGGATTGGTATTATACTATGACTCTGGAGACCAAGGTCCAAATCTCAGCTTGGTCATAGAAACTGACTGGGTGAACCTGGACACACTCTGTCTCAAGAGGAAGCAAAGGCAAACCTCTGAACATATCTTGGCAAGAAAAATCTATGATAGGTTTGTCTTAGGCTCACTCTCATAAGTCAGAAGATAATTGAAGGCACATAATAACCACCAATAAATTATGCCTTTAATTTTGGGTGGAAAGAATTAATCTCTGCAATAACTAAACAGTTAAGGCAAGTTATATATTGGGCAACACATCCATGTAATTTGTATAGTCTGTATTCTCTCGAGTGTATGTTTATAAACTATCTCAGAATCAGTTCCTTTTCTGGCATTAAATGTACTTTCACATTTCTCATCTTTCTTACTTTATCTACAATTTATCTTCTTGGTCTCATTCCACAGTATGTCTTTACAATACATTTTTAAACTTCTACTGCCTTACCTACCTGCATGCGCCTTGTAGCAGTATCCAAGTCCAGTTGGTTCCAATATTACCGTAAAAGTTATGTCGAATACAACAGCAATAAACCCCATGTATGCTTACACTCTGAAGACCTTACTGATGACACCAGCAAATGCATAGGATTTGCCTTTTGATAACAAAGACCTATTTAATGCAATCACTGATAAATCTTAGGATCCCATTGCCAAGGCTTGTTTGTCTGCCAAAAGAAGACAAGCAGAAGCCCTCCTCAAACTGGAAGCTTCTTTCTTACTCTTTTAATTGATACAAGACTCTACCAAGCAATCCTTATAAAGAGTTTTCTCAGTACTCCTTATAAAAGTGGTTCTTAATCTGTGGGCCATGACCATGGCATATGTTCTATATCAGAAACTAGAGCTGATGTGATCTATCCAATGCAATTTTCTGAATCAGCAACCCAAACCGAACCTAAAATTGTCCAAAAACTGATTCGTAACCCTTTGGTACTAATGTTGAAGAGTGATTCCTGGTCAAAGTGGTTCCTGGTAAACAAAAAAAAGGTTGGGAACCACTGCATTATAATCAAGGAAGAAGCAGCCATACAAGCAAGAGAATTACAGAAACCTTCATCTAATAACTCAATGGACTCCTCTAAATCTTGTCTTTGACTCTTCAATCAGAATACCACAGCCAATTTTCCGTCAGACCTTTTTCCATCCCAGGCCCCAAAATTACACTGCCAGTTTACCATTTGGCAAAACACCACCACAAACTCTAGGGTACTTAATATTGTCTGGCTGGGATATGCCAGAGTTCTCATGTATTCCTCCCATTTATGTTTTTCATCATACTCCTAGGAGCCCCCAGTGGTGCAATGGATTAAACCCTTGTGCCGGCAAGGCTCCCTCTGTCAGCTTCAGCTCCCCATGCGGGAACATGAGAGAAGCCTCCCACAAGGATGGTAAAACATCAAACGTCCAGGCATCCCCTGGGCAACGTCCTTGCAGATGGCCAATTCTCTCAAACCAGAAGCGACTTGAAGTTTCTCAAGTCGCTCCTGACGCACACACACACACACACACACAATCATACTCCTGTTTCCACCACTGTTAAGTAGAAATCATCACTCTACTCCATCTAATGCCACCAAAAGGGTACCAGATTGTAGTAGGCAGGATCAGGCCCGTAGCCAGGATTTGGTTTGGGGGGGCTGAATTTTTTTCAGGGGGGGTTTCGGGGGGGGCTGAGTTTCGGGGGGGGCTGAGTCTGAGTGAAAGAGGGTCTAGCCTAGCAAACCTTTTGTATCATTACCCCAATACCCCCATGCATATGGGATATATTGAGTATGGTGATCAGATCATGATATGAATAAACATAACACTTTAAATAATGCACCAGTAAGGCCTTTTCGCGAACCACCATGAGAATTTCGGGGGGGGGGGCTGAAGCCCCTCAACCCCCCCCCCCCCGGCTACATGCCTGGGCAGGATGGTTATTTTTCTTTATACTTCACAGTACCAAAGAGACAAGGAGGCATCAAGAAGTACATGAAACCATTCCCCATGGTCATAAATACTTATTATCTAATGAGAGTATTGTGGGCATTAGCAGTGCTAAATGGTATAAATATATAACAATACTGAAGTCGTTATAGTTTACCTTGAAAACCTCCCCAGCTATGGTTATCCCAGACAATCCACAGTAGCTTTCTTTTCTTTTGTTCTTTTCTTTCTATCTTTCTTCTTTTATTTTTATTTTTTTACAAAATCCACAACTAAAGAAGTCAGTTGAATGGCCTGAGCAAACAGAAAAGAAGAGCTAACATTTCTATTCCTGGAAAACAATAAATGTACATCCCCAGCTAAAATTCAGATAATTAGAAAACATCAGATAATTCACAGGAGTTTATGTGTACCTGGAGCCATGCAAGGTGTTTAAATTTGTGTAAGGAATAAAGACAGTATTATTTTCAGTGTGTTTTCTGGTTCATACTTGGAGCACTTGCACTGGGTGTTGAGTCATGAAGGAATGTAAGTTGCCACTTTTTTTTAATTATGAAAGAGACTTCTCTATCTTGAAAACAGAGATCTGATTCAACAGCTCATGGCTGCCCTGTGCTATTTATGGAGACTGTGTAACGAAAGCAGAACAAGACTGAGATGGTAGTATTTGTAAAGATGTATGAATAACTGTGTCCTTTTCAAGTTTTGAAACCATAATTAAAAATCGTTGTGTGCTTTTTCAAGTTGTTTTTGACTGACTTATGTCAATCCTAAACTAGTCTGACCATGGGGTTTTCTGGGCAGGATTTCTTCAAAAGCAGTTTATTTTTCTTTCCTCTGAGTCTGCCCAACAACTAGTGATATATTTTTTTTTGAAAGAATCAAGGCTGTTACTGATAATTTTCCAAAGCATTTTAATGCTGTCAGTGTCACCTTCTCTTCTAGAGCCAATTTCTTATATGGTTTTTTCGGGCTATATGGCCATGTTCTAGAGGCATTATCTCCTGACGTTTCGCCTGCATTAATGGCAAGCATCCTCAGAGGTAGTGAGGTCTGTTGGAACTAGAAAAAAGAGCTTGTATATCTGTAGAATGACCAGGGTGGGACAAAGGACTCTTGTCTGTTGGAGCTAGGTGTGAATGTTTCAACTGACCACCTTGATTAGCATTTGATGGTCTGACAGTGCCTGGTGCAATCTTTTATTGAGAGGTGATTAGCTGTCCTTGTTTGTTTACTCTCTGTTGTTTTGCTGTTGTAATTTTAGAGTTTTTTTTAATACTGGTAGCCAGATTTTGTTCATTTTCATGGTTTCCTCCTTTCTGTTGAAATTGTCCACATGCTTGTGGATTTCAATGGCTTCTCTGTGTAGTCTGACATGGTGGTTGGTAGAGTGGTCCAGCATTTCTGTGTTCTCAAATAATATGCTGTGTCCTGGTTGGTTCATCAGGTGCTCTGCTATGGCTGATTTCTCTGGTTGAAGTAGTCTGCAGTGCCTTTCATGTTCCTTGATTCGTGTTTGGACGCTGCGTTTGGTGGTTCCTCTGTAGACTTGTCCACAGCTGCATGGTACACGGTAGACTCCTGCAGAAGTGAGAGGATCCCTCTTGTCCTTTGCTGAACGTAGCATTTGTTGGATTTTCTTGGTGGGTCTGTAGATAGTTTGTATGTTGTGTTTCCTAATCAGCTTCCCTATGCGACATAAAATCTAAATATAAAACTTCCAACATTCCATATTAATTTACAAGAGCCAACGAATGTTCGCTCAGGTGTATGGGTTGGTTTTGTGGTCAGTGATGTTAACTGGGGCTAACATGGTCTAATGAAGCCCAAAATACAAATAGTTTTCAATCTGAGATCTGGTAGTGGTCTCTCATCATCTAATACTCCTCCTAATGAGAAAAGTAACTTTTAGTTGTTTTTTGAAGGAGGAGAGAAGGGGCCATCTTTATTTCTTGAAGGAGGGAGTTCCAGAGGTGGAGGGCAATCACGAAGAAGGCCTTCTCTCTTGTTCCCACCAAATGTACTTGAGATGGGGGTGGTACCGCGAGCAGGGGGAGATGTGGTCAGTCAAATAGCCTAGAAAAACAGCCTTTATATATTTGGGAAAAGAGAATGTTGCCTGGGCAAAATGAGCATATGAATCATAGAATCATAGAGTTTGAAGAGACCTTGTGGGCCATCCAGTCCAACCCCATGCCAAGAAGCAGGAAAATCGCATTCAAAGCACCCTGACAGATGGCTATCCAGCCTCTGCTTAAAAGCCTCCAAAGAAGGAGCCTCCACCACACTCCTGGGCAGAGAGTTCCACTGCAGAACAGCTCTCACAGTCACTTGAGAGGTGAAGAGCAACGTCTGGTCGCTTGGGGGGAGGGGGGAAGGCTTAAAGTTCAAGCCTTGACCTTTAACATGCAGAAGCACATTCAGAACAAAGCACATGCAACTTTGGTTTTGTATTGCATATATGCCAACCATTAATAACGCTCCTCTTTAAAAACACACACACGCAAACACATCTGATAAAGCAATATTTAGTAAGACAAAGTGCTGCTTCAGAGAGAGGACATACAGACATTTTGTATTAAGAATGATTTTCTCAGTTCTTGTGGGTTTTTTCGGGCTATATGGCCATGTTCTAGAGGCATTTCTCCTGACGTTTCGCCTGCATCTATGGCAAGCATCCTCAGAGGTGAGGTCTGCTGGAGCTGGGAAAAAAGGGGGTTTATATATCTGTGGAATGACCAGGGTGAGACAAAAGGCTTTTGTAAGTGGGCTAGGTGTGAATCTTTTCAACTGACCACCTTGATTAGCATACAATGGGCTGACTGTGCCTGGAGCAAACTCTTCTTGAAAGGTGATTAGATGTCCCTGCCTGTTTTTCTCTCTGCTGTTTTATTTTTAGTCTTTTTTAATACAGGTAGCCAGATTTTGTTCATTTTCATGGTTTCCCCCTTTCTGTTGAAATTGTCCACATTATTATGGAATTCAATGGCTTATCTGTGTAGTCTGACATGGTGGTTGTTCGAGTGGTCCAGCATTTCTGTGTTCTCAGATAATATGCTGTGTCCAGGTTGGTTCATCAGGTGCTCTGCTATGGCTGACTTCTCTGGTTGAAGTAGTCTGCAGTGCCTTTCATGTTCCTTGATTCGTGTTTGGGCGCTGCGTTTGGTGGGCCCTATGTAGACTTGTCCACAGCTGCATGGTATACGGTAGACTCCTGCAGAGGTGAGAGGGTCCCTCTTGTCCAAGTCTACATAGGGACCACCAAATGCAGCAGCATTGCCCAAACAAGAATCCAGGAACATGAAAGGCACTGCAGACTACTCCAACCAGAGAAATCAGAGCACCTGATGAACCAACCTGGACACAGCATTTTATTTGAGAACACAAAAATGCTGGACCACTCTCACAACCACCATGTCAGACTACACAGAGAAGCCATTGAAATACACAAACATGTGGACAATTTCAACAGAAAGGAAGAAACCATGAAAATGAACAAAATCTGGCTACCAGTATTAAAAAATTCTAAAATTGCAACAGCAAAAACAGCAGAGAGAAAAACAGGCAGGGACATCTAATCACCTTTCAAGAAGAGTTTTGCTCCAGGCACTGTCAGCCCATTGTACGCTAATCAAGGTGGTCAGTGGAAAGATCCACACCCAGCCCAACTTACAAAAGCCCTTTGTCTCACCCTGGTCATTCCACAGATATATAAACCCCTTTTCCCAGCTCCAGCAGACCTCACCTCTGAGGATGCTTGCCATAGATGCAGGCGAAACGTCAGGAGAAATGCCTCTAGAACATGGCCATATAGCCCGAAAAAACCCACAAGAACTGAGTGATTCCGGCCATGAAAGCCTTCGACAAGAATGATTTTATTCATAAGTAAAAACAATATTTCTGATTTTTTAATTAAAAAACCCCACCTTCATTGATTCTGCTTATTAAACGATCCTTATATCTGGGGAGCAAATTCTTAAATTAAGTTTGTGTATTTAATTCACAACTTCAACCAGTGCAGACTGTAACTTACAGCATTCTATTCGTATTCTATACATCGTTACTATACAGTATATTTACAATAACAGCTTACAATCGCAAACTGACACAGCTGGGTATGATGAAGAGATTTCACTGTTCTCACTTGTATCTGGAAACATTTCAGAAGGGAAAAAGGAATATGCTGAGTGTAATCTGAAGAAACAAACAGTAGTGTATTCGTCTCTGTTACCTTTACAAACACAGGGCTGATAAGCAGAAAAGCTATAGCTGTTTTATGTAAAATAACTAGAGATTTGTGTCTTTGTGCAAGAATCTGAATTAATCTTGTTATTAATTAAAAAGATCTTCATGTTGTATTTATATTTCAAAAGGTTTGTGCATAGACAAAAGATGTCCATTTTGTTTTTTCAATGCACACTGCAGCAATCTGCATCTGCTTTGAACATATTTGCACAAGGGTTGTTTCAGTCTACTCAGAGATATCTGAAATGTATTTAAACAATTCTGGTTTTTGAAACAAAGTAGTGAATATGAGGAAATGCTCAAAATACCATAATACTGATAAAAATCCACTTGAAATGTATACAAGTATGTTAATGAAGAGATTTGGCTTTGGACACAATACAGACGAATAATAAGCAAACTGAATGTCTACTGTATTGTAGAAAATACCTTTCTGAGCTTTTCCCCCTATACTGTACAGTTCAAATCCCTGAAAGCATTTGGAATGGGAAAGTTGGATCATAGTTCTTAAGAAACACCTTGTTGGAAGAAAGAAGAATCCAATCAGTTTTACAGAAGGTGCAGGATTTAGTTATTTGTTCATACTCGGAGCACACTTCCCTCAAACCATAGGGACCAAAGTACAGCAGAATATAGACAGTACATTACGTTCTGTTTTTCAAAAACAAATAGCCTCTAAGTGCCATTGTCCCAGTTTGATTCTCAAATGAATAGCTCAGCTTCTAAGGCAAAAGTTACACACCTTCCAAAGCTAATTGCTCTCTGAAAGTACAATGACCATAATTATATGGGGTACAATCTACTTAGATCAATATAATTGGGAGGTAATTTTTCCTCAGCCTGGTTGAGAAACCAGCTAGGGCAGACATGAGCAAACTTTGGCCCTCCAGGTGTTTTGGACTTCAACTCCTACAATTCCTAACAACCTATGGCTGTTAGGAATTGTAGGAGTTGAAGTCCAAAACATCTGGAGGGCCCAAGTTTGCCCGTGCCTGATCTAGGGCCATGAAAATTGTGAAAAATGTCTTCTTGTGCTGGTAGTCAGCTGCCAATGTGACAAGGGTTGTAGGTCTCTTTATATTTTATATTTCAGTTTTATATTTGAAGCTTTGAGAGCTTCTGTCAAGCATGAATATATAATACAGCAAAAGAACACAGTTCTTTATTATTTCCTAGGTTTTCCCTAGGTATTCAACTGCTAGTTGTCAGGAGAATATAGATCAGGCATGGGCAAACTTTGTTCCTCCAGGTGTTTGGACTTCAACTCCCACCATTCCTAACGGCCTACTGGTAGGCTGTTAAGAATGGTGGGAGCTAAATCCAAAATACCTGGAGGACCAAAGTTTGGCCATGCCTGATATAGATCCATGAGTCAATTTCACATCACACCCTCCCAAACAGTAGCTACTACACTTTTCCTTTCAGAAAAAAAAAATTATCGAGCAGAACAAAGTGCAAGGTAATTATTACAACTTGTTTCAGAGGTAAATCATGCTTTTCAGATCTTTCTGAAGTTATAATTATCCAGTAATTGAAAATCTGTGTCGTTTTTCTTGCTACCGTTATAGTGCAATTTAGTGACAATATTAGTGAGGCTGCAAAAACAGCTGAGTAAGGAAAATGTGTGTTGTATTTGTTTTAAATATATTAACAAAATAGTTGTTGCTAAAAATTAATTGTTGATTAGATGTTATATAGTTCATCGGATGACTATTTTTAATGTATTGTCAAAGGCTTTCATGGCCGGAATCACTGGGTTGTTGTGAGTTTTTCAGGCTGTTTGGCGATGTTCCAGAAGCATTCTGTCCTGGAGAGAATGCTTCTGGAACATGGCCTTACAGCCCAAAAAAACTCACAACAACCCAACTAGTTTTTAAATTGCAGGTCTGGATCCATTGAATGGCTGTAACAGTATATATTTAAAATGGATTCATGGTAGAATCCATTTGTCCAGTTTATTCCAGGTTTTGTAATCCACTCCAGGACTATAGTAAGGCTTCATGCAATCAAGCTAATTTCCATAGTTCGTTAGGTTTCTAATAGTAATCGTTATGAATCAAGTATCTTAAAAAGAAATTAGAAAGCAGATACCCACTGTTAGTTTTTTACTCCCACACGCATAAAGTTTCACATTTTTCCCTTCTTGGAAAAACAGTCTACCATGTTTTCATTTTTTAAAATCTATTTCACATCTTAAAATTTCAGTTAAGGCATAATATGTTTTCCTAAAACATTCGAGTCTTGTTCAAGCCTGTGCTGTTCAATTGTAAGGGGCCGGCACAGATCCTTTCGATCCTCTAAGGAACCCACTATCTTAAATAAGCCATTTATTTAGCCCTGAAGCAGGGCAGAAAGAAAAACATTTCAAGTCACAGGAGCCAGCCCTGCACTGAATGACAAAATATTCGGTAAAGCTAGAAATCTGACAAAGATGCAAAGCTCTGATAGTGAAGGAATATCAGAGTATTGCTGAATCATGAATAAAGAAACTTAATTTCTCTCAAATTAATACATATTGTACCCTCAAGAATAGGGGGAACACAAATATGCCTAGGTATGTTACACACAAACCCACTGAAGTCGTTTTCGATAAACCAGAAAAACATGACTTTCTATAACTGATCATATTGAGAAGCTACAATGTTCATTTGAATTTCATAATATCAGCACACAGTCGGACAACAATAACACTGATATGATTAGAAGAATGAAATCCTTTGGCAATTAACGTCACATCTGCCTTGATGAGTTCATTTGGTATAAATAGAAGAGTTCCCTTAGAAATTGCCACTGTAATAGTGACCAGTCCTTGAACCGAAGAAGTCATTCATATATAGTAGAAAACAACACAAAGACTGCAAGAGCCGAGTATTACGTAGTGCCCGATTCCTTCTAGAGAGAACAAATTTTGCAGTACCTTATTATCAACCGGATGGATCTACTTCTTAATCTAACTTCTTTGCTTGTTTTACAGTCAGTGCGTAATAAAAGAATCCATTCATCATCCACATCAGTACATGATTTATGGGCGCTGAACCAGCTTGCTCTTGCTCTTGCTCCCATCTTGTTCACTCAGCTTGAAATGGGTGTAAGCTAAAATGCCAAACAATGTGCATGTAATCCCAAGGCCTTGATTAATTGACAAAGGGTCCTTAAATAAGAGATATCCTCCCATGAGAGTAATGCAGAATTTGAAGTGTCCAAACATATTGTAGCTGCATATTTCTGTTAAGGAGAACAGATATTCATCAAAGGTTAAACAACAAACATGCTGAATTCATTTATAACCTCTTTATACTGCCAAGGATATAATTCTATTTAACTTCTATACAGTTAATGGGATTTGAAAGCAACCTAATTGGGCAGAAGGTTGCAGTTGGTGATTACTGACTCTCCCCATCTTGTAAACCCAGATATTTTATTTTGAGCACTCTCTCTTTTCCCATAACACAATATAGGTTTTTCACACATTATATAACAATATTCCTTTAATGTACCTTCTTTGAAACTTTGAATTTTATTACCGTTGAAGTATAGTAAATATTTAACAAGTTGATATTGTTAAAACTTGTGCGCCAGCTGCGCCTGTACCTTGAGACGCCAGACTTGGCCATGATAGTCCACGCCTCAGTCACATCCCATCTGGACTACTGCAACACTCTCTATGTGGGGCTGCCTTTGAGGATAGCTGCAATTAGTGCAGAGATCAGTGGCTAGATTGCTAACTGAAGCGCCATATCGTGAGAGGATGATTTCCATGCTGCGGCAGCTCTATTGGTTGCCAATCCACTTCCGGGCTAAATACAAAGTGCTGGTTGTTACCTATAAAGCCCTAAATGGTTCAGGTCCAGGATATTTGTTTAATCACATCTCCCTATACAGGCCATTCTGTGCACTGCGGTCAATGGAGGAGGCCCTCCTCTCGGTCCCACCTCAAGCTTGGTTGGTGGAAATGAGAGGGGGCTTTTTCCATGATCACTCGCCATCTCCAGAACTCCTTCCCTAAAGAAGTAAAAATAGCCTCCACCCTCCTCTCCTTTACAAAACTTCTAATAATGCATCTATGCACTTTAGCATATGGAGAGGAGGAAGACTAAGGCACTTTAACTACTTGGGATGCTGGCTAGTCCCACTTATACTAGATGGCTGCCAAGTTACATTTCAAATGAACACTGTGCCAGCCACTTTTAATGTAACTATTTTAAATTGCTTTTGGTTTTTTTTTGTAATGTTTACTTATGTTTTAGTTAAATATGTCTTATTGGATTGTTTTGTTTTATTTTTCATCATAATGCTTAATTTTTTGTTGTAAGGTCACTGTTATTACTGTTGCTTTATTGTGTATTATTCTGATATGTTTTATACTCATATGAGGCATTGAATGCTTGCCTTTTTGTGTATATAAACCGCACTGAATCCCTTTGGGGAAAGAGGGCGTTCTAGAAATAAAGATTATGATTTCTTTCACTCAACTAACACTTTTTTAATAATTAAAAATGCAAGTGCTTGTAATTAGGGAATTAGAACTATGTTTATGATACACAATGCATTGTAATGAATCCAATTACATTTTAAAATGAACTTAAATCAGTCCTATAGTTCTGAAGTATCAATTATACCAGGCATCCTCAAACTGCGCCCTTCCAACTGTTTTGGGCTTCAACTCCCAGAATTCCTGACGATAGAACAAGCTCGTTAGGGCTTCTGGAAGTTGGAGGCCCAAACAGCTGAAGAGCTGCAGTTTGAAGATGCCTGAATTATACTGTCAAGAACCTTGAATAAATTATAGTGTGAACAAATTTAGTCCAAACACTGAAGTGGCTAACCAAGATGCCAAATCTCGCTTCCACATAAACTTATAGAAGTTTTCACATATTTTATAGTACCTTTCAAGTTTTAGAAGCCTTGGAGATTCACTGCTCCACTAACAATGATGTCAGACCATGAAGGGAAGATACTTGGCGACTGACTTTCTTCTTTCACAATTTGATTCAGTAGGATCTTTTGTTTCCTGACTTGTCTTCAAGCACCAAACTAGTAGTTGTTATCTGTACTTCACCCTATTCTCTGTACTTTATTAAGAATAACATGTAAGATTTTTTTTATCTACTGAAAATGAAAAAATATAATGAAGGAAAGGATACGTGACTGGAGAAGTATTCCCAATGATCCAGTAAATGGTTAAGTTCACCATAAAGGCAATTACTCCAGACAGCAGCACCATAAGCTGTGAATTAAAAAAAGGAGCACTCATAAGTGACAAGCAAGGCAACACCAGTTTAAAAATGTTGAGCAGATATGGCACTCTAAAATCAGAGTACACTGATAATCTTACAAGTAAAAGTAAATTATAAACCAGAAAAAATGCAATGATCCTTCTTCAGTTGACACATCCAATTGCTCAAGGCAGCATGGATTCTTTCTAACCTGTTCTGGTTCATTTTATGTGTCTTGACTAGGTCAGAGGCCAGTCATTCCCCATGAACATAATGGGCCACTACAGTAGTAAACAACAGAAAATAAAATCAACCTGTCAGACCACCGCTTCACTGGATCAGTATTTAACCCAAAAACTATTTGGGACTTCAAATTGTTCCATCACCTAAGCATGCCATTCCCCTTCTAATGAGAGCAACGAGGTGCTATGGGAGGAATTGGGTCTCCCTGATGTTTAAATCAATTAGTCATTTAGTTCAGAATGGCCTGATTTGACTGTGCTTTGAGCCTAGATCTCTTAATCATCCCACATTTGAACTGGTTGCTCCAGAAATGAAGATACGACTGATGACTTTCTTCGTTGTCCTCCATAGGGAATCACTGGATTTAACATTTATAATGCTATTCCAAGAGGCAGACACACATTTTAAGGTTTTAGAGACAAAACGCAAGAAGCATAAAATTCTTACCACAGCAGAAAGTGTCCAGGGACCAAAAATTCCACCTTCCCCAAATACTGGTTCAAAGAAGGGCACAACACACACCAATATGCCACAAGACATTGGTGCTTGGTAGTAGAGCAGCTGCATAGAGTTTACCTGCAGCTCATGCTGCTTTGCCCCTACCCACTGAAATCAAAGAAAAACATGTTGATAACATTTTGATACCCCGCTTTGAGACAACAGCTATGCACAATCTTATGTGCATTGTACAAAATCGTTGTGTTGTATGTTGTTTTTTGAACTACAGTACAGAATAGTACAGCTTCATTTATCCCAGATTACTTGAGAACACAGATAAAACATCTGGAAGTTCAGAAGTTTGAATAAATGCATCTTCCTTTTGGAAAAGATTTACACTGTGATCAAGCACAAAAAGTGTTAAGTTTGGGTTTCAGAGGTTCAAGGTACACTGACAAATCATTAGAAACATGATCACTTTAAACCAAAATTGTCCCTTGAAATCAGGCATGGGAAAACTTTGGCCCTCCAGGTGTTTTGGACAACTCTTGGCTGTTAGGAATTATGGGAGTTGAAGTCCAAAACACCTGGAGGGCCAAAGTTGTCCCACACTTACTTTAAATCATTCATATTAATTGGTTGGGATACTAGTTACTTTAGACTTGTTAGTGTTGGAATTCAACCCCATACTGCTCAAATTTGCAGTCTTCAATGAGGAGCAGTTAGTTTATTATAGGCTGAGGGAATTCCCTTCTATGTCTTTTGAATGACAGTTGGAATGTATCTGATTTCTCCTCTCCTCTCTGTTTTCCTCTCATTCTGATTGCTGGTTTAAAATGGATACTTTTCTGCTGCAAGCTTTTTGAATCTGCCTTCTGCCTTCTTGCATTTTAGTATGGAGAGTATGTGCTGTGTGCTTTGAGATCTCTCTGCTTGTGTGTCAGGAGAGATATAGTCATTGAGTTTTTCCCTCTCTAGAAACCTTAGAAGAGATGAGTGTTAGAGTAGCTCAGACCCAGTTACTTACCAGTAAGAAATGCAGTTATTTCTTATTATTGTAAATAAACTATTTGTGATTTTTAAAGATTAGACTCTGCATGTTTGCCTCCTAAGCTCTGAATTCTTAACAGCCACATCACACGACACTTCACGCTTTGCTTGCCAATGAGCTGATGCTCAACTTTTGTATCGTGTTTGTTTTGGATGCACTGCTATATTTGGGGTAATTTTATCTAACAGTTAGATCCTGCTGTTCATGAAAACAACATACATTAATCTGTTTAGAGATCAGAAATGTTCTCCTTGGGTTCCCTTTTAAACAGGCAAGGACACCAAGAAATGCTACCTAGAGGAACACTTTCAGATTACCAAAAATGCATTAGTATGTTTCCTTTAACCACCTTTGCTGCATCCTATGGAATTTTGAGGTTTCAAGTTTGGTGAGACACTAGAGATCTCCCTGCAATAAAGCACCTGTATAATCTCTTTGAGAAGAACTCTAAATATCCTAAATATCCCAGGAATTGCAGGTGAAGAGGAATAATAGTGTTGTCATTGTGTAAAGGGACCTTCGTGGTGAAGGCTGAAAGTGTGACTTACACCTAAGTAAACACGCACAGGACTGAGCTCTGTTTTTAGGTAACTGGTGGGACTGCCAATCACCATGTCTGATTATCAGAATTACAACTCAAGTCTTGTTTTGAGTGTTTGCCAGAAAGTGCAGAAGGATAAACGGATGGTGATTCCCATTATCAGATTCTCCCGTAGCCTTCCCCATGTAAAGCTAAAGGCTTGAATAGGGAAATTATGTGCATTGTAACCCTCCCAAGTCCCCTGTGGTGTAAGAAGGGTGGAATACAAATACTGTAAATAAATGAATAAATAGTTCCCATACGGATGGCAGTATTCTCATATATTCTATTCCAAATGAAGATTGTAGAACACAGAGAGCTTTCTCTATTGATTCAAGACAAATAATTGTTTACATTTTCTCTTGCCATTTGATATGTGACTGTTATTGAGAGTGTACAACTACATTTGCCAGGGGTGAAAATACTCACCACTTGATAAATGGAGGTAACTAGAACGCCGATAGAAGCAAAGATTATTCCGAGCAGGTTAAATTTCACATCGTAATAGGAATTTAGAAAGACACCCAAAGTGATTGGAATCTGTAAGAGAGAAATAATAAAATGTTAAATTTTAATACATTTCCTGCTATTATAAATTAGCAAGAACATAACTCCCCCTATCAATAATGTTTCACAATGATGAAAACTCAACCTCGATGGGAGAAGCTGTGGATTGTATTAATTCATAATTTTGGAGAACACTAAACCACAACCTCTGAGTAAAACTTTCACAGTGATGTTTGCAATGGTCTGCTAGGATTTCTGAAATGACTTGCTGTCTGTTTCTTGGCAAGGAGATCCACAAACATGTAATATTCCCGCGTCGCTGATGAAAATTTTAGGTTTGCAGTTTAGAAAAGTAGAAATTTACATCCATTCAAGCAATATGAATGGATGCTGGGGAAATACAAATCCCATCCCCCAATCAGCTAGGAAGGCAATCATGGCTGAGTGATTAAGATCAAGGTAAGGGACCCCGCAATGTTGCCAAAATGATAAACAAGGTTTGTGTAATGAAGAATATTACATAACTAGGAAGGTGAAATGGCCTTCCATCATGATCGAAAAGAAAACAAACAGAGAGAGACATCACAGTTCTCTTTCCTTTCTCTTATGCTAAACAACCAATGCTCTTTGTCCCAAAAGAATTTCAGAAATTAATGAGTGATTTTGACATTATAGACAATATCACACTCCTGCAACAAATCACAATCTTGTGATGTGCAATTAATACTGTTTGATACCACTTGAACTCTCATTGCTCAATGCTATGTAATCATAGAAGTTCTAGTTTTAAAAGGTCTTCAGTCTTCCCTGCCACAGAGTGTCAGTGCCTCAGCAAACTACAGTTCTCAAGATCCCATAGCATTGAGCCACTGGTCAGACTGTGTTAATTCTACAGTACAGTCCAACCCTCCTGCCATGCAGCAGCAACAACGTTTTTATGAATTTTGTTGTGTTGTATATTAACTATGTTGAATCTCGGGCCTGGCCCCCTATTAAGCTGCCCCGAGTCCCTTTGGGAAGATGGAGGCAGGGGTACAAAAATAAAGATATCATTATTATTAGTAGTAGTATAAGTACTTCAGGGGGACTCAGGGCGGATTCCAACAACAGAAAGGCCAACATTCAATGCCTCAATACAACAACAAATACAGATATAATAATATAAGATAATCAAACGTATAAAACATATTATAACATGACACCTAAAGTTAAATAAAACATAATCTATGCAAGGAGCATAGAATCAAGGCAGTCCCAACCGATGGCCATCCAACCAAAGTTAGCTTCACACCATTGCGGCCAGATAACGAACTCCCACAAAAGTGTGCAAAAGAAAGCCCTGAATGCACATCAGTGCTTTGTACCATCACCATCTGGGCCTGAGACTTAATTTCTAAGAGAAACATGTGCACAGTCCCTGGTGACACAGTGGGTTAAACTGCTGAGCTGCTGAACTTGCTAAAGGTCGGTGGTTCGAATCTGGGGAGCAGGGTGAGCTCTTGCTGTTAAGCCCTGCTTCTGTCAACCTAGCAGTTTGAAAACATGAAAATGTGAGATCAATAGGTACTACTCCGATGGGAAGGTAACGATGCGCCATGCAGTCATGCTGATCACATTACCTTGGAGGTGTCTACGGACAACGCCGGCTCTTTGGCTTAGAAATGGAAATGAGCACCAACTACCAGAGTCGGACACGAATAGGCTTAATGTCTAGGGAAAGCCTTTACCTTTACCTACTGTGTGCACAGTGAAACTATTTTCTTCAATACCAATAAACTGCATTAAACAGTCAATGTCAACATGAGCTTTAGAGTCACTTAAGTCACAAACAAAAGGTACACAATAACAAACTTATTTAGGAAAAGGTGAGCATGTGCCCAAGATAGCAACTCAGACTGGGGCTGGATCTACACTGCTGAATAATGCAGTTTGAACTGCATTAAACGGTCAGTGATGATGGGGCCTTAAGAGTTAACTTCAAGTCAGAAAGGCATAGAAGCTTATTTAGGAAAACAGGAGGAGCACGTGTGCAAGACAGTGCATCAAACATTGGGAAAGTTAGCTTTTGTGGGACTCCAGCTCCTAGAATCAAACAGCCAGCTGCTGCCTATAATGCCAACTATTTCCATTTTATAAAAGACTCCATAGAATCACAGAGTTGGAATAGACCTCATGGGCCATCCGGTCCAACTCCCAGCCGAGAAGCAGAAAAATCGCATTCAAAGCACCCCCGACAGATGGCCATCCAGCCTCTGTTGAAAAGCCTCCATTGGCTACAAACTACAGGAAAGGACCTTCAACCTGAATATTAGGAAGAACTTCCTGAGTGTGAGAGTTGTTCAGCAGTGGAACTCTCTGACACAGAGTGTGCTGGAGGCTCCTTCTTTGGAGGCTTTTAAATAGAGGCTGGATGGCCATCAGTCAGGGTTGCTTTGAATGCAATTTTCCTGCTTCTTGGCAGGGAGTTTGACTGGATGTCCGAGGTCATTTCCAACTATATGATTCCAAAGAAGGAGACTCCACCACACTCCTGGGGCAGGGAGTTCCACTGCTGAACAGCTCTCACACACTCAGGAAGTTCTTCCTCGTGTCCTGAAATCCCTTATCATCAAAAGGAGCCTCCACCACACTCCTGGGGCAGAGAGTTCCACTTCTGAACAGCTCTCACACATTGAGGAAGTTCATCCCATTGTTCGAGCTCCCAGAATTCCTGATCACCAAAAGAAGGAGCCTCCACCACACTCCTGGGACAGAGAGTTCCACTGTTGAATAGCTTCACACTCAGGAAGTTCTTCCTAATGTTCAAGCTCCCTGAATCCCTGATCATCAAAAGAAGGAGCCTCCACCACACTCCTGGGGCAGGGAGTTCCACTGCTGAACAGCTCTCACACACTCAGGAAGTTCTTCCTCATGTCCCAGCTCCCAGAATCCCTGATCACCAAAAGAAGCAGCCTCCACCACACTCCTGGGGCAGAGAGTTCCAATGCTGAACAGCGCTCACACATTCAGGAAGTTCTTCCTCATGTCCCAGCTCCCAGAATCCCTGATCACCAAAAGAAGGAGCCTCCACCACACTCCTGGGGCAGAGAGTTCCACTGCTGAACAGCTCTTACACTCAGGAAGTTTTTCCTCATGTCCCAGAATCCCTGATCATCAAAAGGAGCCTCCACCACACTCCTGGGGCAGAGAGTTCCACTGTTGAACAGCTGTCACACTCAGGAAGTACTTCCTAGTGTTCCAGCTCCCAGAATTCCTGAACAACAAAAGAAGGGGCTTCCACCACACTCCTGGGGCAGAGAGTTCCACTGCTGAACATCTCTCACACTGAGGAAGTTCTTCCTTCCTCGTGTCCCAGCTCCCAGAATCCCTGCTCATCAACCAGAGTTGAAGCTCCCAAAAGACTTGGAGGGCTAGTACTGGCAGACCCCGAGTTACGAACAAGAATTAGTTTGCACGTAAGTCGGATCACGCGCATGTATTGGTGAGAAAGCTTCAGCAAGAGACCCCTTTTCGCTATGACGACTCTTCCGGGTGTTCGCAACTCGGGGAGTGCCTGTCTTGCGTGTGGGGCGCCTCCCTCCCTCCGTCCTGCTCCTGCCTACCAGGGTGAGCTTGATCCTGGCGGGGAAGGTCTTTCCGTAGGCCAGGCTCTGGATGAGGACGATGGCCGGCGTGGTCATGGCCTTGGCCAGCTGGTAGGTGCCGACGGTGTTGTTCTGGAGCGAGAGGTTGGTGAAGACCACGAAGCCGCAGAAGCTGAGGGCGAGCGGGAGGACCTGGCCGGGCCGGAGGCTCTTGGGCGCGAAGAGGCCCAGCGCCTGGCAGCCGCGCAGGCCCAGCCACGTCGCCGCGAAGTGCACCAGCGTCAGGCTCAGGTTCGGGAAGCCCGTCCGCACGTACAGCCACTTGTTCAGGAAGACGATGCAGATGGACGAGGCCAGGTTGGCCAGCAGGCCCGCCGCCAGGCGCCCGCGCTCCGGCACCCAGCCCATCCTCGCCTCCCCACGTGGCTTCCCGGAAGGACGAAGGAAGGCAAGAAGGAAGGAAGGCAGCCCAAAGCCTGGCCTGGACGCTGCCTGAATGGAGAATGGAGCGCCTCTGCTGTGCTTCTCTTACGCAAAGGCGCGGGAGCGCCTTTGCGTAAGAGAAGCACAGCAGAGGCGCTCCATTCTCCATTCAGGCAGCGCAGCAGCAACTCTCTACATTCCACGCGCTCTAATTTGCATACCAAGGGACCCCGGTGGCGCAGCGGGTTAAACCGCGAGACTGCTAAACTTGTTGACCGATAGGTGGCAGGTTCGAATCCCTGGAGCTCCTGCTATCAGCCCCAGCTTCTGTCAACCTAGCAATTCGAAAACATGCAAACCTTGGACAATGCCGGGCTATTCATTGATCGTGTCAGGAGCAAACCAAAATAGTTGTATTGCATTAAAAACAAACAAAGTTTCCAGGCTTGGTATTCTATTAAATGTTCTTAGGCCACTTGAAGCTCCCAAAAGACCTGGAAGGTTAGTACTGGCAGACCCCGAGTTACGAACAATCGGGCTTGTACGTAAGTCAGAGTATGTGCCTGGATTGGTGAGAAAGCTTCAGCAAGAGACCCCCTTTCCGCATGATGACTCTTCCGGGTGTTTGCAACTCGGGGACTGCCTGTATTGCGTGTGGGGAGCCTTCCTCCTCCTGCTCTTGGTCCTCCATTGTGCATATGGATGTTGGGCTACATCCAGGGAGTTAGCTAAGTCTGGGAGTTTTGGCTACTGTTACATTTTTAGGCCAGAGTTGTGCAGGTGCTTACAGAGAAGCAGGGAGAGACAGTTTAGAGTGTGCTCCTGGGACTTTTGGATACTATTACATTTTTGTTCAGGCTTGAGCTATGAAGGTGCAGAGAGAGATAGTTTAGAAAAGAAAAGCAGAGAGAGACAGAGCTTGGAGTGTGCTCTCACTTCATGAGCTGCTGAAGGAGTTTATCCACATGGACAAAGAAACACCATTTTAAATCTCTCTAAAAGGACATTATGTGAGTTGATGCAACGGATCAATGATGTTCTGCATTACAAAGAGTAAACTACTTATTATTTACTGTTCATCTGCATGGCATATTTTCTTTCTCTGGCAAGAGTGTGTGGACTGAAAAAAAGTGAACTACGTGTGATTTTACATTACACCACACTTGACCATCACCTTCAAAAGGCTTTTGCCACTCTACTCAGAGGAGTTGGTTCCTTTTTTCTGGGACAAAATTAACTCTTACCAAGAAAGGAACCATCTCATTCTCTGAGAAGAGTGGCAAAAGGCAAGAGTCCATCCTGGGGAGAACCTAAAATAAACACCCAAATAAGTTCCCAAGTACTGTACCATATAAAAAGATATAACAATGCTCAGAAATCTGGCTGCCAGTATTAAAAGAAACCTCTAAAATTATAGCAGTAAATAAAGAACAAAATTCAAACACGAGAACTCCAGACAAGAAACAATCAGGAACAACTAATCACCTCTCAACAAAGGATCCCCCCCAGGCAGGAATAAGCCACATCTATAAATTGTCAGGCCATCAAATGCTAATCAAGGTGGCCAATTAAAACATTCACACCTACCTCAAACAGACAATAGTTCTTTCTCCCACCTTGGACTTTCCATAGATATATCAATCCAATTTTCCTGGTTTCCAACAGACCTCACAACCTCTGAGGATGCCTGTCATAGATGCAGGCGAAATGTCAGGAGAGAATGCTTCTGGAACATTGCCATGCAGCCCGAAAAACTACAACAACCCAATGCTCAGAAGTGTTTTAGCTAGAGTGTTTTGTTCATCCTAGTAGTGCATTGGCCTATATCTGTGCTGGCGAATCTCGGTCCAACCACACAGTCCGGCAATTAAGGCTATTTAATTTGAAACGACTCAGTTCATATCCATAAATGTTCATATATATTAAACCAGTCCATTTGCAATTTTATTGAGAAAAATACATTTTAATCTGTTGTCACTTTACATATACAAAATTTCAAGATACTAGCGTGAATGTATTGTAACATCATTAAAACATTTCCATTTCACACTTTGGAAGTTGAATTCAAAGACTCTCGTCCTCCTTTTCTTACACCACCATTAAACACTTTTATTGTCTAGAAAGATACAGTTAAGACTGAATTTCATATCCAAGAGGATCAAGGCCCTGATCCAAAAGCATAAGGGAAGACTCTCTTAGCTTCTGTAGCAGTTTCCGAAGTTCATCCTTAGAAAACACCTGAAGGAAAAGAGGGAAGAATTGCTTAAGTTACAGATGCCTCTATAACAGGCATGGACAAACTTTGGCCTGCCAGGTGTTTTGGACTTCAACTCCCACAATTGTGGGAGTTGGAGTCCAAAACACCTGGCAGGCCGAAGCTTGTCCATGCCTGCTTTATAAGCGTTTATTACCAAGGAATCAAGTTACCATAGCACATTAAATATGAAGAGAGTATCCACAATAATTGCAAAAATGGGTCATTACATCTTGTTCATAAAACTTGCCAAAACCTTCCAATCTATGTGTTACTATCACTGAGAGGAACTGTGGCAAGATTCCTTAAAGAAGGAATAGAGTGGGCAAAAACTGCTCAACTTAGATTCTTTAATGAAGTGCTGCAAAGGCACAAGATCCATATGTGCCATGTGATTTTCCTTACAATTTAGAGAGAAAATGGTGCAAAAGGAGCACTTATTACAAAGTAGATGTTCACAACTAAATAGCCAAGCAGAGCATTTCAAACTCAAAAAAACAAAAAACAAACAAACAAAAAAGGGGGAGGGGGCTGAAAGAGTTACTTTTATTTTTTTAATTTTATTTTTTTAAATAAAACTGTTTATTTTGGTATGGTACATAACAGAAAAGCAAATTGTGGCAGATATAATCAAGTAACAATATTTGTGTACATGCCTATCTAGCTTAGTCATTCAACCAATTAATTTTGACATTGAGTACAAATTATTATCATTTACATAACTTAATACACATAGGCTTGCTATTTCTGCCTGTTTTCCACTACTTTCACTCAAAGCTTTCTATTCATTTTTTTCCATAACAAAAAAAGAAAAAAAAGAAAGAAAAAAGAAAGTAGAGTTACTTAAACTTTCCCACTTGCAAGGACAGGAAAGATCCACCATAATCAGAGTAAGCCTTTTTATTCTGAAAGCTATCAAGAAAAGAACACATTTCCTGAAAGAAGAACCAGGAAAATAAGATTCTGACTGTAAACAGAAGGTCAGCTGCTGTCCTTTCCTTTTTGCTTTGTCTTTTACTCGTGTTGTATTTTGAAATGGTCATATGACTGGTCAAATAATAATAATAATAATAATAATAATAATAATAATAATAATCACTTGAGACCCCTTTCCACCCAGGAGACTTTTAATGTGATCCTGAATATATAGATATAGTAAATAGAAATAAAAATCAAGCACTTGTCAAGCTTGTTAAACAGGCTGGTTCTCCTTTTTATGAAGTACAGCTGAAGCATCTTCTGCAGAACACACTGCAAAGACTACACTGAACTAAAGCAACCCCATTTGGGGTTGGAACCCCCAGTTTAAGAAGCCCTGGCTCAGAGCTCTCTGGTGTTTATTTACCATATAGAGTTTGTGCCGATCTGAGGCAATCAGGTCTGCCAGCCTGAGGTCTTCCTGATACTGCCCTGTGCTGTGCAGGACTGTATGGAGGAGGAAACACATGGTTGGCAGGCAGAGCTTCCTCAGCATGGTCATCTGATGAGTGCGCTCAGGATCATCCTCAGCATCCTTGATGAGAAAGCAGGGGTTATTTAATGTTAAGCAACAGTGTCCTTTATTATTTCATACAAGACCTATACTCAGTTTCTGTCTATTTCACACATAACAAAACATGACAAGTGGTAAATGTACTATCAAATTAGCCACAGTATGGTTCTCTGTTGTAAGGCAAGATACCAAAGCAGCGTATGTGGACTGCAGTTAGTTTCGCTTATCCCTCTATGAAGGCATTATTCCTATGATAGGTTTACCAATGTTTAAATGGAACAATTACATTGAAGCAAATCCATAGTAAACAAAAATATGAACAGTTACAAATCAACACAATGGTTTTGAATTTGCTGTTAGAAGAGGCATGGGCAAGCTTCAGCCCTCAGGGTGTTTTGGGCTTCAACTCTCAATTTCTAACAGCCAGTAGGCTATTACGAATTGTGGGAGTTGAAGTCCAAAACACCTGAAGGGCCAAAGTTTGCTCATGCCTGTGTTAGAATCACTTCTATGGTATAACTATGTACGCATTATTACCTCTCTGACATCAACCATCCATCCTCCATCCACAAACAACAAGACGTTGTACATTTTTTCTTTCACATCAGCTGACAGAGCATCCAAAAGACCTTTCCAAATACCATAATCCACCTGAAAAAACAAAAAACAAAAAAACGAAGTGAAAACAACACAAACACAACCTTGCTGTGTGGTATTTACCTTAATATGTGAACAAACCTGAGAGGGAATGGCAGTTCAAGTTATTAGATCTCCTTTATTAGTCATGCTGATGTTCCAGATTAATAAACCTATATAATTATCCACACTGCTCTGGACCATTAAGAGTAAAACTGCCCACAAGAAATATCTAATTACAGTTATACAGAGTGAAGAGGAGGCAGCCTTGAAGACACAACTCCATTGTGTCTTCTGCAACATCACTTGGGAGCCCCTTAATATATACAATATATAATAATATATAGAAATAATAACATTGTAATGTAACAATACTAATATATATATATGTATATATATTATTAATAATGTTGTAATATATTATATATACTACAATTTATGATATAGTACAATAATTTATATAATATTATTATAATATACTGGTAGTTTATTATATACACTGTGGTATAATATAATAGTGCAATATAATAATATATAGTAATATAATAATTGTTTGTCATATATTAGATATAATATTCCTATTAATATTTCAGTATAGTGGTACAATACAATATAATAATATATAATACTAATATTGTGCTATGCTAATAATATATTATATATACATATAAAATTGATAATAATATAATGTAATATAATACTACTACTAATAAAATATAATAATATATAATTATATTGTAATATAATATGAATATATTAAATATAATACTACTGCAAATATATAATAATATATAAAGGTACTACTGTTTTATTATTGCATATTTATATATTTTTTAAGTTGTAATGTTTTTAATTGTGAGCTGCTTTGAGTCCCTGCATGGAGAGATAAAGTGGGATATAAATAAACAAACAAATAAATAAATACTATGTGCTAGTTAAACCTCATTAATCAACTGAAATCCATTGGAATAGTATGCCAAAGAACATTTGCTACTCCATTCCTCTTAAGCAGAGGGAGCACAACTTGCCAAAGATCATGCAATGAGTTTCCTATTAAGTGGAGATTTGAACCCTTGTCTTCCAAAGTCTTAGTCTGACATTCCAACCACTATAACATAAACATTTCAGTAGATTTTAGCCAACAATAAAACAGAGTTACTTTTTAATGTCTATTTACCTCATATTTCTTTTCTTTAAGTTCATGGGCTACTTTTTCAGTGAAACTCGGTTGGGCTGGCTGGCCAGGCTTTTGTGGCATGGAGTTCATGTGCTTAAACCACTCGTTAAAGGCTTCATGGGCTTCCTAAATAGGGGCAAAACATATTTATTTTCATTTAGTAATTGGAAAATTATTTAGTGATATATAAAAAGGTGTCTACCAAATTGGTCTTGATTCCTGATCAAGATTATCTGTAACAACCAGACATTTTGAACATCTAGCCGAGGCATGGGCAAACTTTGGCCCTCCAGATTATTTGGACTTCAACTCCCAGAATTCCCAACAGCCTCAGACCTCTTCCCCTTCCTTTTCTATATTGGCTTAAGTGGCTGAGGGGCAAAAGGAAGGGGCCTGAGGCTGTTGGGAATTCTGGGAGTTGAAGTCCAAAACATCTGGAGGGCCCAAGTTTGCCCATGCCTGATCTAGCCAATTTAGAAAATACATCTTCTTACTGGTTTCATCAAAATATGATCTAAAATGTAAACACAATCAAAACTAATTTCTTAGCCATATTTAAAAGAAGATATAAGCACATTCCCAAAAATATAATACTGGGATTAACTTTCAATATGAGACCAGGCTCAGTCCTAGCATTACATGAAGTTACAGTGCTAGGGCCCAGTTCTGGAACATGAGGCAATTTAGAAAACATCCATACACTTGGCTAATATCTATTTCTCTCATGACTGAATAATATTAACATGCCTAGACACCTGGAAATAGGAGACAGGTCTCCCAGGACCCCAAATCACATTCTCACCAAATATGCTCTAATACACAAGTGCTCTCTAATGGCGTTGTCATCTTCAGCTGGAAGTGGGCTGTCCATCCCTTGCTCTTCCCACTGATTGTATATCTCTGCTATAGAGTCTTGTGGGATCTTTATAAACACATCTTTGGCTGCTTCATGTTTCTTAGACGCTGCAAAATATAATATTTAAAGCAGTCGATTATCACTTTGAGAAATAAAATCGGTAACAGAGCTATTGCTCTCAGATTCACGATGCTTTATCTTTACTGTCAAACTAATGATTCTAACCGCCTTACCCAAGAATTTCCTCATTATAGCATTGCTTTGTTTAAGTGCTTCAGCTCTTTGAGCAGAATCAAACACGAGCCAGTCAATCACGTCGATCTTCAATCGATCTTCCTGGGAAAGGGGGGGAAATCCTTCACAGTCAGCATATATGCAGGAAATGAATGTATTTCACTAACTTCTCAAGGATATAAGCAAAGCTACAAACAAAAAACAACACTGGGTTGCTGTGTGTTTTCCAGGCTGCATGGCCATGTTCCAGAAGCATTCTCTCCTGACATTTCACCCACATTTATGGCAGGCATCCTCAGAGGTTGTGAGGTTTGTGGGGGAAAAAGTCAAGTGGAGTTTATATATCTATGGAATGACCAGGGTGGGAGAAAGATCTCTTCTTCTATTTGAGGTACGTGTGAATGCTGCAATTGATCAACTTGATAAGCACTGAATAGCCCTGCAGCTTCAAGGTTTGGCTGCTTCCTGCCTGGGGGAATCCTTTGTTGGGACATGATTAGCTGGCTCTGATTGTTTCTTGTCTGGAATTCCCCCGTTTTTGAGTGTTGTTCTTTTTTTACTGTTCTGATTTTACAACATTGTAGAAAACCCAGTGGGAACCTTTGTCTTCCCAGAAAGGCATTAGGCTTGAGTACTTTTTAATAAGAGAGGTGCCTCATAGCGAAAGATGCATTTGCACCCACATCATTAGTAAAAATAGTTTTAAAATATGGCGTACAGATTGATGTCCCAAAGAGTCCATTTAAGCATAAATTGCTGTAAAATTCTCAACAAAGTATACATATAAAAAACCAAAATATGTCTTTCTGTCCCAGAAATGCTGTTGCTAGGTGAAGGATTGGCTATTGCTAAGCGAAGTGACCCTCACTAGGATGTCACTGGGAAATAAAGGTAATCTGTGTATGAGGGAAAGTTAGGCAGGAAGGAAAGTGCCACAAAGAGAGCCATGTTGCCATGGGGAGATTGTGAAGTAGGCCCTCTCAGAGCTGGAGAGGAGAGAAAGGGAAGGAAGGAAGGAAAGAGAAAGGAATGGAGAAGGGAGGGAAGGGGGGAAGAAAAACGAGGGAAGGAAGAAAGAAAGAATAGGGGGAAAGGTATGAGAGAAGGAAAATAGAAAGAAGAGACGAAAGAAGGGGGCAATGACCTCTCTGACACTTGGGCAATGCCAGGTAGATACACTAATATGTTTAAAAAGTACATTTCACATAAAGCAATACAAAATGAGGGACATCAATAGTTTTCTCATGGAAGAACTAGCTGCCTACCTGGAGTAGTGTAAAAGTTTTGGAGAGAATAGCTTTAAAAAAAAATAAGGAAGTCCATTAGGGGAAGGCAGTTTAAGGAATCAGCTGTGAAGGTCCGAGGGAAGTGAATGTGTTCTTAGTGTCTGAACTGAGTGATGGAAAGTTAGCTCAGTTTGAATATTATTATTGAAAGGCTGGAACAAAGCAATGGTACCTGATAAAGCAACAACCGTTCGGTATATGATGAAAACAAAGTTGAAGTATTATATATACTTGAGTATAAGCCGACTCAAATATAAGCTGAGGAACCTAATTTTACCACAAAAAACTGGGAAAACGTATTGATTTGAGTATAAGCCAAGGGTGGGAAATGCAGCAGCTACTGGTAAATTTCAAAATAAAAATAAATACCAATAAAATCACATTAACTGAGGCATCAGTAGATTAAAAGTTTCTGAATATTTACATAAAACTGTAGTCTACGGTAAGACTGCCCAACTCTGATTAAACCATTACTCTAAACATCAGGAGAGAATGCTTCTAGAACATGGCCATATAGCCTGAAAAACCTACAACAATTCATTATTCTAACCTTCTTCAATGTAAATGTGCTTACATATCCTTCCAATAATAATAGAGTAAAATAATAAATGTAATAACAGAGTAAAATAATAAATGTAATAATAATAAAATAATGGAAATATAATAATAATATTAAATAAAGTAAAATAATTTATTTATTTATTTATTTATTTCGTATACTTCTACCCCGCCCTTCTCAACCCCTGAGGGGGGACTCAGGGCGGCTTACAAAATGGCACAATTCGATGCCTATTACAATAATACATGTAATACTAATACTACTTCTACTAATAATAAGAGAGTAAAATAATAAATAACCTTGACATGAGTATAAGCCGAGGGGGGGGGGGTATTTTCAGCCTGAAAAAAGGGCTGAAAAACTCAGCTTATACTCGAGTATATATGGGAAGTTAAACCTGGCTTTGACTGGCTTCCTTAAGACTGGAACATAGGAGGTTACTATTAAAATAACTATTTGTAAAATAAATCTGTAAAGGGATTTGAACAGGAGCCATAGGGCATGGCAAAAGAGGCAACCATCCAGGACTAGAAATTGTTAGGCCAAGTAGTCATTACACCATGCAAGTGAAATTCCTTATAAACAACAATTGTAATTTTATGGTAAGTGTGAAGTTCCAGATATACAATGTATTAGATATTACGAGTATACGTATCTTTCAGGACTCCAAAAAAGAGAAGAAACTACAATCAGGAAATCTTGGTGCTTGAGTTTTCCTCTTAGCAATATTTATATTATGTGCAAAATGAATTCCACACTATTGTTCACCTTTGTTGTGCCTGTGTCTATTGCAAGATCATGGTGAGTAAACTCGCCAGCATCTTTTTTCCGAATATTTTCGACAACAGTTTTTGTTATAGTTGCAACTTCTAGACCTGCATTTAAAAAAGGAAAAATGTACAACACTTACATAAGAAGAAACAAGAGGGGATTTATACTAAGGAGGGGGGAAAAGAGTACACTGAATGAGGAGTACTAATAAGACTTAACATTCTCTTAGAGTAGGGCATGGGCAAACTTTGGCCCTCCAGGTGTTGTGGACTTCAAAACATCTGTAGGGCCAAAGTTTGCCCATGCCTGCCTTAGAGAATGTAGTTCCTCAATAAATTAACCACACTATTCCTTACCTGCTTCCTTTGCTAGCTCCAAGCAATGGTGCCGTTGCTCAGTCTCAGTGACATCTTCCAAAAACACAGCATACTGAGCAATAGCTACATCTTGAGGCAAGTGGCTTACATAAAATGCTATTAGATCTGTGTGCTTCTCACATATTAACCTCTGCAGCATAAAACAAAAGTTTAAATACAGTATGAGTTTACTATGGAATTAATTTCATCTGTGTACAGTATCTGTACATTTACATGAGATAAAAAAGGTAAAGAAACTGGATGCATTCTCTGCAGGTATATTTTAGATAAACTACATTTTAATAGCAGACTACAGTTATAAATAGGCCTGTTCATTGCGTACTGACGCAGTAAGTGGTTGTACTTATGTAAATATGCTGAAAATAGTTACAAAGTTCTGTTTATTAGTTTTCTTCTTATGATCAACATACACTCCCATTCTTAGAAGCAAAAATATTACTAGTATGTTTAAAAGTTTATTTATTGGCTATAAGGCACATTCAAAGGCTTACCTGAATGTAGGTTTTCAAAACATCAACAGACACTTCCTCCTGAATGGGGAAAAACAGCATCTGGTTTAATACAATAATTTAAAGGATGGAAACTAAAATTGGCATTTTCTTATCTTTTATGGGAATCTGAAAATTATATTTCTCATGTTACTTTTGAAGACATACAATTAAGTCCAACTGAGAAACAATCATTTATAGTTGATAATTGTTTATCAACTATAGGATTATAGTTGATAATTGTTTATGCTTGAATCACAAGGCACAAAGAGGCCAAATTTCCCCATAATGGCGAGAGTAATGATGTAGTATTTCTTTTGATCAGCCATTCTATAACTTCTGATTTGGAGCAAACCATAGAAGCAACTTGCTTTGACGGTTTTATATTGTCAGATGCGATTGAATGAAATTAGTAATGAAGTGTGTGAAGGAACTGTGTGCAGTATGAGATTTTTATTGTGTTTTCATAATTCAGCACTCAAAAATGCATTAGAAACAGCTATAATATTGAAACAAGCTTTTTTCCACCCCAAACCTGTACTTAAGAGGTGCATTACAATGCCAGCAAATAGTAAAATCTAGCACATTTATTTTAACTCTGCACTGCTTTGGTGCAATAATGACTGCTTATAATGACTGCCTGCTATTATCTAGAAGAAGCAAACTGAAGAAGGGCAAGGAGCCACCAGGAAATGTTCCTGGGATTCATATATTCTTGTCTGTTTCTCCCCGCTTTAACCCCTCTAAACCTGCTCAATAGTTTACAGGAAAAGGAACATAAATGTTGTATTCTTCTTAAAATGAGCTTACTTTGGTCTGTAGTCCCAAAGTGCGGAAGAACAAAATGAGGTGTGTCATGAACCGAAGCAGGTGCCCTGGGAGCTTGTTTCTGTCTTTAGAGAGCCATTTGTTAAATTCTTCCATCAAACCTGACAAAATACAAGTTTCAATTTACAATGGTGGCATGAAACCAATATTAAAAGTGTTTTGCAGTGTTTGATATAATCTTTAACAGGAACCGTATATTGATTACAACTGCATCATTATGCAACCAAGATAAAAGAAGTCATCTCATATTTAAATAACTTACTAGAGAACCTTGAGGTAGATGTGACAGTGAAGACATAGAAGCTACAATATATGGCCATGCTTCAAAAGGCAAGAAGGAGACAAAGACATGCTTTTATACTAACGCTGCAATCCAATTATGCTTTATGTATCATTTATGACTACATCTCTCTTCTGCCTCCACACTCCACTCATACAGAGTATAAGGAATTACAGATTTCTTTTAAATCAATTGGTAGCATTTCCAATTGCAAATAGAAGGAAGTCACACATGTAATGAATCACAGAGCTGCGATAAGAAATGCAGTAAAGTGAGATTTATAAAAAAAGCAATGTTACCATCCACATCTCCCAGGATAACGAACTTTTGAATCACATGGTAATGCTCTTGATTTTCCTCCAAGACTCTCTGAAAAACGGTTTTGTGAGAAAACACACAATATAGTTAGTCATACTAAGTTATGCATAGCCAAGGCACATATTTTGTTTTTGTGTGTGAAAAGGATCGTGCTGCACCACAGAATAAGGGACAGTTCTTTTGTGCGATTAAAAAAAGCATATTCCTACAAATGTAAATTATTATAAGTTAACTTGAGTCGAAGGTTTACTGACCAAAATAAAGGCTACTGACTGACTGAAAAAAAGCATATTGAAATCTAAGTCATATGTATGAGATATTGAAACTGAAGTGGCTCTTATCCTGGACTTGAAGGGAAAAAGGATGTGATAATATAATAATAATGTGATGAAATAATAATAATAACTTTATTTTTATATCCTGCCACCATCTCCCTGGAAGGACTCGAGGCAGCTTACAAGTGGGACCAAGCCCAACATAACAAAGTTTACAAGCTAAAAACACATTTAAAAATACAATACACATATAACAATCTGATTAAAACAATTAAAGCAGCAGAATATAAAAACAACCATTAAAATGAAACAAGACAAGCCTCCATAACCAGAACCAGGGATAAGGTGAGCAAGTTCAGAAATTGGAGAGGGCTTGTGCAAAAATGCAGATTATGGGGCTAGGGGTGGGGTAAAGTGCTGAGTTTACTGTAATGGTCAGTTTGGGCTGGCCATTCATAGACAGCAGCTTAATCATTATTAAATGTACACTGGAACATCCAGGTTTTGTGGTCCCTGCGAAAGGTGGACAGAGTGGGTGCTAGCCTACTCTTCCTGGGGAGGGAGTTCAGGAGCGGGGGAGTGGGGCACCACTGAGAATGCCCCCTCTCTCGTCCCCACTAACCATGCTTGTTGACAGTAGTGGGAGTGTGAGAAGGGCCACTCTGGCAGATCTTAGGATCTGCACTGGTTCATAAGGGAAAATGCAGCCGCAAAGGTAGGCAGGACATAAACTGCTTAGGGTTTTAAAGATCGAGGTTTCCTTACATTTATTATTAGTATTAAAAGATTTCTGAGAAAACAAACAGTTAAATTAAGTCCAGTTCATACAGCCAGTGAAGGCAAGACAAACCATTCCCTTCAGCATCAATCTTCCTAGAATCTTCAAAGTTCCTGTGCTTATATTACTGTTTTTTTAAAAGAACAAAAGACCTTTTCCATAAGATCAAAGAAAACAAAGTGAAATTTACACCAAGACTGGGGTTGCTATATGAACCGTAAGGGAACACATTACATGACCAAGTAGAAATAAAAGATGAAAACAACACTCTGAAGAACTACTTCTGAATAGACACACAATTTTTTTTAAAAGTTCTTTCTTTCAAATCAGACTCCAAATTACCTTTTTGTCTGTAGCTTGAAGTTCCTCAAATACCTTTTCTAAAGTCCAGCTTCAAAGAAGTAAAAAAATTGAGACACTGAATTAATATGAATCATTTCAATATTGTGTAATAGCTACTTATCCTGTAAATAATAACTCACTTGGTTTCCAAATACTCTCTAGGGGGCTCTTCTGTTTCTTCTGTGGCCATTACGGAAGAACGAATTTCCTGTTCAACAAGTGTATCCACCATAACCCTGAAATAGGCCCAGACGGCATCTTCCCAGGTCTCACAAACTGGAAGAAGCTTTAGGTTTATGGAGAAAAACATAAGCAAAACTATGAGAATATGTAGCATTAAAGCAAACAAATTAGCTATACAGTAGCTCAGACACATTTGGTGTCTCTAAATGTCAGGATAGGTCATGATTCAGTGAAAGCAGAAGGAACAATTGTGAGTCTCTGGCTTATGTATGTCTCTCTTATGTATAGATGCAAAAAGGTGTCTGGGAGCTTTTGGTTCAACATATCTGAATCTGGGTCATGGTGTTTAAGCTAAGAATAATTTTTAAGTCTCTAGCTTCAAACTGAAGCTAGCCAGTTACGCTGAATTCAACAACTGTACAAAGACACTTTAATCACATGGAAAATATATGTAAGAATGTTGTATGCTTATGCAGACTGATAAGTTATCTGGTTTCATCATAATTTCCACTGGTCTTTTAAAAAAAAGATTTAAATGTAAAAGCAATTGGTTCAGAAAATAAGTAATTATTTAAAAATTCAAAAAAACTATGTCTAAAGTGTTGTCTAAACATATCAGTTTTTAAAAACATGAACACAGCTTAGCCTAACTTGTTTGTGCAGTTCCGCACCTATCATAAAAGTAAGCCCAAGCTAAATCTCAGTAAGATCTGACTATAAGGAGGAAGGGAAAGGGAGGAAATCTACTAAGGAATACAGTCTTCCTCAAAAAGATTTACAGGCCTCCTTGTGAAGCCCCGAATGAGATAAAACAATATTACTGTTTCGTATTCAAGTTTTTCTGGTCTTTAAATCAACTGTATAATGCTTATTTCAGATGAACCACAGCCTTAATAAAATCTCATACCTGTTTTAGGTTCCCACAGAGTACTGCATAGATTGCTCTCTCATGCTTGTCAAACTGCTCCTAAAATATTCAGTTCAAAAACATCTCAGATTATGGTCATTTACAGCTTGGTTCTGCACAAACTTAAGACATGTACTATACATTACTTTTAATCAGTAGCTTTTGAAAGGATGATACAACATTAAGCATCACAGTGTTTATAAATCTCTAATGGGCAGTGTGTGTGCATTACACACAAGCCATATTCCCCAGAATACTAATTTTCAATTTAGAAAGCATTAAAATATTATCCCTAGTGGAATCCAACATACAGTTGGAAGTGGCTGCTGGCACAACTTTCTCCATTATTTTGTAAAAAAAAAAAAAGATGTTTCCTTTCTTTCAGTGTTTCTGGCCAACAAATTGATACTGCTAGCTAATGAAAACAAAAAAAAGGTTGAGAGCAATTCATCTACTATCTGATGGAAGAGCTCCCTGGTTGATTTTTAAGCTTTAATTTTGGAAATGAAAGAATAATTAATGCATAGTGGAGACAAGTATGGAAATTCAGACCTAGAATCATAAGAGTTGGAAGAGACCTTGTGGGCCATCCAGTCCAACCCCCTGTCAAGAAGCAGGAAAATCATATTCAAAGCACCCCCGACAGATGGCCACACAGCCTCTGTTCAAAAGCCTCCAAAGAAGCCTCCACCACAGTCCAGGGCAGAGAGTTCCACTGCTGAATTGCTCTCACAGTTAGGAAATTCTTCATGTTCAGGTGGAATCTCCTTTCCTGTAGTTTGAAGTCATTGTTCCACATCCTAGTCTTCAGGGCAGCAGAAAGCAAGCTTGCTCCTTCCTCCCTAAGACTTCCCCTCACATATTTATACATGGCCATCATATCTCCTCTCAGCCTTCTCTTCTGCAAGCTAAACATGCCCAGATCTTTAAGCCACTCCTCATAGGGCTTGTTCTCCAGACCTTTGATCATTTTAGTCGCCCTCCTCTGGACACATTCCAGCTTGTCAACAACTCCCTTCAACTGCGGTGCCCAGAACTGGACACAGTATTCCAGGTGTGGTCTGACCAAGGCCGAATAAAGGGTTAAAATGACTTCCCTGGATTTAGACACTAGACTCCTATTTATGGATGTTTCAGGATTATATATAAATCTACAGGAAGCAAACTGCTCAAAACTTTTCTTTGCAGTCAATTTCTTACCTTTTCTGCCAAACGCCAGCAACTCATTTTCCAAATGCATCTGTATGGATTGCCTTCTACTGGCTCCAGCTCTGTTCCTATGCACAAAGATATAATGTACAACCAGATAAGATGGCATTTCAGAATTTAGCAGTGAATGTACTCTATTTATCAGTTATCTATTTAACAGGTACTCTATTTATCAAGACATCCAATTACAGTTTTTCTAAAACTTCCCTCAAAGTTTAATTATAAATGTCCTTAAAAATGTATCATGAATGTCAATTATCAAATTAGATAAGTTTTCAAAAAATTAGCTCTACTCATTGTTCTGTCTTCAAATGCATTTTTTGAGAAGAGAGTTTGGGGAATTTGTATTTAAGATGGATAAATGTATAAACATAATCTTACGTTGCCATACTAACACACAGTTCAGATATGTACCTCCATTCACATTAGGGTCATGATACAGTTTCCACCCTTCCAGAGTTGCAGCTCTCCAAGCCTGTCCACATCTTTTGCACAGTCGTTGGGCCTTTAAAAACAAGTAAGAAGGCTGGATTAATTTTGAGGAATACAGTAATTCAAATTATTTAAAAGAACAAGGTAACAAAATGCTTCAGTACATCCTCAGCCTTTAAACAAAATGGTCAGAGCTGCAACTAGCTTGGACCCTTGCAATGTTCAGGACTTGGAACTTCTGTTAAAACAAATCAGGGTCAAAATATGGTTTCAGATCCTGATTTAATACTTAATCAGTTTGAACGAATCACGGTTACACTAACAGAAACCCAATGAATATAGTTTGCTCACATATGCATTAACTTTATATATTAAAAAAAACCTATAAGGCATTAGAGACTTACTTCATCTGTCATTCCTGCTCTAATAAGAGTGAACAGGAATCTGAGCAACCGTGCATCATCTTCCCGATCCAAATCATCAAGTGGCTTTTTCTGCCGTATTGGAGCATCTGGATCCTAAATATAAGAAAAAACGACAGTGCATATTATTTTGAATAATGGAAATACATGTTTCCCTGACTATAAGTTGAAGGAACTGAAATTGAAAGTAGAATATTATTGCAAATTCTTTCCCTCTACTGCTGTGATTTTTTTTTTAATTCCTGGCACTGTTGTTCTCTGTCTTCCTTTTCGTTGCTCATCTTGCCCTAATACCGTGGATTAAATTGTGATGACCAAGCCATTTGTTATATCAATTAATGACTTGCTATTCCATGGGGCTATCATAAGTCAACAGGCGACATGAAGGTACACACACTTCATCATGGTCAAATATAAAATGTCCCATGACTCCACATCGTTCAAAGAACTGGCTTCTCTAAATATTACAACTGGGTTATTTTTAATAGTTGCTATCATTCTCTCTTTAAAAAAACAAACCAAAAACCAACAACAACAGTAAGCTGATCTTAAAGGTTCTAAACAAAAGGAAATAATTTTGTTTATATTTACATGTTGTACATTCTAACAGTGTAAGAAGTTACAGTGTATCCCATTTCAAAAAGCATTTTATAACAGTAATTCATTTATTTATATAATGACCAATTAATTGCCAAACTCTAAGTAAGAACTGTTGTACAGGCAAATACTGCCTATGCATCAACTGTGGGCCCTTCCGCACTGCCCTTTATCCCAGGATCCGATCCCAGATTATATTTAGCCTAGGTTATCTGGCAGTGGAGACTCATATATTCCAGTTGAAAGCAGATAATCTGGGATCCGATCCTGGGATAAAGGGCAATGTGGAAGTGCCCCATATTGGAACAAGTATAGTCAAATAGAAGCAGCACTTTAAAAAAATATATACATCATAAATTATTGAGGAAGTTTAATCAAATAGCAGAAATTTATAACAGTTTCTTCATTTTTGTGCAAATATTTACGATCTGGAATCTGTGAAATACACTTACTAATTCAGTCACCAGTGGTCGTGAGCTCCCAGCAAATGTGTTTAATTGTCGCTGCTTCAAGATGTGCAAAGTATTCTCCCTGAAAACACAAGGCACATTAATATTTCAATAGCAGTGGTTACCAAATTAAATATTCTGTTATCAAAACTATTATGTACTGATGTATTTTTGATTAAATAATCTCCAAGGCAGCTTTAAACTCACTGAACAATATATATGAACACACAGTGTCTTTGATGAGCACTCTTCACTTTACCTTAAGAAATCTCAATTCAAGCAACACTTGGAAAAACAGCTTTAAGCAGGCTTCCTACATCTGCTCATTCTGCTGCTAATACCTGAAACTATCTCAGTTCTGTCCCAAGATTTCTGAGGTCAGCTGAAAGGACCTTTCTATTGACCAAAGTGGCAGGCAGCTTCAGATGCAGTGCCAACCCTATAAGCTATACCTGATTATGATGGCCAACACATCCCAAAACATGCAAACAAATTACAGCAGGCCTGATAGAAGAAAAATGGGATAACTGGATGATAAAACATTCCATACTGGCTTGCTATGAAACACAAAATTTTGATTTCTGCTGTATATCCAAATCAGTGCCGTAAGATTTTCCTGAAGTCAAACTTTCAAAAAGTCAGCTTATGAGTTTAAATTTGCAATATCAAAATATCTGTTATGAATGAAAAGCCAAAAGAAATAAAATGCCTTTTCAAAAAGTAATGTACTCTAGAAATCACAACATTGGCTGAATATATAGAAAAGAGGCAGGCACAGGTATGGGGATCTAGCAAAAACTTTGAAAAACAGTTTTTTAAAATGTTTTATGTATAATGTGATACCAAGTACCAGCAGATAACAAAAATGAGCATTCATCAGTTTGTAATTAACTTACCAATAAACAGACTTTGCGTAAAATTCAATATTATCAGAAAAATCTCCAATTTCATCCTTGGCAATACTCTCCAGCCAGTCAACCACCAACTGAAAATTAAATTAAACACAAAAATTACACAAAATAAAAAAAAGCCACTTTCCGGTTTCCACCCTACCTTTTATCATGGGAAATTTAAATATCAGGCACAATTAGGTAAATTTCCACTATGTATATTCAACAGTATATTCGGCCAAGTATGTGTTCTGGAAGAGCCAGCATGGTGTACTTGTTTTAGCATTGGATATAGTTTTAGCATTGTCTTGCAACCCTGGAGACCAGGGTTTGATTCCCGGCTTGGTCATGGAAACCTACTGGGTGGCCTTAGGTAAGTCACATACACTTAACCCAGTAAAAAAAACATAGTAAGTTCATCTCAAGGTCACTGTAAGTCAGAAATTACTGGAAGGCACACAACAAATGTGTTTTGCACCTGCAACCTAAGTCAGATTCCACCTTCAACATTACAAAGTGTTCTAAGAGCAATCATCCATTTGTTTCAATATGGAGCAAAGCTAAGATTCTTTTGAAATCAAAAGAACCTCCCGAGATTATTTCAAACTAGTGGGGTAAGGAAGTGATTATTTCATTATTCTCTTAGCTTTATGAAATTAATGTGCACGGCTTCTTTTTAGATGTAATCTGTGGGATGGTTTTTAGAAACATGTATTTGTGAAATACAGTTTTCCTTTTCATTGTAGGGCTGGTTCCAACATAGATATCTGTTTTACTCCAGATATTTGTGTTCAAGATCCCTACCAGGTTCTGTCTTTTAATATCTACACCAGAGATTGGAATGGGAAGGAGGGGAGGGATGGCCACACCGCTCTATTCCAGAACTCTTCAGGAGTCATAACATATCTGTACCACTTCAATTCATATTTTAATTCAGCAGCTGAATTGCATAGGAGAGGAGAGAGTACCTCAAACATTGAAAAATGATAATCAACATTATCTGCTTTGAACTGGATAATCTGAGTCTACAATGCCATATAATCCAGTTCAAAACAGATAATTTGGATTTTATATGGCAGTGTAGAAGGGGCCTTAGATGCTTCCCTTACCTCCTCAAGTAACTTTCACCAGAAACTCTGCTTATCTGCTTTGATCATCTGGATTATATGGCAGTATAGAAGGGGCCCAAGAGATGTGCTTATTGGCAGTTATACAGGTGGTAAGAAGAGTGAGAAAACTGTGATTTAATATCTGTTTACTCAAGAAATAAGTATCAGGGGAAATAAAAGCATCAGTTTTGAAGGTTCTCATTGCCTTCAGCCAAGGCGTTTTTCAAAATGAACGGCAATTTAGGAACATTTTCTTGAAACGCACAAACAGTGAAGTCCTGTTTTTAAGTTTAGGGTTTTTTGGTAAACCATTTTACTTCAACATGATATGGAATGAAATTAAATCTATCACAAAAAGAACTTTTAATCATATACAAAAGTAACCAGCAAACCTTTCTCTACAATACACAACCTATACACATTGTAAACCAACACCTACTTAACGAATCTATAAGCTTCCATTCGTTAACTGTTGATTTCAACTTATTTGTTGGTATTACTTAATTTCTACCCTTCTATTTTTAATAACCTTAATATTTAAGTACTTCTCACCTGTTATAAATGAATATAAGGTCTGTCACAGGTTTACATTTTCCTATTTTAAATATTTTAAGATAAATATTTTAAATCTTGTTACAATTCTATTTTGCTTTCATTCTCTACATTAGGAAAAATTCAAAAACCTTTGTCTTCCAAAAGGCAATCAGACAACTTCCTAATTGAACTAATAAAGTTTGCCAATTTGCTCAGATCTAATGCATGTTTAATTAGAAGCAGGTTCTATTTGGTGAAGTGGATGCATTAAAAAAAGGGCATTTAGATTTGTAGTTGAAACCTTTAAAAAGCATTCTTTTAAATCATACCTGGCTTTGTCGAACCAATGAATCCCTCTGAAACAGGTTGTTTACAGCAGTCTTTTCACTGGCATTTATAACCTAGGGAACAACACATTCATCTTCATATGAGGGGTCAACAGTTTTTTTCAGATAAGCGATTTTCTTTTCTTTTTTCTCTTGGTTGCATCCAGTGGAACAGGATCTATAAGAAAAGTGAATTCCCATTTTCCCCCATGGCCTCCTCTCTAAGTCTCCTCCAGAGGATGAGAAGACTTTATAAAGTAGATTCCAGTACATGTATATGATGGGGGTTGCAGTGGGAATTTGTTGGAACAATGCTCTACTTAAAATATTTTGGACTTTTAAGTAATATTTGACAGTTTCAAGGTTATCTTAAGCATTTCATTCTATAGCTTCATATCTAGGCTGCATTACATTTTAAACAGTAAAACACTTATTTGTGTATTTAGTAATGCTTTTATAAAAAAGACTGTAACAAAACTTACTGCAATATCAAACATGGTTTCATCTTCCAAAGCAGACTGTATCCTATCCCTGGATTTAAAACAGTGAGAAAAAATAATGCAGATTAGCATTAAATGTTATTTTTAGTACCCCAAAACGAATGAAAATATTTGGAGATTGATTCTCAGAGTCACACTACACTTTTATGTACAAGAGAACCTCATAGCTTTGTTTCCTCTTCATCCTATCTATACATATACAATGTTATATTAATTGAAAGGTCTCTGTACATGTTCACATACAGTCCCACACTGTCTTGTAAATTATTTTTCCTACAAATTCCACTAAGAATTGAAAGTCATACTGTAGTTTAATATGGTCTTTCGCCATATGAAACTACATTTCACTTGAATTTTTTAAGAATGGCAATAGCATGCTCACGCCAACTATACAAATAAAAACACATAACAGGATAGGGAGATGTTGACTGTTCTATAAGTAGTGAATCTTCCTTTTCTCTGAGCAACGGTGAATAATCTGTGACCCTCTTGGATTCCAACGCCACCAAGTAGATATGGCCAATAGTCCAAGGTGATTGGAGCTTGAGCCCAGATTTCTGGAAAGACAGGTCCCACTCTAACTCTAGCAAATCAAGGGAAGAGCCTGGATATCTTTAAAACAAAGGAGAGGATATTCTAGATATTGTGGATAACTACTCCTTTCATTACTTACTATGGCCACAGATAATACATTTCAACTTTAAAATAATAAGATGTTTTGATCTGAATAGTATTTCTGCACCTGGAATTAAATAATTTTATCTCAGCTCTTGAAAATTAAACAACTTGTTAACAATGTTACCAAACTAGCACATACACCCAGTATTGGCCAGGTCTTGTTGCGACTATTGCCCACCTACTTTCTCCCTTGCCCAGCTTTGAGAGGGCCTATCTCACGATGTTTCCATGGCAACAGCCTATGTGGTACAAGCAGCTGACGAACATACATACTTCAACTTATATATATATACACACACACACAGAATATGTGGGTTAGTTGAAAAAATGTTGCCATTTTTAATGCTGTTATACAAACATCAGTTACAGACATTTTTATACTGAATTTTTATTTAATAACAACTTTCTAGTCAAGTTAATAACCTCTTAAGCATGGATATAAAAGATGGATATTTAAGCTTCACTTATATGGATTACAAAGAGAACCAGTGTGGTGTAGTGTTTTAGTGTTGGCATCCCTTCTCAGACATTGGGTGCACCAAAGCATGTCATATTTTCTCAGCCTCAAAGAGAGTAAACCCCTTTGAATTAATATTGCGAAAAAAAACCCATGATACAGCGACCCTAAGACGAATCTATGTTGAAAACAACTTGAAGGCCCATTGCTACAATATCCTACTGAACATGGTGAGGCGCCTCTAAAGTAAACACAAACAGGACAGTATTACAAGTGTATAAAAAGCTTTTTAAAAACGTGCATACTTTTCTAACATAGAAAAAAGCCTAGTTTCTTATTTTCCACATACATTGAGTGCTGTCTTATAATATGTAAAACATATATATATATAGAAGCAACAAAATCTACTTTGAAGTGTCTAGATCTGAAATCTAGAAGACCAGAATGTGCTTAACTAATGAGCTGGGGAAAAAAACAAGCAGTCTTTGGGGAGGGTTACCTGTAAATTGAGGACAACAGTCTCCACGTTACCATCTCCTGCTTGAGAAGCCACAACACACTGGCAGTTTTTAAAAACTTCTGTCCAGGAGCTGCTCGGTTCACTAATTTTTGAAGAATGTTAACCTGACATTAAAACAACACGTTTATTTTTCATTTTACTTTTCCATTTAATGCATAAAACTTGATCATCTATAAAACAGTATGTGTATATACATATGTAAGTATACCAGGACTTAGAGAGAAATTGTTTAGTTTTAGAAGATCTTAGTAAGTAACCCACGGAGCGACGTTATTAGGGTGTTTCACTCTGTGCCATCTTTTTCTAGAGAGAAATTGTGAATCAGGCAAAATACACTCTTGCTCACATACTAAACATATTCTGCAGCCCCAGTCCATCCCACTTCGCTAAAAAAGATTCAGCATGGGAAAAAAACCCCTGCTTCTATTAGAATTTTCCAGGGAGGCAATTATCCTTTAAAATAAGGTGCATCCCTCTCTTTGCCTTGTTTAACAAAAGGTGTCTGTGTTTTTACAAAAATGGAAATGGGCTTCTAGTCATTTCCAGTTCTGGAGATTTTGAGGCGGTGCAGCGTCCAAATCTCCAGAGGACAAAAATTGGCCCCAGGATACTTCGAGACTGACGTTCTCTTCTTCACAGCATAAAGGCAATCATAGAATCAAAGAGTTGGAAGAGACCTCATGGGCCATCCAGTCTAACCTCCTGCCAAGAAGCAGGAATATTGCATTCAAATCACCCCCCCCCCCAAGAGACATGTACATTCTTGACCCAAATAATTTATAATCAAAGGTGAAATAAAAAAGAGAAATAGAAAAGCTACTGTTAAGAAGACATTAATAAAAGGCAGAAATAATARTYACCAACACACCTGAAATGTTAGCCCTGTTTCTGGGTATATTTGACCTACTGTTTCCAAAAATGGCAGCATTTGAGATACAAAAATATGCCATACATACACCACTATTCACTCCGAATGTCCATAAAAAATCAGGTTATTTGAATGTAGTGTTTAAATCAATATATTTTAAACATGAAAGGAACATATTAAAAGAATGCACTTATTTCACACCAAAAGCACAGCTTTATGATATAAACTTTCAAGTTATTCAACACACCATATCTTAGAAAGTAGAGCTGATGTGGTCTACCCCATGCAATTTTCTGAATCAGCGCCTCAAATAATCCCAGCAAAAACCAAGACACCAATATTTATTTTGGTAGGACTGTGTAATTAAAGAGAAATTGCATTGACATTGAGCATTCAGTGCTTAATATGTCATTTAACAGCCAAAAATACCAAATAGGTATAGTAAATGTTTAATGGCTGGCACGTTTGCTACACAAATTCTATGTTTATTCACTGACAGAAAATTTCTTCAGCAATGATGGAATAAATAAAAATAAAACAGAAAATACCTGGTTATTGCAAGTATCTTCATATTCATCTGTAAGTTCAAAAACGGTATTTGAGGTGTGCTTTAACAAAGAATTCAGAAAATCGGAGTACATGCTCCTAGTAGCTGGAGTCAGATAAGAAAAAAGGTACACATTAGAACAGCTCGATTTTAAACCATTCTAGCTTGTATCAAGTTAACACCTAAATTATGCCTTCTAAGAACAGTACACACTAGTACTTTGTTTCAAAGTACATTTTGTAAGAAGGTATCTTGCAAAACGGTTTTTAAGGAAAGTAACATGAATATCTTCATAGGATGACTGACACATGACAAAGAAATTTTAGCATGTAGACACTTGACATTGTAGTTCTGAAGTTATTCACTCATAATAAATCCAAATCACTGTATCAAAACAAAATAACCCTGCACTATTGTCTCACCAAAGCTCTGTCAAACATATACGTAAAGAAGTCATAAAGGGGGAAAGTACACTTTTACCTGCTTCCCCAGGATCATCCTCATTCAACAGAACAACACTCTTAGTGACATCTTCTGCTGCACTGTACTCTAAATTTGTGAACATCACTGAGTGCGGAGGTGTGAGTGCAGTTGTCCAGTCGCTGTCGTCTAACTAAACAATTACAACACAGAAAATAAAGCCTGGTTTAATAGTATAATAATATATTTGTCCATTTTTGTTGAGTAAAAAAGGGTGCATCTGTACTGTAGAACTTATGTGGTCTCACATCACTTTAACTGCCTGGAATCATGGGAGCTGTAGTTTCACAACGTCTTCAGCCTTCTTTTTCACCAAACTTCCAACTCTGCAAATTTCATAGCATTGGACCATGATAGTTAAAGTGGTGTCAAGCTGTATTAATTCTACAAATGCACCCAAATAACCTTTAAATGTTTGTTAAAGTCATCCTAATAAAATATGGTGGTCATGGTAAAATAGGCACTCCCACCCTAGACATGCCTAGGAGTAACATGAACTGTAAGAACAACAAGGCAGGGCGTACTTTCTAGACAGGAAAGATTGCTAGATTGGAAAGGAAGAAGAGCCACAGAAAGTCTGTCACGTGATATAGGCGTTGGGTCAGGAGGAGGGCATTTCCTCCTGTCTCCTCTATTTTAGGAACAAAGTCAGTTTTGCTGCTGAGATAATCCCCCAACTCCTGGGTTAGAGAATTAAGAGACAGAATCAGAAGAGAGACAATGTCTATGGGAATAGTGGCAGTGGCCAAAATGAATTCTGTTCTATTTCAAGGCTCAGCTCTGGGGGTCTGGCCTTCATCACTTAAAAGTTCATGTTAGCTTTTCTGTTCCTTCAAATATAGAAACCCTTATTCTTGGATCATTAGAGCTTGCTTCTCTACACCAAATTCCTAGGGTCCATGAGAATATATTGGATAGGTAAAAGAGTTGCTCCATGCCCACAATTTTTAATATTTTACATTCACTGACTGTCACCATAAAATGATGTGGCTGCCCATCAACTTGTGTTCATAGAAATGAAAAAAAAAAAACCCAGTAAAATGAACCTTAAAAACACATTTTGGTTCATAGGATGGCGAGAGAAGCCCTTAAAATCTTTAAGAAGAAAATATCACATAGCTCATTGTTGAAAGGACTGCAGTGTCAATATAAGATGTTAGAGCATGCAAAATGACAGCAAATCTGTCAACATTAGCAAGAGTACAAATAGACTCTATTTGTGAGGGGGGGGGGGCAGGGGACAGCTCCACCTTGTCTCCTGTATATGTCATTAGTCAACCCCTCCCCCCAGCACCACCTGCTGCTCTGGGCCAGAGTGAAGAGAGGGGGCCAGATGACAGTTCCAACTTGTCTCCTGTGCTATGCTAATAATATACTATAATGTAATATATATTGTATATACATATATTTATAATATTATAATACAATATAATACTACTACTAATAACATGATATTATAATTATATATTTTATATTACATGTAATATTACTAATAATATTACAATATAATGGCATAGTACAATATAGTAATATATAATACTGATATTGTACTATGCTAATAATATAATATATTGCATGTAAATATATCTTGTAAGACTCTCTGAGTCCCCTTTGGGGTGAGAAGGGCAGCATATAAATATTGTAAACAAACAAACAAACAAACAAACTCTACATCTTCCATCCTCACAACAACCAACTTTGCTGCTTTTAAGGTGAAAGCAGAAACGCAGTAAAGAACTACTCAAGAACAGTTGCTTCACTAGCAATAACTACAGTAACACATCAGTGATGTCATAATTTCACAATGGCAGAGCACTTTTCAGTCTTTGTAGTCTCCAGGCATTAAAGCACTCTTTATCAACATGCAAGAGCAGGTAATTCTGGTTCTGCAAACTATTAATTACTAACTGATCTCTAAATATTATAAATATTATAAATTTAATACTGTTTTTCTAAACTGGGGGAAAGTTAACACCAGAAAACTAATAGCAAACTCTGTATTTACACAATACTTGGGTCAGAGGCATACCACAGAACTGCAGTGGAAGACCTAGAGAGGCCCACAAATATTTCCCTCTCTAGGCCCTCTGGTTGGTATATTTGGGCCAGAATAAAGTCACCGAAAAGCGGTTCCTAGACTTTTGTAGTCATCGAATTCCTCCCCACCATCACCACAGAATCTCAACTATGTCCCTAAGCATTGTGAACCCACAAAGTTCTTCCTTCTTTCATCTACTCCAATTGCCTGAGTATTTTGTATAATGTAGTACATTTGGAAATAAAGAGAAAACATTTTAAATATAACCATAGTCCTTTATTTTGGTAGAAGAAAATATTATATATAACCTCAAATATTTACTTTGGTAAAGGAACTCCCACAATGCTTTTGCAGAATCCTAGGGTTCTGCAGAACAGTTTGCCATTGAATTCTACCGAAGGATGTGGCTAGACGTTTGCCAAAGAATCAATATCTCTTTCGTGGAGCACAAGGAAAACACAACTGTCAAATTGCACTCCATGCAGCACATTCCAACTTAGTGTGTTCTTACCACAGATAGATTTCCAAGATGCCCAGGAGTATGCATAAGATAAGGAGATCTTCCTTCTGGGCCCAGAATGGCAGACATGTTTGGTTGCCTCATGGAACTTCGACTGTGTGGAGTAACTGGGGAAAAATATAGTATTTTTCCAAAGATTAATAGGAACAGGTCGCAAAACATTAAGCTTTCTAGTGAGAGTAATAAGTTTATGAAGTTGCATCACAGAAAGTGCTGTAAGTAGCTGTTTTTTTGTGCTAAAACTCTACCTTAAAGATACTCTCTTAACGGAATTTTGACAGTACTGTGTGAGGGAAAACATACTAGATACAAATATTTAGTGTATTACTAAAATTCCTACAATTAAAAAAGCATTTGAATTGTTTGTAAAAAAGCATAAAGTGCAAAGGAACATACAGGAGTGAGGAAATAATCCTGGAGTCCTGGGAATTGTCGGTCCTCTTGTTGTCATACCACTTAAACTGTCATCCAGGGAAGCAAGGACTAAGAAAAGGGAATCCAGTTAAGAAAAAAAAAGTATATATTCTGACTCATTTTCCAGATGCCTGTGGCTGTTACAGATGAAGACCATCTAGGTATGCCCACCTTTTTCTTTCTCTTTTTTATTTAAATGCTTTCCGCAAACCCACCTTTTCCAAAAAGTCTTGGGATAAACTAGGTGAGAGGAGTGCTTTTTTTTAAAATCCAAATTACACAAACTGGGTGGGAGAACTGATTTAAAAATAGAAAGTTGGAGATACAATTTAAACCTCTTTCTCATGCTATGAACCTGGTTGTGAAGAAATTCCAAAAACGTAATCCAACTTATACATATATAAAATGAACACATAAAAAACTTCTACTATTATTTAAACACAATTAAATTAAGGACATCTTAAAAACACTAATAACGACATGACACCACAAAGCCAATAGAAAATTCCTTCATCAATAATTAGTTGGTAATTACTAAAAGCTTATTTGAAAAAAAAAATACTGTTGTCTTCTGGTAAGAAAACAGAGTCCTTGTTTAAATATGCACTGGTTGGCACGGTTAGTCGTTTTTTTCAAATGACAAAAAAGAAATAAAAACAAAGTGTTTACTGTATTTTCTGAGACTCCTAGCCATTTCCTTACTTAATTCTTTTGATGAAAATGAGATCACAAGGTCCCCAAGAAAGGGAAAAAATGTATTTTAATTTATGTTAAATATGTAATACCATGACCAGTGTCAACATCAAAAAAAAATTTAAAAACCAAACAAACATAATTTATGAGAATTCGGGAAGAAATGCAAACATTGAGACCATTCTAATAGGCCTCAAAAAAGGATACTCGAAACTTTTTTTTGCGAACTCTGCTTCCGAACTGGCTGAGTTATTTCTTCAGACATTTCTGGAAAGGGAAAAGAATCAATGAAACTAATTTGTATTGCAATGTATCCTTCTCTGTTTCTACTGAATGAGCAATCAAGCAGGAAGAGTTCGGAGAAACGCAATTCTTAGCTTTGTCTCTTTTTCATTAAGAGAAGAATTGCTTGTAGCTATGAATAATATAGTAATAATAAAACACTTCTAGACTGTCCTCTTTTTCCAAGAGGACTCAGGGCGGTTTACACACACAAAAAGGCAAACTTTCAAACAAGTACAAATACATCAAGGCAATGACATGATACAAAATAACAATAGTGAACTAATTGCCTGAAGAATGCAATTAATGAAGAAAATTAAACATCAAAAATGAAAAACATGATACAAATAAACACATAAAACAAAGTACATTAAAACATAATTAACATTAAAACATCTGACGTAGTAAAACAATTAAAATAGATGAACAATAGCTGTTTTAGTTGTTCTTTAAAGTGTACCATGATGGCCATGGGGCACAAGTAAGTCAGCCAGCATTCCAATGGCATTATTGTGGGTCCCCAGGTGTTTTGGCCAACAACTCCCAGAAATCCCAGCTAGTTTACCAGCTGTTAGGATTCTGGGAGTTGAAGGCCAAAATATCTGGGGACCCACAGGTTGAAAAACACTGGTCTAGAGTATCCTAGTCCTCCTTATTATGAAAACATAAGGAATACAAACCAGAACAAAATAAAATAAGAATAGTACAATGAAACAGATTGCAAAAATAAAGTCTGATTGAAAGTTCAGAATCCTACATTACAAGTTCTAGAAAGCCTGCAAAAGCAGAATTAGTTTGCTTAGTACCAGTATGCTTGTACAGCACCAGTAACATGACAATTAACGTGGGTACCCAGGCAGGCCTGCTCTAGAGAGAAAATCTAGCAGTGAAGTGCTGCTATTGAAAAGATACTCCTTCTCATTGTGTTCAGATAGCAAGGCACCCAGAGAAAGATTTGAGGATGAAGGCCTTCATAGATTTCTGGACTGATGCAAGATGGGGGAAAAAAACCAAATCAGGCCGGAAGCCAAAGTAAGTTTATCAGACTTGTTGCACTTGCATATGCAAGCACATACACACACTCCACTTTTTGAAAACCATTGGTCTCTAAGAGAGCCAAACTTGGAAAATTTTCAATTTTTAAAGTCTAGTCCCTATTGACCATTCTATCTGAAGGAACCTGGCTATTGGGGTCCAAAAGAATAACACTTTCAAGTTGTGGGAAGAAAAGGGGAATAAATTAATGAGAATAATGTGAGAAACAGCTGTCAGCCACACTAATATTCCAAGGAACGGTGAGAATGAATGAATAGATACTGTAAAAGCACACCTGTCAGTCACATAACATTCCAAGGAACAGGGTGAGTGAATGAATGAGAACAGTGTAAAGAATACTTGTTAGTCACAGTAATATTCCTGTGGAATGGTATGAATGAATGAATGGCTATAGTATAAAGAACATATCAGTTATTCCAATATTCCAAAGAATAGTGTGAATGAATGAGAACAATGTAAAGAACATCTGTCAGTCACAGTAATATTCCAAGGAACAGTGTGAATGAATGAGAACAGTGTAAAGAACATGTCAGTCACAGTAATATTCCAAGGAACAGTGTGAATGAATGAGAACAGTGTGAAGAACATCTGCCAGTCACAGTAATATTCCAAAGTACCTACTAAGGTTAATTCTCTATGAAGGAATGAGAGGAACACCTCAGGCAACTGATTTTTCCTGCAGTCGCCCAACCACAGATTCAATCATCCATGGTTTGAAAACATTTCTTTGAAATCCAAAAACCAAACCTTCAATTTGCCAATACATACAAAGGCCACAATTTTACTATGCCGTTGTGTATGATGGGATGTGAGCACCCATGGATTTTGGTTTTTTTAATGCTTATTTTTTTTTTATTATGTGTGTTTTTGGCATCTAATTGTTGCCTATATATATAAGCTACCTTGAGTCCCTTACGGGGTTGAGAAGGACTGGGTAAAAATACAGTAAATAAATAATAAAATATACATACTTAGCTGGGAGTAAGCCCCATTTAACAACCCACTGTTTCAAGAAAGGGGGAGCACAGTGTCTAGATCTAGGGAAGTAATGCTACCCCTCTATTCCACTTTGGTTAGACCACACCTGGAATATTGTGTCCAATTCTGGGCACCACAATTGAAGAGAGATGTTGACAAGCTGGAGTATGTCCCGAGGAGGACGACTAAAATGATTGAGGGTCTGGAGAACAAGCCCTATGAGGAGCACCTTAAGGAGCTGGGCATGTTTAGCCTGAAGAAGAGAAGGCTGAGAGGAGATATGATAGCCATGTATAAATATGTGAGAGGAAGTCACAGGGAGGGGGGGAGCAAGCTTGTTTTTTGCTTCCCTGGAGACTAGGATGGGGAACAATGGCTTCAAACTACAAGAAAGGAGATTCCATCTAAACATGAGGAAGAACTTCCTGACTGTGAGAGCCGTTCAGCAGTGGAACTCTCTGCCCCGGAGTGTGGTGGAGGCTCCTTCTTTGGAAGTTTTTAAACAGAGGCTGGATGGCCATCTATCAGGAATGCAATATTCCTGCTTCTTGGCAGGGGGTTGGACTGGATGGCCCATGAGGTCTCTTCCAACTCTCTTTGATTCTATTATTCTAAATTCAAATACATGTTTACTGGACTGGGGGAGGTTAATCGTTTTTAGCTACAGTGAAATAATTGAGAATTCCTAACATAGCTAATGTTACCTATCTTTTGTGGGGCTGTCTCTTTCACCTTCCCCATAATAATAGAGACAATCCTATGTCCCTCACAAAACTGTATATCCCAGAGAAAAGGTGATTAAATTGCCATCCAAGCAGTGCAGTGTGAAAGCGAACGGGCACTTCCGAGAGGCTCAATGCTCGAGCATCCCTTATCTGAAATTCAAGACTTCAGAATCATCCAAGTGAGTGACTGAGACAGTGACACCTTCTGCTTTCCAATCCCCGGCTGAGGGGGAAAACCAAGGGCCCCGAGACTGTTAAGAATTGTGGGAGTTGAAGTCCAAAACACCTGGAGAAAGGCCGAATCTTGAAGCTGAGGCGGCGGGAAGGAAAAGAGAAGAGGCCTTGGCTGCTTTGTTGAGGCGAAGGACATGTCTGAGGCCATTTCTTCCTCGGCTGCACAACTATAGAAGGCGGGAGGGCCTCACCTCTCAACCCAATGCTCACGCCTCCCCTCCAGCCTTTGACTCGCCGATAGACCTTCCGCCATACTCACCTGCTCTCCACAGCCGAGTGCCGGCTGCCGCTTGTAGCTTGAGACTTCCCGCCCGCCGGAAGCGGAAGTGAAACTCAGGACCCGGATGAGGGCAGGAGGCTCTCTCCGAGACAAGGGAATAGCTCCATGGAGATGTACACATGGCGCCCCCTGCAGGCGAGGAAGACCGCCTAGCCCCCACCGCTTTGGGCGTGGCGGGAAAGTTTTCCATCGCTGGAAGGAAGTTTGGGGCCCCTTCCTGACAGCTCAATAAAACCCCGCAGTATCTGCTTGGAACTGGAATATATGGCAGCGTGGACTCAGGGCCCTTCCGCACAACCATAAATCCCAGAATATCAAGGCAGAAAATCCCACAATATCTGCTTTGAAGTGGATTGTCTGAGTACACACTGCCATGCATTTCAGTTCAAAGCAGATATTGGGGGTTATTTTGCCTTGATGTTCTGTGTTAAAGGGCCCTCAGAAAACCCAGTTCAAAGCAGATATTGTGGGATTTTCAGCCTTGATATTCTGGGTTTTATGGCTGTGTGGAAGGGCCCTGCGTGTGATGAGAGATTGCAGGTTAGAGGTGCCAGAAAAGCCACTATTTGACAACCAATGGGCAGATTCAGTGCCCCCTTTATGGGATTTAATAATAATAATAATATTTTATTTATACCCCACTATCATCTCCCCAAGGGACTCGGTGCGGCTTACATGAGGCCAATCCCACAGTACATCAGTAAACAAGGCAATAACAAAAACAATCAATACAAAACAATTAATATAAATCACATAAACAAAAAATTTCCGAGTATTTGTATCATGAAGTCTAGGACTCAGGTCTAAATGCGAAATTCTTGTAGGACTCAGACTTTAGACACCTACACGTGACCTAAAAGGTACTACACAGTACACAAAACCACCCTAAAGCAAAGGTGTCACTATGGGTGCAACTACTCTGCAGAATGAATGGGGTTTGATACTACTATAACTGGCATGGTTCAATGCTCTGGAATCCTGGGACTTGGGGTGATACTGGTACTCTTTGGCAGAAAGGACTAAAGACCATCCAAAACTACAGCTGGCAGGATTTCACAGTATTCAGCCATGACAGTTCAAGTGGTGTCAAGCTGCATTACTTCTACAGTGTGGATCAGGCATGGGCAAACTTTGGCCCACAATTCCGAACAGTAGGCTGTTAGGAATTGTGGGAGTTGAAGTCCAAAACACCTGGAGGGTGTAGATGCACCCTATCTGTTACCCATCTTGAAAATGTTGGGATGTATTGGCTTTCCTTTATTGGTATTAGTGCATAAGTGCTGATTTTAACCTATAAAACCCTACACAGCTCTGGCCCGGTTTACCTGTTCGAATGCATCTCCTCCTATAAACCATCAAGGACGTTAAGATCATCTGGAGAGGCCCTGTTCTCGATCCCACCACCTTCGCAGTCGTGATTGGTGGGGATGAGAGACAGGGCCTTTTCTGTGGTTACCTCTGGCTATGGAACTCTCTCCCTGGCAAGATTAGGTCTGCCCCCTCCCTCTTATCCATCAGGAAGCAACTAAAATCCTGGCTCTGGAATCAGGCATGCGCAGTTTGATGGATGATCCGGCATAGACGAAGATTCAATGAATAATTGGATTGAGTTGGATGATGTTTTTAATCTGATGAATGTCTTTTATATGCATTTTAGAACTTACTGTGTATGTTATTTATGTTATGTATTGTAAAGCATTGAATTTTTTCTATTAGCCGTGGTCTGAATCCCTCCACGGAGGTAGAGTAGAACCACGGAGGTAGAGTAGATACAAAAGTTCTAAATAATAAATATTTTGATATATGCATCTTAATGGTGTTGCATTTGTTGGTTTTAACCATGTTGTACCTCACTTTGAGCCTTAATGTTCTTCTGGAAGGGAAGCTGTGCTTACTAGGCCTGTGCGGTTTCGTTCGTTAATTCGTTAATAATTCGTTATTTTTGGCATTTCCGAAGCGATATCAAAACACATTTTCAAACCCGGAAGGGTTTAAAAATATCGAACCGGCAGCCCCCATAGATTTAACGAGCTTCCGCTCGTTTCATTAATGGGATGGAGGCTGCTGGTGGGAGCCAATCCGGCGCTCCCAAGCAGTGCACCGTGGCTGTTTGTTTTTGATTGGCCGGCGAGCCCTTTCAAAGCGGCTCCGCGCGGCCGTAGCTCATTGCTGCAGAGGGCGAGGGAGAGAGAAGAGGTCCGGGAGGGTTTGCATTGGGTTGGCTTGGCTTGGCTAGCAACTGGATTGGATTCATTCCTTGCTTGGATTCATTCCTTGCTGCTGTGAGTGCTGCTTATATTCCTTGCTTGGATTCATTACTTCCTTTGGTTTTTGTGAATTTGTTTCTTAATTTTTTGGTTAATTTTCCATTTTTAAATATTTTTTAATATTATTTTTTAATATTATTTTAATATTATTCTTAAAAAATATTCTAAAAAAGAAAAGACTCTTCTGTTGGTGTGTGCTCTCATTTGCTGTCTCCTGTCTGTGTTTGGTCCACATTTGGGCCATTTTTTGGTTAATTTTCCATTTTAATATTTTTTAATATTATTTTTAATATTATTTTAATATTATTCTTAAAAAATATTCTAAAAAAGAAAAGACTCTTCTGTTGGTGTTTGCTCTCATTTGCTGTCTCCTGCCTGTGTTTGGTCCACATTTGGGCCATTTTTTGGTTAATTTTCCATTTTAAATATTTTTTAATATTATTTTAATATTATTCTTAAAAATACAAAAAATATTCTAAAAATTCGTTAATATTTACAAAATTTCGTAAATACCAAAACTTTTTGGGGGAAAGTTTTGTAATTATTTTAAATATCGAAACAAAAAAACACCCCAATTACAAATCGATTTTAGAAACAAATTTTTTCTTGATCAAACAGGCCTAGTGCTTACATACATAGCTGTGAAACAGAATGAACAGTTCTCTTTTTTGGTGCCATCCTGTTTTCACCAGGTTTTTCAGCCACTCATGCCCTAATGATGATAAAGCTTACAGATCCAACTACAAAAATGTTTTGAAAGCAAAGGAAAAAACAATCCGTGCAAGGCCACGCAGAAGAAGAGACAAAACCCATTCTTTTCCTGTGGCACAGGTAAAAGCAAACAGGTGAAGACTTCCTGGCTTGTATGTTCTTTATTAATAACTTTTGCCACATTCAGATGTTGCCTGGCCACGTGCGTCCTGGTTTAATTCTTTGAGATGTTGCAAAGTATGCTATCTCTTTCACTCCTCCTTCAGAAAGAAAGGGCTTCCAAATATAGCTGGCTCAGCCATAGATGCATAGCTTTGTGAGGGCTCTTAATGGTACATAAAGGAGGATTTCATTGCAGCGTTTCTTGTTCTCTACCTGCTGAGGTCAGTCGTCTTTTCATCCATCATAAAATATGGGATCTCTGATGTTGTACACTTTTTCTATTCTTAGCTATACACTTTATCCTCTTTTTTCTTCTGAACCGAAGGAGTATCAAGGAAAGGTTCATAGATGAGTATTCGGTATCTGAGAATCAGCTACATTTCTGTGTTTACTTCTGCACCATCTGTGAACTTCCTAGATAGTGCAAGAAGAAATCCCCTGTGCTCTAAAATTAAAAGACCAGTCAAGCGACGCAAACAAAATCAAATCAATTAAGGTAAGAAATAGGACATGAAATGTGTAGCCTAAATGGGAATTTCGCCATGAATGCTCTCTAGAATTACATCATTAATTTAAACATACTGCCAAGAAATCAACAAGCTGTATATTACCCTGTTGGTTCTTTACTTAGTTTTTGGTTCAGCTTGGTTTTAGGTTTAAGACTTAAAACTTCACATTCAAGAATAGTTCAATGAGATTAATTAGATTATTCCTTTCGAATCCCATTTCTAATAAGAAAGGAATTACTGGAGCCAGGTGTTTCTTTGTATCTAGAGGGCCCTTCCAGATTGATCTAAAGAGGTGAGAGGGTAAATAGAGCCCACAACAACAACTATATGTTGGGATTGTAGGAAAAAATCCTGAGAACTACAAAAAATGATGTAACTGGTTTTTACATTTGCTCCATTTGGAAGAGAAGCTTCAAGAAAGCTACAAAAATCAAAGTCATGAATAGATAAAAACAAAAGAGAAATATGTTCATAGAGTGTCTTTGGTTTTATCCCAATTGCATGAACGTATTAACGCAGTGAAATTAAAACAGACTATGCATGGTAAATTTAATTTATTAATCCCTAAAACAGAGTTATGGATCTGATAATGAAATACGTTTATATGATGTAAAATTAAAAAGTGATCAGTATTGGACTGGGATTTAGAAGAATTAAAACAGCAATGAATATTGATCCAATTCCAAAAATTGCTGTTGAAATTTTACATTATTGGAACATTAGTGGTTTAGGAGCGTACATCCATGATGTCTTATTGGTGACAAATACCATTTTCTTGTTGACTTCTGTATTATCTGTAAACCCTATGTTCAAGTCCTAAATCCTTTTTTTGTCCAAGTATTTTTAACCACCTTATGGCTAACATCAGCAAAAGATACAAAACATTCACTTATAGATAGTTGTAATGCAAGCCCTTGCATGGCAATCCAAATTTATTGAACTACTGATGCTAAGTCATACAAAATTGCACCACTTTTAATTAAGGCTTTTAGTTTACATTTGGCCACCTCAAAGCAGTTGTAACATTAGGTTGGTCAATTTAAATACTGTGGCTCCCTGTTGGATTTTACACGCAATCTTTACACCCAAACGTTAATGCATACAAAGCAACAAGGCATTGTTAAATAAATCAGCAAAAAGGTAATTACTGCAACTTAGGCCCTGGGACCAATTACACATGATTAAAATTACTTCCCACATTCACATCCACAGTACTCGTCCACCATTTAACATCTCAACCAAAACGTTACACATGTAAAACAATCACTAACAGGCAAAAGTACTAAACCTGTATATTTGGTATTGCAAATACACTTATGCATGAGCAAGCAAGGGAATTCACAGTGAGAATCTACAGCTGCAGAAGCCCAAAAATGATTTACAAAAAAATTGTTAAATCATTAAAAAA